ATAATCTAGATATCTATTATCTATTATTAATAATAATATTAGAATAGATCTAGACTTACTAGATCTAGATCTAGTAGACTCTCTAGTCTAGACTAGTATTTTTATATTTAATAATTTATTAAACATATTATTATTAAAAAGCCGTAGCATACTATAGATAGATCTAGATCTCTAGATCTAGATCTAGATATAGAATCTTAGTATCATGGCGTAGAAGAGCAGGCCTAACAAAAATTATGAAACTTGCGTTAAAAACCGTCTAATATCTAATTATCTATCTAATAATAATAATATTATAATAGATCTAGACTTACTAGATCTAGTAGACTCTCTAGTCTAGACTAGTATTTTTATATTTAATAATTTATTAAACATATTAAAAAGCCGTAGCATACTATAGAATAGATAGATCTAGATCTAGAGATCTAGATCTAGAATCATGGCGTAGAAGAGCAGGCCTAACAAAAATTATGAAACTTGCGTTAAAAACACTTTTAAAAAAAAGGTAGATTAACAATTAATAAGAATAATGTTAATAATGTTAGATCTTAATAATCTGAGCATAACAGTCATAAAAAAATAAGCCAACTGTAATGAAAGGGGATACAAACGAATTTTTAAAGCTTGAATCGAACTGAAAATCTTCCCTTGTTCGCCATTTTGTTTATTTTGATTACCTTGTCCGTATTTATCATGGATAACAAATGTTATGACTTGCATCGTTTACCTCTCCCTGGCCAGTTCAGTTCAGTTCAAGGTGGGGTTGAGGGCGGTTTTATAAAATATGTAAATTAGTACAATTATTCAAAATTATTTTTAACGGCTTCTGTTCAACACAAAAATATGAAAATGAGTGTAATCGATGGTTCCTAATCGACTTTAATTTTTAAAATTGTAGCTATAATTTTATCGCTTGCCATATTTTTTAAAATAATTTTTTAAAAATTTAGTATGATTACATAGACTTTTCCTACCTAATTCGAAATTATTCAAAAGGCCCATTAAATATTTTTAAATCTATGCCAGTCGCCGTTCCTTAACGATTTTTAAAAAATGTTAGTGTCACACAGTTGATGTAGAAAACAGTTAAATCATTCTTTGAAGCTAGGGGTCTGGTTGATAAAGCTCATGGTTGCTAAAACACGATTGTTTTTTTTTTTTTTTTTTTGGGACAAAGCCTATGGAAGAAAATCCAGAAAGAAAAGCCGGCTGAAATCGATATCAACGGGTCATGTGTACATGTCATGTTTGCACGTAATATTAAAATTTATATAACTTAACCAATAGGGTTGGAGGAGATCCCGTTCGCCGACCAAAAGAGGGCGCTAAACGGTGTCGAAAAACAATTATTTAAAATTTAATGGCATACAGTTATTAACAATATAGAAAACAGTTAAATAGGTCATTGACGTCATTAAGCAGACTATTTTCTTTACTCCCCTTGTTGTAAAGCAACTCATAGTGAGCTTTTAATTTAAAATTTAAAAAATTGTGAAGAAACTGTCCCCATCTTTCCAAATTTGGTGGGAGCACATTTTTGCCAACGGCAAAATTATTTTTATAAGTTGGTGGAGGGGGCAAAATTAATTGTTCACCCTGAACGCTGGAATAGCTTCTGACATAAATCGTTTTCACGTTTGTTCACTATGACTTGTATATGGCAGTTTAAGCAACTGATTTAGATCTCACATGCGTCTTATGCACAGTGTTTCTTCCAGACTTTTTTACTTTTTTCTCCGGGGGGGGGGGGGGGCACTTGAAATTTTCGGAGGCGGACACTGTTAAAAGTATATATTTTCTATTTAAATTCCTTTTCGTTCGGGGGCGGTAGACTTTCTTCCGGGAGGCTCCACAGTAATGCCATACAAAAGAAATGTCTCAAATGCAATTATAGATGCTCACTATAAAAGGTAAGTTGAGACTAGCGGTGTCGATATGCCAGTGTAGGGGGGGGGGGGGAATCCGGTCATGGTATGTTTCCGTGCATTTAAATTTACAGATGCCAATGCCATATACCCTGCAAAAGAACCTGCCAGTTTATGTGACTACTGTCACAAAAACAAGGATCGTATGTAATTAAGCAGTCAGATAATTGGCAGTCGTCTACGCCTTTATTCTCTGGCGTTGTTTCCCAAGAATGCCTATTGTTATAATAAGCGTGAGACTTTACAGTTTCATAAATTTGTATCACTGATTATGACTGACGCCTTGAAAGATCATGTTGTCTCAGTCAACATTGTGGATCGTTTATTATCATAGGTGCCACAGCACAGTGAAGGCGAGTTGATAGAATTAGTAGACTGACTGGACACAGTGGCGTAGCGAGGTCGGGTGTCACCCGGTGCGGCACTTAATGGTGTCACCCCCCCCCCCCCCCCCCCCAGAGGCGTAGCGACCCTTCCCGGGGACAAAACTTTCAATTTTCGAATTGCACCCCCCCCCCCTCAAACTTTCGATTTGCACCTCTTAAAAGACGATTTAACAGTCGAATTAATCACTTAATTAAGTTGAATTATCATTTTTCTCTATATATTTTGCTACTTTTTGCCTTGGTGTCACCCCCCCCCCCCTAAATGGTGTCACCTGGTGCGGTCCGCACCCCCCCCCCCCTTCGCTACGCCACTGACTGGACATAACATTGACAACATTTATGACATGAAAATTAATTCCGAGAATACGAAGGTCATGACCAACAAACAACCCAAAATGTATAGAGGCAGACGTGAGGGTAAACGGCCAAAGTTTGGTGGAGGTTTACTACTTTAAGTATGATCCGACTACCTCAGCCTCAATGCAGATATACAGAGACTGATACAGGACCTGGAGATGAAATGTTTAGGCAGATTCCTAGAGATCTCGTACAGAGATCACATAAATTAAATGATCAACAATGTGAATGATCCCTTTGAGAATCTGCTAAGTAAAGTTTAAAGCAAAGCAACTGGGATGGTAGGGGCGTGTCACACAAGGCAACGGCATATAAAAAAACAATAATGCAGGGCACGGTGCCAGGAGGGAGAAGACGAGGAAGGCAAAGACGACATTGGATGGGGGACACCAAGGAGTGGACTGTGCTGCACCTTGTAGAATTACTCAAATCAGCAGAAGACCGAGAAACGTGACAAAATCATGAGAATATCATCTGTGATGATTCTACGACCACTAGGGGTTGAGGGCGTTGAGGCTTGATTGATTGATCACTGAACTACTTTGTCACATCCAACCCAGCACTGTTCCAACTCTGTCGCTCCAACCCGCTTTGGTCTACGCTCGGCTGTCTTTATGTTTTCCCAAATTTACATCACTGTTTCGGTCGGTGGAAGGAGTGGAGAAGGGGCCGGCTCGCATTCTCCCCTCTCCAGTCATCGCAGGTCGTCTATTCCTACCAGCATACACCTAGGTGTGACGATGTCGCTCTACACAATAACGGCCTATGCCGTTCATAGCCGTCATTCTCTAAAATATTGTCAATTTACGACACCAAAGTGGTAACAAAATAAACGTTACTTTAAAATATCAAAGTTGTAACAATCATCACCATGATGATCTCTCAACGCACAAATGACATCAACAAATGAGCGCCATTCGTCTTGTCTCTGGACATCTATACCAGAGGCGTTTCCACCTCCAGACCTCATTATTTCCGTGACCCAATTTTTTTACACAGCCCTCACCTACTTAAACAATTATAGCTCCTATGTTTTTCTAACCAGATTTATGTATTACACATCAAAATGAACAGAAATGAAATTTCTATAGAAGTAAATGAAGATAATTGTGAGTTATGTTAAAGAATGTAGGTTTTTCACATGTTAAATGACGTGTTAAAGAAACAAACACTAGCGGTGTCGAGCCGTACCTTGCGGCTCGCGGGCCTACGGTGAAGCTGGCTCAAGCCGCATCTCGCGGCTCATGGGAAGGATTGAGTTAACAACATCAAAGTGATAACAAAATACAAACACATCATGTCTGACCTTATTTTTAAATTCATTTATTTTATTATTTTTTTTGCTTGAAAATAAAAACACCAATGTTCAATGATTAAACTACATTATAACTGTGTCACTAATAACATTAAAAAAAAATATGTACACAACATTAAAAACCCCACCTTACACATCATGCGGATTAAAAAAAAATGACATTTTTAATGAAGAAAACCAAATGTATCCATTATTGCACACAGTGTAGGCTTTGACCTTTTCAGGGTCAGAAAAATGAAAGCTGGTAAGGTCATCAAGATCTACTGTCACTATCTAAAATATTATACAAAAAGTAATTTAGTAGGGATTTAGAAATTTAGAATATATTCTAACACCTGAAACTAGGGAACATGATTTGATATTACAGGTTTTGGTACGACTTAATTCTACTGACAGAAGGGTATCTTTCTGATTGGAGATTGACTTTGATAAGAATTAGTTGGAGATGTGGGTAAAATATATGGGAATTATCTGGGTCTATACTTTATATGATAAACTATCTAGAATGATACATATAATGATTAAAAGATAATTAAAAGTATTTGCTTTAAAGTTGTTTTTTTATAGGTATTTTTTTATACAACAGTTGAACACATAATTTTTTTTTTTTTCAGAAAAATACACAAAGTGAAAACAAGGTTTTGTTAGTTCTTTTTGTTTTAAGTTGACATCTTCAAAATGATCACATTAATACACAAGAAGAGAAAAAAAAATACTTACATTTTTTTTTTATTTATAACATAAAAATGTAAAACAGATAAGATTGAGTGTACATATAAAAAATATACAGGAAAGTGAAAGGACATGGTCAGAATTTGCAATTGTTTTAGTGATGCATGACAGATTGAGACCACAAATGTAGTAATGTAAAAGTAATAAAACCTAGCGATCCATTGGGCAGATGAAGTAGAGTTCATGTTTCTTGACCTCGATGTATGAAGTGAAGGTGTGGTCAGCACTTTGCCCAGTCGCCTTAATTTTCAGAGCTGGGTGGACTCAAGAGATGGTCAACTGACTTGGGCCCAGATTTGAACTCATGACTTCCAGGTTAGCAGCCTAGCGCTCTACTGCTTAGGCCATGATGTCCCTATGCCATAATGTGCTAGGTGTTTTACAAACTGAACCATATAATTCAGAATCAATTTTTTTTAAAAATATTTACAACAAGGTTCTAGTATAGGTTGGTTATTTAAAATGTTGCAAAGGCTTAGAAAATAAAACCTTTTTAATCACATAATGAGGCATTACAAGATAATAAAAAAATAAAATAAAAACAACAGTTAACAAGTATAATATTACAATATTAAATAAACCACAAAACAATATTAAGTTATTAAAAATATTTTAAACTGACACATTTTAAATGAAATAAATACCTATTTTGTAAAATGATTTATCATTGGGCACAGATTACTTCAGAACCCAAAACTATCAACGTAAAAAGAATAGGAAAGAAAATTTGGTACAACAATTATTACAGTTTATGGGACACTAGGCATAACATAAATTACTTTTACAGAATGTCCCACAAAAACATTAAAAAAAGAGTATTATAATTATAATAAAATTAAACTGTGCACTGAAAATGATCAGGAAAATAAAAAAAAAAGTCCATAAGAAATTGTATTATAGAATTCAACTTTTTAAATGAATCTAATAAATTATTTAAAAACATTGTTAAATATCATCACAGAACATGAATCACAATATTTTCTACAAATGTTTTGTTTATTAATTCATAAAAATAAGACTTCCAAAGACTTGTTTCTGCTCATTAAATTTGAATTAATTAGCATTTTGAACAATTATATTTGTACTGTTTACCAAAAATAAAGTAGTTCCTCAATAACTCAGAGGTAAAACTACAAAATACATCTTTAATGTTGGTTCTGTAATAGTATCATGTAATTTAAAACAAATAGATCTACAATACAAATTGTAAAAAGAATATTTTCTATAACTGCAAACAGATTGGTTATTATCTGTTTCGGAAATTAAAAAACACCCTTCATCTATTTATCTAATGCCCCAAATGACCAATAAATACCACAATACAACAGGAAATTGGACACACTATCAAAGGTAATTTCAAATTACTTAATAAATATAACTACTTTTTGTTTTATTTTTGTTGCTGATATTCATAAAATTAGGTAAATCTGATAGTTCTAATAATTATTATCAAATTAATTTTAATTTAATAACCTTTTTAAGTTGATTACATTGTTTATGGGAGAGCCAGCTTTTAAAAAAAAACAACAATATCATATATGAGCAAACAAAAACACAAAGACATTCAGGACCATGTCAAATGAGTTGGTGAAAAATTATTTACTAAGTGGAATGTCATTTTGTACATAAATAAATATAAATAAACAATTTATAATGGTGCACTTATAGAAAAATAGTAAGAACAACATTTAACTGAGGTAACTAAACCAAGAGCACCTGGCATGAACCAAGATTGACATGAGATAATGAAAAATGTTAGAATGCTTAGCACTTAAAAGAAATTAAGTTATATAAGTAGGACAAGTAAAGTTCTGAAAAACACAAACTTAAAAACCCCCGTTAATTTTGAAATATTAAGTCAATCCTGTAATCAATCATCTAAAAAATATAGTAGCTCTAAAATTTATTCCATTTTTTGACATTTGATCTGTATGAAAATGGAACAATCCAGAATCAGGGTAAATGAGGTTCTACTATGTTTGTAATATTACAAAACATTTTTTAAAAATTCAAATCTATTTACCCAGTATGGCAAGAAGAGTGTAAACAAAATTTTATAATTTATGAAAATTAATTAAAATTACCAATTTCACCAAAACAATATTTTAAAAAATGTACAATTTTAAATTATTGTTAAATGGTGACATTCAGTTGGTTTACTTCCTGAAATTAGCCACACAAAAAGTTTAAAATCACAGCACTGCATGACAAATGAGATTAAACTGTCCAGCATTTTAAAAAAAGTATCTTTTTTGCTAATGTATACTAATTAGTACCTTAATTTTAAAAAGTATCTTTGAACTATCGTATACTCATGTTTACTAATTAGTACCAACAGCAGCTCCAATGCCAGCGTCATGAGGTGGGGTCACCACTCCGTTGGCTATAGCTTCTTTTTCTAGGGAGGCTAGCTGAAGGCGGAGCTTGTTCACCTTTGACCTGAGTTCTTTATCATACTCTCTAATCTTGTAGATTTCTTGCCACGCCTCTTCCTGTGGGGCCTGGTTGATGACACCGCGTAGATACAAGCCAGTCCAAACATTCTGGAGAGAAAAAATAATAACTGATGCAGTTCATATCAATAAGAGACTTTATATTGCTTGTCAATATATGCATCTTTTATCAGAAGTGAAAATAAGCAGGATTTAACCATGAAGAGAATAAAATTATAAAATTTGAACATGATTTTGTGGTATGAATATTGTTCGTTAAATTTAAAAAGTTTGCTTTTGCTACATAAAGTAGAAAATAACAACACTACAAGAAATTTAAAGGATGTTGTATAGAGAATGAACAATAAACAATACTAATCAAATGTAGTTTAATAAAGATGAAGCAATCGTGATTTTGTGATAAGAATATACAGTTTGTCAATATTTTGAGGTTGCTTTCCTGTTACATCAAGTACATCCTATTTCATCATGTGATAGCAAGCAGTAATTTAACAAATTTTAAGGAAAAGAATAGTATTTTAAATAGTATTTTAAGACCTGTGTCTTAGGGATTGGTTTGCTATTAAAATCTACAAAAAACAACTCTTTATTGGCCTCTAAGGGTAACTTTACCTAAAAAATCTGCTACTGAATTGCAATTATGCCTGAACAAGGTCAGGGTGAGTGGGAATGAATAAATAGTCATGAAATTAAACAAAAACTTACCAAACTTTGTGGTGCAACTGAGGGCCAAATAACAGAAGGGTTGGGCTCATACATTGGGTTCATGTAATCCTGAAGAATTTCTGGTCGGTTCAAAAAGGACCTGTTAAAATAAAACACAATTGAGTCAACAGATTTTGTCTAAAATAAATTGTAGAATTTCATGTTTTATTGATAGCAACAGCATCACTGTATTCCTATTGTTATACCAAAGTTTAATGAAGAGTCAATGTCAATTACCTTTCCTACTAGGTTATACTGTTTAATTTTCTACTACCCATGAAGTTAATAGAAAGTATACAAACGGCCACATTAGAAATGCAATTCTACCTATTTTAAGTGAACCAGGTATATAAAAAAACACACCACAAAGAAACTGTTCTATGTTCCAATTTACACTGATGCCTCTCTGCTTCATTGTTACAAAGGAATGTGCCTAAATGGGATGAAAAAGTTAAAATATCAATAGATTTTGGTTGAAATATAATTAGATTTTCTTTGAAAATAAATTAATATAAAAAAATTGTGTTAGGAAATTCTGTTTGAAAAATGAAAAAATAATATCATTACAGCAAAAAGTATTCTGACAAAACTGTGAATCTCAAGATAAGATTGCATGGCCTAGCTTAACAAAGTGCGCATGTCTACTTATAAAGTTTAGCAACAGCATTATAACTACAAACTGTAGCATTTTAATTTTCCTCACAGTTTTTTTATTATACCAGTCCACATTTTCTTCCTCTTAATCAGAATATGCTGTGTTCACTGGAATTTTTTAATGCAAATTTTTTATAGAATGACATTATCCATACCTTTTTAAAATGAGATACATTAGCCTGTAAGTGTTCAAAAATGTGAAGAGAAAAACATACATACCAAAGTTGGAGGAATAGGCATGTTGAAACAAAATCACCAGAAACTTTTCACTAAATTCAAATGAGCAGGGAAATTGTTGCCAAATCTGAAATGCAATATTTTCTTTTATTACTGAATAAACCAAAAATCCATGTGGGCAAAGATTTTCCATGTAATGTGCTTTATAACTAAACTCCAGCAAATAAGCGCATCACACCATATAGCATGCAAAAAAAATGTAGTCACATTTACATACACAAGCATATATTAACATTACAAAAGTGGTTCCAGTGTGAACTACCCACATCATTAAAGTTTTAAAGTTAAAGTTCCCTTTTGGACCTGATGGTCCATGGGGCAATTGTAGTAGAGTTCCCCTGTTTCTGCGATAGTATGGTCAGCTCTAGCCCAGCCGCCTTTACTTTCACTAACATGAGGTTAGCGCTCATAGAGCTGGGTCAACTCAGGGACTTTCTACAGACTTAAACCCAGATTCGAAACTTCATCATACTCTAGTTACATCTCTTATGTAGAATCATGTAAAAAGTTATAAACAAAAAAAAAGCATCTGGAGAGGACAAAGACAAAAGTTTAACAGAAACACTTGCACGTACCTGCCAGACACAGTCAATGAAAAGCAGAAACACTGGGGACTCTTGTCTTTGTTTGGTGATGGCATAGGCTGATTTATTACAGCGGGTACGGAATGGGTGGCCAGCCTGAATCCATTCTCTCTCAATCAAGGCTTCAAATCTGGTTTTGTTCAATACAAATTTATAAAGTCTAGGTTATTCAGAGTCTCTCTCAATCAAAGCTTCAAATCTGGTTTTGGTCAATACAAATTTATAAAGTCTAGGTTATTTAGAGTCTCTCTCAATCAAAGCTTCAAATCTGGTTGTGTTCAATACAAATTTATAAAGGCTAGGTTATTTAGAGTCTCTCTCAATCAAGGCTTCAAATCTGGTTTTGTTCAATACAAATTTATAAAGTCCAGGTTATTCAGAGTCTCTCTCAATCAAAGCTTCAAATCTGGTTTTGTTCAATACAAATTTATGAAGTCTAGGTTATTTAGAGCTTCACTTCATGATTTAATAACACAATTTCTAACTTATTTTATAATATCACTTGATTAACTGGATTCATTCATTCCTTACAATTATTTCTGGCACAAATTTATAATATTTTTATTTGATTATTTATAAAGAGAGAAGTACTAAAAAGATATAGACGCTTAGCAATATTATTCAATAAAACTCAGTGATAAGGTAATAGTTTTTCTTACCCAGTGACAGTGCGGCAGTCATGATCAAGAATGACCTGCGACAAAGATGAGACTAGGAGAGTTGTGTCCAGTCCTTCTGAGCCATGAACCAACACTGACACACCTGGATATTGTTTGATTTTGAAATAATTTGCATGCAAAATACATGCTTAAAAAACTGTACTTAATTATATTTATATGTTAAATTTTTTTTTTTTAAATACAAGCATTATTAAAAAAAAATCTTCAAAACATATTTAGCAAACATTATTTCTGAAAAATTAACAAACAAAATATTTCACTGTGCTGTTTTTGAGGAAAATCAACAGTGTAACAATAGAAATGTAAACAAAAACCAACCTTCCTTGTCCATACTTTGGGCAACCACACAAGAAGATGTGATGATGTCCTTCACATGGGTCAGCCAATTGCTGGACTCTAGTTTAGACAACCACTTGTCCATGCTGCTCCCACTGTCATTACATGCTGATTTCAATGTAAACAAAATAAAATTTGTTTTATTTGATTCTTTGTTTTAATTTTCAAAATTTAGACAACTTGTCCATGCTGCTCCCACTGTCATTACATGCTGATTTCAATGTAAACAAAATAAAATTTGTTTTATTTGATTCTTTGTTTTAATTTTCAAAATTTAGACAACTTGTCCATGCTGCTCCCACTGTCATTACATGCTGATTTCAATGTAAACAAAATAAAATTCGTTTTATTTGATTCTTTGTTTTAATTTTCAAAATTTAGACAACTTGTCCATGCTGCTCCCATTGTCATTACATGCTGATTTCAATGTAAACAAAATAAAATTCGTTTTATTTGATTCTTTGTTTTAATTTTCAAAATTTAGACAACTTGTCCATGCTGCTCCCATTGTCATTACATGCTGATTTCAATGTAAACAAAATAAAATTCGTTTTATTTGATTCTTTGTTTAAGTTTTTTAAATGACAAGTATTGAAAATTGTGGTGGGTAATGGTCAGGTGATAGAATGGTTATTTGCTAGCTGGAAAGGGTTGATTTGGGTTCTTGGCTCAAGTCTACTCATCTCTGGTGAGTTCTTGGCATTATTCATAAAGTTAATGGTGGCTGAGTTTGAATCTTGATAGTACCACACAGGAAACAAATAAATTCTACTTCATCTACCCCAAATAATGTAAGGTCTTGAATAAAACCTTACCTTCAATCATTTTAATCAGAGAGTCATGAAAGGACTGACGTCTCTCTACCGGCTGGTGTATCCTTCTCCACTGTGGGTAGTGGGCCTCTAGTTCGTAGCCTCCACCTAAAATAAAAACATGCAATTATTTTAAAAACATTCTACAGGACGACACTTGGGTCTAATAGACAGTACAGGTGCTCTGAACTCCTCATTGATATAGTATGTAATGTCAGATCAATTCTAACTGCACTATGTTGATTACCTTTACTCTGTGCCATTTTGGCAACATTCTGCGCCCTTGTATCCACAATAAATCCTCTTTTACCCATCCCCATCACAGAATTAACAAGCCTCTCATCTTCTTTGCATCTTTTTCCATTTGGGCCAGTTAATGGTTGGCTACTTCGCAGCAATACTGTCTGAAAAATAGGCCACACATTTTTTATTCACATTTCCCATGTTATAAAAGATTTACACTTTAAAACTACCATAATTAAAATTTAAAAAATCAAGAGCTTCTAAATGATAAATAGCAGCCAGACAGGGACTGGTGTAAAAATTTACCTTAGAATCTTTGTGGTAGTAGCTTAACACTGGAAATCTTCCACCCTGTCTAAATGTGGCAGCCTTAATGATGGTTTCATCATCAACATTCTTAGGTACAAACACAGCTTGTGGGTAGGTTGGACATATCTATTTAATAATAAACAATTATTTTAGATTTATTTTTAACAATATCCACACAAAGACAGCTAGTGGGTAGGTTGGACATCTCTATAAAATAATAAAATATTTTAGATTTGGCAGCATTACAATATCTACATACAGACAGCCTGTGGGTAGTTTGGATATCGATGTACATTTCTTTATAATTATTAGAACAAGTACTTGTAACATAAAATTATATACTGTTTAATAACAAAAAAAACAAAAAAAACTACAACTAAAAGATTGTGTTGGTAATCCTCTTTATCTTTAATGAGTTTAATAGCATGAATGAAATCTAAATCAATTTGAAAATAGTAGTTAGATTCACAACATGTTCTATAGGCCTAAAGATTCCATCCTTACAATATTAACAGTAATAACAGTGCGATAGGTTACCTATAGCAACCATAGTTTGTGTAGTTTGGAGTACCAGAGGAGAAGATGAATACTATAGCTATATAATTTAACTAGCTTAATGTTTGCTATTGCTAACAGTGGTTTTACTTGCATAACATTGCTTTATACCAGTAGGCCTACCTTGATACTAAATTATTTACAAAAAAAAAAAGAATAACAAGTTACCAAAGTATGATGTCTCACAGCATGTAGGATAAAGATACTGACCTTATAATCTTTGTTCACATATGAAAGCCTCCAGTCTTCTGAGCATTCTTTAAATCTGTTAAACTCTGTTTCAGGGCTAAAAGCCTGCCACCCATTTTCCAGGACCTCAAACATGGGTCGAAAGAAAAATGGATAGCGCAGTGTGATGTCATCTGTAAATTAAAATAACGAGGGAGTAAAATACTTTTGAATTTTGAAAATTAGATTTATTGCTGTACATAACATGAGTAAAAACTAGTATTTGAATTAGTTATTGAAACTATCTGTTTTCTAATAAATTCAATTCAATCACACACTAAAAATATACAACATATTTATTATAACCATGAATTTTTAAAAATTTTACATACCTATGTTAGACAAGGCTTCTACAGAGGCCGCAACATTGATGCAATCTTCAGCTGAAGGTATTTCTAAATACAGGATGAGGAAATCTTTGCATTTCAGAGTAAGAATTCCACCACTTCCACTTAATTTCTTCTCCACACTGTCAATGTTGTTGTGTAGAAGCTATAGACAGACAGTAACCCAAAATCAAGACACATTACAATTTATTTTAAAACTGTTGATCTCTTTTTAGGGATATATTTTGCATAAGTAATACTGACAGAAATAAACCTACTACAAACCTTAACTACTCTGTATACTGCCCAACAAGATTCTTAAGTAAACCCAAATAAACCTACTACAAACCTTAACTACTCTGTATACTGCCCAACAAGATTCTTAAGTAAACCCAAAAGTTTAACACACATGGAAGTAGAAATGATAATTTTAACACAGATAACCCCTCATACTATACTTTATTTAGATAATGAATGAAAAATAACATTAACATATAGTAGAAAATTTAACTAAATTTTTTTACCCATAGCTCTTCATGGTTCTCACACCTAGATGAAATGATTAAGTGATGGCCTGTAACACACAGGGTCCCCTCCATATCAGGTGTGAAGGGGCGATGCAGTATCACACTGTTCACCATAGGTGTCTTAATAAATTCTGCAAACTCCATGTTGACAATTTCTTTCTACTTTACTCTTTGCAAACTGTTTATGAAAAAAATAAAACAAAATGGGTATTAATCCCGCTGCGATAATAGAATGTAAAAACTGTATTTTTTTATGGCTGACATATTACAAATACTATTTTAAGAGTTAAGGTTTAGGACTAGCTATTTGTTAGTAATGAGTAAAATGTGTACCACTTTTTTAATACCAAATATTTTATAAATCCCCAGACATTGTCACTTTTTGCATTCTCACTAAAAATAACTATACAGCCAATTATTCATTATGTTAAAGAAAGAATGTTAATCCAGTTCGGCTAATAGATTCTTGGTCTATTGATATTATCATACTATAGAATAGATAATATGTAGTTAATGTAGGCCTATCTTTTTAATTGATTGATGAATATTATTATTATGGATGAAGTTGAGAAATTTTGGAGAAGCCCAGAAGTGGGGGAGGATGTAGTGGAGGTATAATGTTAGAAAACTATTACTACTGTACTGATTGTTACTGAGCCTCTGATAAAATATGGTTTTACCAATATCATCCCTTTCAGTCTTGCTATAGTACTGTTGTGTACTGTAGGCAATGTAGGTTTATCAATACAATGTGTAATATCATACAATTATTTTGAATTTACTTAGGCCTATATAATACTATAGGCCTATATAGTCCTAAAATCTGCATAATTGCAAAATATTAGGCCTACTAATTAATTCTACTATTATTATTTACGAGCCGACCCGCGGTGTATTATACGCCGCTATTTAGTTGTTGTATTTTCTACTTTTCAGTAATTCATAATTTGTGAATTCAACAGTATCAAGGCTGCCACTGAAAATATTTGCTTTATAACACTATACCCCCTTCCCCCCCCCCCGTGAAAGCAGCCTGCTCTTAGTTACCTCCTCTAAGTTTAAAATCGTTTCAAACTAAATTATCTGCCCCTAATAGCCGTCACCAAACCCGGCTTGTAAACATTTAGCGTGAACAACAGCTCTCCAGACCATGTGAGGGGGGTGGGGGTGGTAGCAATAGAGGAAGAGAGGGGACTGCAAGGCGCGCTTGCAGCTTGTTTTCTAACGACTCCCAGAAGAGAATTATATATAATATATATAGATATCTTTAAAAACTAACTTATTAAATACAATTTAGGCATAAGCCAAGAAACAAATTCAAATTTAAAATTAGGTAAACAATGCTCAACTGTTAGGCCAACAATAAAATAATTATTAGTAGGCCTAGGCCTACTAATAATACATTTGGAATTATGCCATGCCTCTATCAACTCTACTGCCTACTAGTACTAGAACTAATTCTATGACAAAGACTATGTTGTTTAGAACTAAATCTTGATCTATGAAGTAAGTACATTGGTTATTAATTTTGATCATCACAACATGGATTAATAATAATATTTTAATTTTAATAATAAAAGATATAGCCCCAATTTCATTACGAGTTCATTACGAATAATTATTAATTACGAGTGAGAGAACAACAGCTAAAAAATTATTTTGAGCTAAGATTTTATTTGAGATCATCATCATATGCACTGTTACAAAATGGCTATGTTGCTTGTTGAGACATAAAACTGAGTTTCTCTTGCTACTAGAGGGTTGAAAAGTAAATTAAATCAGAATTAAAACACACTTTCACTTTATTATATGTAGATATTAAAACAGTCCAGAGGGGGGAGACATCATCATAACAGAGTACTTCCGTTTCGTATTTCGTGTATTTTTTTCTTTCACTTTTACGAATTTACATTAATTGGCGCATCTGATTGGTTAACTTCATTAACAACTATTTGTATACACAATGGCGGATCCCGAAGGTATGTAACAGTTTTGCTTAAACTACATACATTTTAAACGTTAGTACACAAAGCTTTATGTATACATTTTTGTACCGTTTCTAGTACCAATTAATCGAAATACTATTATAAAAATACTATTAAAACGCAAGCTTTTGTGGAATATGATCATCCGAATTGTAAAAGTAAAGTAGAAATTTTTTTTTGCATCCGTTACGGTTCCGGCGTTAGCCTACGGCCTACACTACACCTACAACTCGATCAAAAGATCTAGATCTACAATGTGATCTAGAGATCTAGACTAGGTTTATATCAAAACTCTTGACTTAATCTAGATCTACTCGACTTTATCATCATGTACCAGATGTAGAATTTAGAGTAGATCCAGTACAGAAAATAATTAATTAATTTGATTTGAGCTTTACTGCTGCTTTACTCACTTTACTGATTTCTTAGTAATAAGTTAGATCTAGATTCTAGCAAGTCTTAGTTTTCAATAGTTTAATTTTAAATTTAGACTAAAGAGTTTAGAGTTAGAGGCAGTTTTTCGGAGAAAAAACACTAACAAAAATCTGTTAGAGATCACCCATCATTGTATCATTATGATTGCCTTCAAAGCTCTTAACTTTGAACCATGGAACTTTTCAGTTGTGGTATCAAATGTGATACTTTGAAAGTCAACAGCTATAATTATGAATTTATTAAAATGTGTCTAATTTTAGTTAGGTAGAAACTGTGAATTTTTTTCTTTAATTGGTACTTAAAATAAAGTTAGTGTTGTTGTTGTTAATATTGTTGCACTGATTCTAAAACAGGCTCAATTCTTTCCTCACCAGAAGTAGGAAAATTGTCAATAGAAAACTTTGTTGCTTTTAAAAATGCTGATATCACCATTTAAAGCTATTTTTAAAAATAAATTTCCCTAACCCAGACCTTGAACCTAGCCCTTTTCTAACAATAAGCCTAATAAGTAATAACAACCCTAACAGAAAATACTCTGGCCGGATGTTGTATTGTCATGTAATAAGCCTATATGCCTTAGAACTGAATTGTTCAATTTTAGTTATTTTTTACCCTCTCTATACCAAAAGCACATTACAATAAAATTTTATAGGTAATTTATTCACCAATTCACAACTATTAGTATCTAATCATAATGTAAAGTCAAGATTAATTGTGTTTGATTTTTGGAACTTACTTGCTGTTAAGCACTAGGTCTAAGTATTAGTATGCATTTTACATTTCTAAGTTTTGCTCTTTTGCTATTGGTTCAAGAGGGTGAAAGGTTTACCCTTGAAGTGTGGACTAGCTAATGTGGCGTGAAGGTCTCCATATTTGTTACTAACATTGCCTTGGCTCTAATAAAAAAATATATCACTTGAGTTTGGTGGACCCCCCAAATTGTTAACTTATAAGTAGCATTTAAGATACTTTTTAATCCAAGCATAAAATAGACAACGGGCACCAATTAGAGTGATGTTTGGGTAAGATAAGTAAAGACAATATGAATTATAACATTGCATTGGTATTTCTATTTCTCTAGTTTAAAAGATGTTCAGATATAGAATGTTTCTTGTCGGCTGATATACAACTCAATTTTAAACAGAGGAGATATTTATCATGTAATATTTTGCTTAAATGAGCTTGGGGGTCGTCCATAAATGACGTCACACTCGTAGGGGGGAGGGGTCCGTAATTTTGTGATGGTGGGGAGGGGAGGTGGTGGGGGGGGGGGGGGGGGGGGGGGTCAGATCATGCTATGTCACACTTTTGCATTATAAAAAAAAGCAATGTTAGAAAATGAATTTTATAATTTATTTCGCGTTTTACTTTACAAAACTGTTTTAATAGTTCAGGCAAGATTTTGGAAAAATATGTTTTAAGAAAAAATCAACTGCAATATTGAAGGGAGGGGTGTTGTAGACTGAGGTGTGATGTCATTTTAGGGGGGGGGGGGGGGCTGGCTTTTTGTGATGATGTGTGATAGAGGGGAGGAGGGGAGGTAAAAATCATAAAAAAAAGCGTGACGTCATTTATGGATAACCCCTTGAGTCTAACAAGTGCACATTTGTATAAAATCATTGTAGTTTAATAGTGTTATATTTCTATTCTACAAGTCTTTCTATCTCACACACATTTCATATGCACACGCTTTTAAACTCATCTCTTATTCCTTGCATGTTTAATCATAGTCAGATGAATGTAGGCCTACTAGAAAGATCAATACCTCATTAGTGAAGTTAGTTAAGTATAGCAGGTGTTAAATATTAAGTTGAAGCCACTTTTTAAGAATCCCCTTAAGACTTGAAACATCAGCAATTTGAAAGATTTTGGCTTTTTCACTTTTTAAAACATGCACATAAATAGTAGGGGCCAGTCTCTCTTTTTGCATGATGTAAATAAAAATGAAGTCACTTTAATCTCAAATATAAAAACGAGGTCACGCTATTTTTGCAGATAAAAAAAAATACTTTCATCACTCAAAGCCAGCCCCCCCCCCCCTCCCAACTCCCCTTTCCCAAATAAGACATTTGTATGTTCATTTGTATGGACCTAAATTAACACATTTTTCTTCATTTTTACGTTTTAAATAAACAAATGTGACGTCACATATCCTGAACACCCCACCCCTATAACGGACCGTAACCCCCCCCCCCCCCCCCATGTGTGTGACGTCATTTTCTGACGATCTCTTTTTAGCCTATTGTTAAACCCAGGTGCTGTTTATGAAAGATTATAAATCATAACGGTATTGGCGTTGTTGAAAGGCAAGTCACTCTACCGCTACTCTCGTACTTTCATTGAGGGGATTTCATGCCTGGTTGTGTTTTGAAGGCGTTTCGCGTTACTGTCAGGAAGCTTTCATTTATCGTGTTGTATGTACTGGTAATAAAAGTGCAGCACCCTTGGGTTGGAGGAGACCGATATGAATAGATCGATCGATAGTGTTTGACCCGCCTATGTTTAGACATAGCCCGATCTCTGTGTATTTATTTATAAGAGAGTGGAGTTGAGATAGCAGTAGCATGACTAACAGCTTTTACTTTCGGTGCTCTTTTTTATAAGTTTTTATTTTTGGGTTTTACTACAAGACTAATGGATACAGGTTCGTTTTTATTAACCGTAGGGTTTAATTATTTATTTTTTAAATTGCCGATTAGGTTTATACTAATATCGGGGTTATGCATAAATGACGTCACGTTTATTTATTTTTTTACAACCCCCTCCCTATCGTCACACATTGTCCCAATATACCAAACCCTTCTATAATGACGCCAGACCTCAGCCTACGACCCCCCCCCCCCCCCCCCAAAGAATAACAGTTTTTGTTTTTTTAAATATCGAGTATTGAGTATTATTGAGTATATTAATGAATCAGTTTCTATTTCACTTTACCAAAACAGCATTTTAAAAACGCGAAATAACGGCTAAAAATCAGTTTCTTACATTACGTTTTAAATTTCAAATGTGTGTTGTGACACCTTCTGGACCCCCCCCCCCCTTCGTACTTTATCGTCACAAACTCCGACCCCCTCCGACCCCTTGAAGTGGGATGTCATAAATGTGACGACCTGTTATACAGTGACAATAGATCCCTATTTCAGCTGATATATCATTTAAGCATTAAACTTATTTATATATGCTATTTATGACGACCGGCATATCGCTGATATCGCTACCCTACCCATTGGCGTAGCGAGGTCGGGTGTCACCCGGTGCGGCACTTAATGGTGTCGCCCCCCCCCCCCCTCCAGAGGCGTAGCGACTCTTCCCAGGGACAAATTTTCGATTTGCACCCCCTTCCTCAAACTTTCGATTTGCACCCCCGCCCCCTCAAATTTTTCTCTATATATTTTAATATTTTTTTCGCCTTGGTGTCACCCCCCTAAATGGTGTCACCCGGTGCGGTCCGCACCCCCCCCCCCCCCCTCGCTACGCCTCTGATCTTACCATTACAGTAACCATACGAAACGATTGCGGTGATCACGCAGAAAAATAACCTTGATAGAATAGGACCTACTACACACACTTATCCTCCATACCGACCAGAGAAAGAAGTACCTTCATAGTTCTTTAACGGTTTTTAGGGGGTCTTCCAGAAACGACGTCACGCTTTTTAAAACAGCTTTTATACCTCCTCAAACCCATCCTCACAAAAAGCTATCCCTGAGCCCCCCCCCCCCCACCTTAAAAATTGCAATAATTATCATATATTTTTTAAAAAACATAGATTTCTGTTTAAAAGTTAATTAAGCTGCGTCAACATTGAGTATTGATAAATATTTATTACAGTTGACAGAATATCTTTTAAAAGCGCAAAACAAGGGCTAAAGTTTAGTTTTTGTGATAAATCGTTACAAAATTCTGACAACCCTCACCCTTCCCCTTTGGAATGTGACGGGTTTTAGCCCCATTATTTAGCGTATTTAACTAACAAAAATGATTCAAAATAGACTAAAACACGTAACCACTGTAATAAGAACCAAAATGGTGCTTTATTATGTCCTATTGATATCAATGTCCTGTTGTTACCAATGTCCTATTGATACCAATGTCCTATTGTTGCAGGTTGTGGCTATGATAAAATTAATTCATATTGTTTTCAATACAACTTGTTCAAATTAGCCTTCGATCATACTCGCTAATCGACAGTTTCAAGAGCGTTGTCTAATTAGGGGACGATGACATATTAATTTATTATTCTAAACAAAAATTGGACATGCTTTACCCTCTTCCGCCCCCACCCTACTTCAATATTATGCCCCCCCCCCCCCCCTATCAAAATAGTTGTCACTATCTTTTAGACTTGCCACTGCTACGAAACTGATAATTACAGTAAAGTAAATTACAAGTGTTAGAAAATCACTTGTTATAACATTTGTAAAACCTTTTTTTTTCAAAGAAAGAAAGTGAAAGCCAGTTTTGTTTACTTTTTCACCCAGTCATTTAAGTAGGAGAAATTTTGCTGATATACGAATTGAGAAAACTAAATAACACATGTTCTAGAAGAATCAATCAATGGGCCTGACACTTATCAGAAATGCCTAAACAAACTGAGGGCTGTCGTCATTTAAAAACTATTTATTGCTGTTTGTATGTGTGGTAGAGAAGGGCGTGAACATTTGAAAATTGTACGCTGCATAAGTGTTGTTTATGTTTTAAGGGGAAGTAACTATAAGTGACGCACGTGTCAGTATAAAGGGAAGCAATAACAGCGATAATATTCCGTTTTTTTAAATTAGAATATTAAAGTGAGTAGATCTAACTACAATCTATCTTTAGGCACATAAAAAAAATAACTAAAGAGTATAAACGTACTTTAGTTTATTCATTGTTGACTTAAGGATGTTAGGAATGTTTAATAAAATTAAACAAAAAACAATTACTGCCGTCAGTAATAAAAAAGTTCATTTGTTAAGAATGTAACATAGTCCAGTTAATTCTATTAGGGCATACACCTGAAGTTATTCTTATGTAATGTACATCTTAAATGTGAGAATGGATCTTTGGCTGACATGTGGGAGTCGGAACAAAAGGGTCTACAGTATGGTAGTCGGAATAAAAGGGTTTACAGTATGGTAGTCGGAATAAAAGGGTTTACAGTATGGTAGTCGGAATAAAAGGGTTTACAGTATGGTAGTCGGAATAAAAGGGTTTACAGTATGGTAGTCGGAATAAAAGGGTTTACAGTATGGTAGTCGGAATAAAAGGGTTTACAGTATGGTAGTCGGAATAAAAGGGTTTACAGTATGGTAATCGGAATAAAAGGGTTTACAGTATGGTAGGGTAGATGAGGTTTTAACTATTCACGTCTTAGCTCGGACAAGGCGGGAGATTAGTGAATATTTCATGCGGCCATTTTACCGTTCTTTCGTCTTTTACCGACAAGTACAGTTTTAACACGCACAGTTGTCCACCCTATACACACACGCGCGCACACACACGCACACACACACGTAGTTTTCACGCGCGCACATACACACACTTGTTGACCCTATACACGTAGTTTCAACACACACAGCTCTCCCCTCACTACACACGTAGTTTTCAAACATTCAGTTGTCCATCCTTTACACAAACGTAGTTTCAACACACACACATACACACCTGTTGACCTTTACACAAACGTAGTTTCAACACACACACACATACACACAAACGTAGTTTCAACACACACACACATACACCTGTTGACCTTTACACAAACGTAGTTTCAACACACACACATACACCTGTTGAGCTTTACATAAACGTAGTTTCAACACACACACACACATACACCTTTTGAGCTTTACGCAAACGTAGTTTCAACACACACACACACATACACCTGTTGACCTTTACACAAACGTAGTTTCAACACACACACATACACCTGTTGAGCTTTACATAAACGTAGTTTCAACACACACACACATACACCTTTTGAGCTTTACGCAAACGTAGTTTCAACACACACACACACACACACCTGTTGACCTTTACACAAACGTAGTTTCAACACACACGCACACACACCTGTTGACCTTTACACAAGCGTAGTTTCAACACACACACACACATACACCTGTTGACCTTTACACAAACGTAGTTTCAACACACACATACGGACCTGTTGACCTTTACACAAACGTAGTTTCAACACACACACACACACACCTGTTGACCTTTACACAAACGTAGTTTCAACACACACACACACACTCACACACACCTGTTGACCTTTACACAAACGTAGTTTCAACACACACACACATACACACCTATTGACCTTTACACAAACGTAGTTTCAACACACACACATACACCTGTTGACCTTTACACAAACGTAGTTTCAACACACACACATACACCTGTTGACCTTTACACAAACGTAGTTTCAACACACACACATACACCTGTTGACCTTTACACAAACGTAGTTTCAACACACACATATACACCTGTTGACCTTTACACAAACGTAGTTTCAACACACACACACACACACACACACATACACACCTGTTGACCCTTTAGACACATGTAGTTTGCGCACACACACATACACACGCACACCTGTACACTCCTTACATACACGTAGTTTTTACACGTAACTGGCATGTTTTCTTTTTCGTCTATCAACTATTGGTATCTAGCTATACTATGGTCTCTACAATGTCAGGAAGCCAAATAAAATTCGATCACCTACGATTTATTGGAAAACGATCTGATTAGAAATTTATAGCACAGATAACGTTGCGTTGGATCATCTCTACATTTTGACCCCTCCCCCTCCCAGCCCAGCAGATATGTGCATGTAGACCTCACTGTTGTAGTAACTTGACAACACAGTATCCATATTATCTATCAAGTATCAGTGGTTCTCATCCTTCATGTATGTAGACCCCACTGTTGTAGTAACTTGACAACACAGTAACCAGATGATCATATATCAGTGGTTCTCATCCTTCATGCATGTAGACCCCACTGTTGTAGTAACAACACAGTAACCAGATGATCATATATCAGTGGTTCTCATCCTTCATGTATGTAGACCCCACTGTTGTAGTAACTTCACAACACAGTAACCAGATGATGAGGTAACAACACAGTAACCAGATGATCACCTATCAGTGGTTCTCATTCTTCATGTATGTAGGCCCCACTGTTGTAGTAACGTAACAACACAGTAACCAGATGATGAGGTAACAACACAGTAACCAGATGGTCATATATCAGGGGTTCTCATTCTTCATGTATGTAGGCCCCACTGTTGTAGTAACGTGACAACACAGTAACCAAATGATGACGTAACAACACAGTAACCAGATGATCACATATTAGTGGTTCTCATACTTCATGTATGTAGACCCCACTGTTGTAGTAACGTAACAACACAGTAACCAGATGATCACCTATCAGTGGTTCTCATCCTTCATGTATGTAGACCCCACTGTTGTAGTAACGTGACAACACAGTAACCAGATGATCACGTATCAGTAGTTCTCATACTTCATGTATGTAGACCCCACTGTTGTAGTAACAACACAGTAACCAGATGATCATATATCAGTGGTTCTCATACTTCATGTATGTAGACCCCACTGTTGTAGTAACGTGACAACACAGTAACCAGATGATCATATATCAGTGGTTCTCATACTTCATGTATGTAGACCCCACTGTTGTAGTAACGTAACAACACAGTAACCAGATGATCACCTATCAGTGGTTCTCATTCTTCATGTATGTAGGCCCCACTGTTGTAGTAACTTGACAACACAGTAACCAGATGATAACATATCAGTGGTTCTCATCCTTCATTTATGTATACCCCACTGTTGTAGTAACATGACAACACAGTAACCAGATGATCACATATTAGTGGTTCTCATACTTCATGTATGTAGACCCCACTGTTGTAGTAACGTGACAACACAGTAACCAGATGATAACATATCAGTGGTTCTCATACTTCATGTATGTAGACCCCACTGTTGTAGTAACGTAACAACACAGTAACCAGATGATTACGTAACAACAGAGTAACCAGATGATCATATATCAGTGGTTCTCATCCTTCATGTATGTAGACCCCACTGTTGTAGTAACCTGAAAACACAGTATTCATATTATCAATCAAGTATCAGTGGTTCTTATCCAGCTACAAGCTTATAATCCACACCCACCCAGTTGTACTAAACCTACCTCACATATTTTGTAGCCACTTCCTCCTGTGTTGTAGACATTGTAGTGAACTATTCTCTAATATCTTTCCCAACGTTTCTGGGTTTTTAAAAAAATTGTTTTTTACTCAGTAATACTTCCCAATATTTGCTCAATAAATTGCTATTAAAGAGACTTATTTCTGTAACACAATATCCGTTCAAATAATAAAACTGCCAAGTATAAATTTTATTAGTACAGTGAAGCACTGGTCATTGAACTTTAATGGGCCCATTTCTCATGACATGAATGCCCATTTTCCTTCCTGGTGCAACTTATTGGTTGAGGTTTTGTCTCCAGATGCTGTTCTGTATGTGTTTGTCTAGCTGACATCAGCAAACTATTTTTGTTGTGATGTAAGGTGTCATCTAAAATGGACCTTGTAGTTTTTGTCAATTTGACCACAACCTACCTTTTCTTCACATCATCAGCCCCCCACCCCCCTTAAATCTGAAATAGTCGTCACAAGTATTTTTTTAACAAATGTTTTTAAAAAAGTATAGGCTTTTAATATGTTTTTGGGTAATGTTCTATAATATTGCGTTATATATTGTGTTTAATCGACTATTGCAAGTTTAATTGCTTTTTATTTTAAAAACTAAATTTTTTAAAAGTATTAATTATATTGTTTTAAACAATTAACGTTAGAGAGCATTATCTCTCAAAATTGAAGCAATTTAACATTGGCGTACTTAGTTAGGTTTCTTCTCTCTTAATACAGAGGTAACTAACTAAGTGCACAACTGTTGTCATTCACTCCCTTTTTATTTTCTCTATTCTCCAGTTCAGTACAGCGATACTCGGGTTCCGTGTAAAATCTGTGGGAGAAGTTTTGCTCCGGAGGTGTTGGTGAGTCACAGGAAGAAATCTGCTACAAATTTTCTCTTTCCTCTAGCTTTTTACCACACACCATTTCCCTACACCGTCATAACTAAAATCTTCATAAGTAAAGAATTTTAATTTTTTTTCACCAGATTAAACACGGCAATGTTTGATTTTCACCAAACTAAACATTTTTATTTTATTTTCACCACACTAAACATCCCAATGTTTTATTTTCCCCAGACTAAACACAGCAATGTTTGATTTTCACCAAACTAAAATTTAAAAAAATTTTCACCACACTAAACATCCCAATGTTTTATTGTCCCCAGACTAAACACAGCAATGTTTGATTTTCACCAAACTAAAATTAAAAACAATTTTTCACCACACTAAACATCCCAATGTTTTATTTTCCCCAGACTAAACACAGCAATGTTTGCAAGAAAACAGCAGCCTCAGCCTCCAAAAGGAAACCATTTGATTCATCTAAGCAGCGAGTGATTGAGGGGGAGCTGTCGCTCAAGCAGATTAAACAAGCGCAGAAAAAGGTTTGTAAACTTCACTGCAGTCACTAATTTATTTTATTGTAAGCTTTTGTTTGCTTGAGAAATCTTTTCAATACAACTTATCTACCTGAGCTTTTACTATTATAGCTATAGAAAGTTATATATTTGTTATATTATCTTAAATGCATTTAAATCTTGTTGCTATAAAATTCTTGTTTTATTTCAACTTTGCTCAACTCTTTGATGAGAAAAAATGTTTTTCATTTGGACAATATAATACTTTGCTAAATATCTGAAGTACAACATCTATATTATTTGCTTCAAGTTTTTAAATTATTGGCAATTATTTTATACAATTTTTTTCTTCTTCTTCGTATTTGGAGCATAGGGCAAATATCCTACATAGCAAATGAACACAATTAGTAGATACCTTCTTTATTTTCTTCAAAATCGCTTAATTTCCTTCTTGACTGATCTACGTTTTTTCAGTTTCCTGTTGTGTTCCACTCCAATGCAGGATTTGTCCACTGATCTCATGTGTATGATGATGGAATACTTTATCCATTACTATTTCCTAGCATTAGCTTGAAAATAAAGCTGTCAGGATTTGTCTGTGAGAAAATCAAAACCCAGAGCAAACTTTAAATAATTAATTGTTTATTTAAAGCTTGTTTATATTATTTACGGCTTCAAAAACATCTTGCAAGCTTCTGTAGAAGCCAACTGAACACAAACATATCCATGCACTGTTGTGATGTATGCTTTGTTAATTTTGAACTGAAAAAATAAATAAATTTATTCCTCATGTACTCATTGCTGTTGGAAATGGTAGAATGTAAGTCCTATGTTGTAATGTAAATTATGGTAGGGGATAAATAAGTTGGTATTGAAATTGTTTTTATCCCCTATCACATACATTTTGAAAGTTTATTCAAATGTGTTTAAACATTTTTAAAAAAATATCAAAAGTTTTCTTGTCCTTTATTTGTTAAATTACTTTCTTCATTTATTTTCTAAAAAAGAAAAAGTCAAATAATGTTTATTAAATTTTATATAAATGAATTTTTTATTATAAGAGGCTCAAAATCAATGGGCTGATGGCTGGTTTAATTCTTAACCTTTTAAGATTTAAAAAAGCATTGTAATTTTGATAACACTACCCTAATGGAAAAAGAAAGCATAATTCAATTGCATCTATTATAATACAAATTAATATTATTGTAAATTTTTAATAATATTCTTATTAATTTTTTTTGCCACAGTTGTTTTATTAAAATATATACCAGTATATTTTTGACAAATTTTTACAGACAGTAAATTATATTACTTTTCTAATAATTTAACAGCAATATTCCTGAGGAGGACATGTAAATAACATTTACTGGTAATTTTGTCGTAGATTGTTTAGTTATTCCAGACTCATGATGTCAGTGTATCTTTAAGTTGCCAGTGCATGCTATTCACCTGTTCTCTTTGCCTGTGTGTCTAGGAAATAAAGCCACCCAAGTCCCACTGGAGAGAGAAACATGAAGATTTCATCAATGCTGTTCGTAATGCCAGGGGTGTGCAAGCTGCCATTGACTCCGGTGGACCCCTCCCACCACCCCCACCTCCATCTATTAATCCAGGTACAATATTTTTCATTCATGTTTACGTTACATTTATCATGCTTTAAATGATAGCCTGTTCTGCTGTGAGACATCATCATCGTTCCTTTGTGGCCCCTGGGGAGCAAAGGGCTGCAACCACACATCTCCATCGGACTCGGTTTTGGGCTGCCCCCTTTATCTGTGCCCATGTGAGCCCAGCTGTTTTCGCCTCTTCTTCAACCGTTCTTCTCCATGTCTTCCTTGGCCGGCCCACCCTCCTTTTTCCATGGGGATTCCAGTCCAAAGCGTGTTTTGCGATGTTTTCTTTTTCTTTTCTTAATGTGTGTCCGATCCATCCCCATTTACGGGCTTTGATATGTGTCTCTATTAGCTGTTGCTTTAAAGTTCACCACAGGTCTTTGATATTTTGTGTGAGAAGTTAAGGAATATTAGACAAAGCAATAATAGACATCCAGTGCCCATACTGTTCTAGAAGGTTTAGCCCTCAGGCTGCTGATGTATTCCAAGATCTAATTCATGTTTCCTTCTATCTCTAAGATTACATCCAGTGCCCATACTGTTCTAGAAGGTTTAGCCCTCAGGCTGCTGATGTATTCCAAGATCTAATTCATGTTTCCTTCTATCTCTAAGATTACATCCAGTGCCCATACTGTTCTAGAAGGTTTAACCCAAGGCTGCTGATGTAGTCCAAGATCTAATTCATGTTTCCTTCTATCTCTAAGATTACATCCAGTGCCCATACTGTTCTAGAAGGTTTAGCCCTCAGGCTGCTGATGTATTCCAAGATCTAATTCATGTTTTATTCTATCTCTAAGATTACATCCAGTGCCCATACTGTTCTAGAAGGTTTAACCCAAGGCTGCTGATGTAGTCCAAGATCTAATTCATGTTTCCTTCTATCTCTAAGATTACATCCAGTGCCCCTACTGTTCTAGAAGGTTTAGCCCTCAGGCTGCTGATGTATTCCAAGATCTAATTCATGTTTCCTTCTATCTCTAAGATTACATCCAGTGCCCATACTGTTCTAGAAGGTTTAGCCCTCAGGCTGCTAATATAGTCCAAGATCTAATTCATGTTTCCTTCTATCTCTAAGATTACATCCAGTGCCCATACTGTTCTAGAAGGTTTAGCCCTCAGGCTGCTGATGTATTCCAAGATCTAATTCATGTTTTATTCTATCTCTAAGATTACATCCAGTGCCCATACTGTTCTAGAAGGTTTAACCCAAGGCTGCTGATGTAGTCCAAGATCTAATTCATGTTTCCTTCTATCTCTAAGATTACATCCAGTGCCCCTACTGTTCTAGAAGGTTTAGCCCTCAGGCTGCTGATGTATTCCAAGATCTAATTCATGTTTCCTTCTATCTCTAAGATTACATCCAGTGCCCATACTGTTCTAGAAGGTTTAGCCCTCAGGCTGCTAATACAGTCCAAGATCTAATTCATGTTTCCTTCTATCTCTAAGATTACATCCAGTGCCCATACTGTTCTAGAAGGTTTAGCCCTCAGGCTGCTGATGTATTCCAAGATCTAATTCATGTTTTATTCTATCTCTAAGATTACATCCAGTGCCCATACTGTTCTAGAAGGTTTAACCCAAGGCTGCTGATGTAGTCCAAGATCTAATTCATGTTTCCTTCTATCTCTAAGATTACATCCAGTGCCCATACTGTTCTAGAAGGTTTAGCCCTCAGGCTGCTGATGTATTCCAAGATCTAATTCATGTTTTATTCTATCTCTAAGATTACATCCAGTGCCCATACTGTTCTAGAAGGTTTAACCCAAGGCTGCTGATGTAGTCCAAGATCTAATTCATGTTTCCTTCTATCTCTAAGATTACATCCAGTGCCCCTACTGTTCTAGAAGGTTTAGCCCTCAGGCTGCTGATGTAGTCCAAGATCTAATTCATGTTTCCTTCTATCTCTAAGATTACATCCAGTGCCCATACTGTTCTAGAAGGTTTAACCCAAGGCTGCTGATGTAGTCCAAGATCTAATTCATGTTTTCTTCTATCTCTAAGATTACATCCAGTGCCCATACTGTTCTAGAAGGTTTAGCCCTCAGGCTGCTGATGTATTCCAAGATCTAATTCATGTTTCCTTCTATCTCTAAGATTACATCCAGTGCCCATACTGTTCTAGAAGGTTTAGCCCTCAGACTGCTAATACAGTCCAAGATCTAATTCATGTTTCCTTCTATCTCTAAGATTACATCCAGTGCCCATACTGTTCTAGAAGGTTTAGCCCTCAGGCTGCTGATGTAGTCCAAGATCTAATTCATGTTTCCTTCTATCTCTAAGATTACATCCAGTGCCCATACTGTTCTAGAAGGTTTAGCCCTCAGGCTGCTGATGTAGTCCAAGATCTAATTCATGTTTCCTTCTATCTCTAAGATTACATCGAGTGCCCATACTGTTCTAGAAGGTTTAGCCCTCAGACTGCTGATGTATTCCAAGATCTAATTCATGTTTCCTTCAATCTCTAAGATTACATCCAGTGCCCATACTGTTCTAGAAGGTTTAGCCCTCAGGCTGCTGATCGCCACATCAACTTCTGCAAAGAGCAGCAGTCGCGGCTACCTAGGAGCAAACCTAGCCCTGTCGCTGCGGCTAAGCAGAATACTAGACTAAACGTAAGTTGTTGACTGTCTCACATTTTGTTCGAGGGTTTTCTATCAAGGAAACAAGGACAGTGTTGGAAAATATGATAATTATTGAGTGTCTAATTTTTAGAGATTATGTGACATTGTTTTTTTTTAGTAAAAACTAAATTAAATTTTATTAGAAGATACAGGTCATTTATATTTTATTAACAAGTTTCACTGTTAATTAAATTAACTATGCATTTTTTGCTTTAATAATGTTAAAGCAAATTTTGAAGATTTACCCATTAATTTTGGGGAAGGGAGAGTGTTTCAAAGTTTACATTTACTGAAACTTTTGAGAATCGGTAGCATCTCTAAGCAAGAAGTTTCAAGTTTTATTTTATCATAACTAATTTATTATTTTTTCTATCATTCCACAAGGCTCAATTGTCAATTTGAAAATGAAGCATCGTTTATCTGGACAAATGATATAATTATTTATAAAACAAAGTTAACTAAACAAAAAATACTCAATGCATTTTTAACAATATATACATCTTTTTTTATATATAAATATGTAAATATATAACATTTAAATTAAAGGAACACAATGAAATATAAATATGTCTTGGTTTTTCTTTGTCAAGAAGTTTTTAATAATTTTTAATTTGTGGCATTACTTACTTTTAAATTTAATTATATTTGTTTGCATTTCATTTGTTAAATTCAACATTTTTGGTGAGTTTTGCAAGTATTATACCATATTCTATTGCCTTCAGGTTTTCACCTTTTTTTCGTTTATCTAAATAATTATTGAGCAAGTTTTTGTTAATCTAAATAGTTGTTTTAGAACATTATTTGAAAAGGGATAAATCATATAGTTTTTATCACTATTTAAGTTTACTCCAGCTCACCTATTTAAAAAGTTTAATTATCATTACTGTCAAAGATCAAGTTTTATTTTTTTTTATTTTGATAGTTCTATTTTATTTTTATCACAATAAAGAACCTGTTTGGATTTTTTAGAATCACAAATTTAAAAAACTGTTAGTACCTCTAAAATAACACAATGCATTAGTTATATTAGTTTTGAAATGTGTGTACACTGAGAGAAATTCACTGTATGGACTGTTGACTACTTAAAATATCTCCATCATTATTAATTACTACTTCATTTCTCTTAGTTAGTTAATGTTAAGTTTAAAATCTATAGTGATGAATGAAAAGTTAAATAATAAAAAATATTTTTAGCTTTTATAAAAAATTATTATTAAATTAATTATAAATTAATTTTAAAAATTTAGTTGTATTTATAATGTATTCTAATGCATTACTAGTTTATGTTAAAAAAAAAAGATAGTTTAACATGCTGTTTATTACACCTACAGTACCAGGCACCCAAGCCTAAAGCAAAAACAACACCCGCTGCTGCCCCTGCTCCCAGTGCTCCTGCTGGCCGGGGATCAGGTACAACACTTTTACTCTCTGCCACATCATTGTAACATCATCATCATCATCGTTTCTTGTTCGTGCCCCAAAACACATGGGACAGATGAAGTAGAGCCCATCTGTGTCCGTGACCTTGACATTCAGGGGGAAAGTGTGGTCAGCATTATGCCCAGCTGACTTGTTTACTCTAACCTGAGTCAGGTACCCATCAGAGCTGGGTGGACTCGGGGAGTTCCTACAGATTCAAGCTCAAGATTTGAACTCGAGACTTTCAGGTTTTGCAGCCAAATGCTCTATCATACAACCATGCCCTGATACTTGCATAGAAGTTAATACTTTTGGGTTTTAATATTGCTAAGACATTTACTAGACAGTTCATGAAAGAGGAAACAAAAGCCATAATTATTGCTCTATAAGATTCACTTTTATAATCATAAGCTACGTATACATCAGTGCTAAAATGAAGTTCTTATTTTATTGTGTTCAAGTTGCTGATTAGATTCTTTTGTTTTTTTAATTTATAGCCATGATATTTAGCATTTTGATTCATGTGAATATTTATTCTTACTTTTTATTTTCTCTAGCTTCAGGTAGAGGTGCTCCACGAGGTCGAGGTGCCCCGGCCCCAGTAAGTATTTGAGTGATCTCAGTCATGCAGGTTTATAGTTTAAATCAAACACAACTGAACTTTTGTCACTTATTCAATTTCCATCCTACACAACATATCTATTTACTTTAAATTCCTCAGGGGCGCAAATTTTAAAAGACAAAATAACATTGGACCAAATGCAAAGTCACCAAAGCACCTGTGTCTTACACTAATTTTAATAGATTTATGTAATTTTTTTTTACTTTAAAATGTGTATGAATCTTACTTGAATTAATAATTTTGTGAATTTTAGATTTTTTTCTTGAGTGAGAAAATCAAATATTTCTTTTATTTACTGAAGAAATTAATCTGCAAAAAATGTGAACTTGGACTATTCAATTTTGTATAAATTATAATTTTTAAATACCAGGATTTTAATTCAATTAATTAATTAATCTGGTTTTATGCATGTTTTTAGAAAAAACTTTTAAATGTTTTAAAAAAACTAAAATAAGTAGATTCTGTGTATTAGCTAAACTGCTATTGAGTTGTCAAAGAATGGTTGCTGTGTTCACTAAGTATCAGGGAACATCCACATCACATCACCATCACAGATTATGGTCCATGTGTGTGTGTGAACTAGCATTTGTCATTTTCTCTATGTATTAGATTAGCATTAATGTCAGTTAAATATGTATATTTCAAAGTCAAACCTTATTATAGTTTAAAAATTTCTTTAAAATTATTGGGGCTTTGAAGTTTTAATTTTTTTAAAATATGTTTTAATAATATATTTAACTGTGGGTGAATTCACATTTTGTTTACATATAAATGAAATAAATGTAATAGATGTTAAAGAGGGTTTATTTATTTAAATTTTAATAATTCAATTCCTAGAAACACTGAGACAAGAAAAATTTGCTGATGTAATTATGCTGTTGTGGAAAAAGTAATGTAGGATAACACATCTTTTCTAGTGTTATTCATGTAAGCAAACATAGCAACAGAACACAATTTCCTATTATGTTGCTCATATTATATAACAAAAAAATTTGAAATAAAATGTGTTATTACTTGTTAGATTTACTGTTACAGTAGTGAAACCTTTGTCCTTACTGATAAACTATATGATGTTTTATTTTATTCTAAATTATTGCTTTAATTAAAAAAATGATTATTTTAGCCAGCTCAATTAGCTGAAATATGTCTTTTTCTTCTTATGTTACTGTTAACTGGCTTAAAATTTTGAAATATATAATAATTTGTTATAATACTAATTTTTTTGTATGATTGTTTGAAGATTTTTTTTTACAATTATAAAGTGCTATATAAAATTGTATCATTCCATCTTTTTAAATATGAATTCAGGTGTGAGTATGCAATGAAATTTCTTTGAATTGCAAAAAAAATATTTATTTGCTTTGGTGCATGATGTACACATGCTTATCTCTGCATATTTTACATTTTATTTATATTTAAGTTTATTATGGCTTTCCGTCCCTATTTACTACAGCAATATTATTTTAATGATCGTCTCATTTAATTTTTTGACTTATCATATTGTGATACACATAGGGTTTTATTTCAATAGATGAATAAATACATTCACAACATACAACTTGTTTACAATTTTGTGTTCACCCAGTGTGATTGTGAAAATTAATGAAATTCTTCCAGCCAGATAAGCATTAAGTGGGAGAATAATTTTTACTTTAAAACCCAGCTATCATGTGAATTAATTAGCCTCTAAGACCTACTGTGAGGGCTGTCTAACCTTATGCCATTCATGGGCCACATGGTTATCATTATTGTCCTATAAAAATGTATGGTGGTGTCGAGAAGATTAAGTTCAACTAACTTCTCATGTGCAACTTGTCATTAGTGTTGAAACTAATATCCATGATTATGTTTAAATGATGTAAAACACAAGCTGTTGACATGGAGAATTTTTAACTCTGAGCAAAGTGTAGCCAAGAACATTTAATATGAAGTATGAAGCTACACTAGAATTTTATTTAACCACCTGGTAGCTGTGGCAAATATCGACTGCATAGAAGACACAGTATATTCAATTTCTTGTGAAATCAATATACACTTATACTTACATTGGCAATAACAGAAGCTACCTGAGCACTTATGTTAAATGTCACAAAATTATCATTCTGACACTAACAATATTTTACACTATTTTAAAATGAGAATTATAAACTCAATTTTCTTGAGAATGTTTTTAGGACATACTGCATATAGTCAATTCGAATAATAAATTACTCACAACTATTTGTACAAAGATCTTTTAAGTCAACACATCAGCTGTTATGTTAATGGTCATCTAACAAAGAACTTAAAGACACATGACAAGAAAAGATGAAGATGAGCAGACAGTGGCATTGAGAATATTTGAATAGAAATACATTTAGAAATACAAAATATTAATTAAAAAACACAATGGACCTTGGTTTAAAACAAAATTTATTGGTCTACAACACAAAGTGAATTTGAAATAGTTCAAAACTCTAATTGCCACATACAATTGTTAAATTTTCATTAAATTTTATCCTGCTGTATCTGTGTATTAATATCTGAATGGTAGTTAATATTCTTTTTTCTGTTTATTTTTCTTATTCTAATTGATAGAAAATAAAATTATTTTATAGAGATTATTGTTTTTGATCACCATGATATTTTAAGTCATCAATAAAATAATTAGTTTTATCTAAGACAAAGAAAATATACTATTTGTAAATTTTAAATTTTATTTATTTTTATCTGCACCAAAAATTAATATTTCCAAAACAATAAGGTGTATAAAATAACCTTAGTGTATTGAAATCAAATAGAAGGAATGAAACAAATATAAAAAAAATTAATCAAATTTAAATAATAAAAGAATGACTTCTAATGAAATCATTAAAATCCATAAGCAGATCTTAAAAAAAGTTAAAATCTAAACCTAACCTGAATCAACTGTAAAATATTTCACTAATTTCTAAAATAAAGAAAAGCTCTCATTATGGGTATTCATAAAATTGAACACAGTTATCATGAAAAAACAATAGAATATTTTTTAATGCCTGTAAAAGGATTAAGCAATATCAATATCCAGCATTGAGAGAAAACAGTTGATAAACTTGAATGAGAAAAGAATGTGGTTCAATAAGGTATATGAGTGTTTCACTAAAAGTGCCATAGAGCAAATAAAAGGGATTTCTGTATGGCAAAAAAAACTTTGGGAGTAAAAAAAAAATCCTGAGTAAAAGAAGGCCCATATCAGTGAAAAATGTATTAATAAAATATGAACAGTACTATAAAGTTAAAATTGATCATGTACTTGTTTCTGAATGCTTCAAGATTTAAATAAAAGAGTTGTTACATTTCAATAGCTGCTTTAGAAAGATGTTTAAGTTGAGAATGAATATGCATAACATGCATAAAAAAAATAAAAATATGTTTTCTCAGTCTTTCCACTCTAGTCCAACAGTCTGGTATATAAATGCGTAAATGTCTGTGATCTCTTCAATCTGGAGGTAAGAAAAAAGATAACAAAGGAAAACTTTTATTATTAAAGAGCATTTTTCTAAAATTTACACTAGAAGTAGTTGATATGTGACTTACCACTTTAGCTGTAGGTTTACCAAAGCCATGGCCTGATTTGGTGTCTACACGTATTAAGATTGGGTTGGTCTGATGAAAAAAAAAAGGTTTAGATTGGTTGAAACAACTATTTTGGATTTAATAGACTCGTGTTCTGTATCCCCATTTTAAGAATAGATTCTTCTTCTTTTTCTTTGTTCTTAATTGTAATGTTGGATAAAATTTCCTCAAACACATTTAAGTATTAGGTGTCAACTATATAGGAGGTTGACTCGCATTTCAGCCTGCTTTTCTTTTTGGATTTGCTTCCATAGCCTTTGTCCAACCAAAAACAAACTACAAGGTAGCAGTTGTTTAATTTTTTCTCTCCTAAATGAGATGCTGTCCCCAGCTATCAAGCCTCATCTGCCACGGGGATTCGAACTCGGTTTAGCAACCATTTTTACCGACCCAACAATGTAGATTATATGATAATGTCAAAATTTGGGCAAGTTGAATCCAAGGTATGTATTTGCTAGTTTCACTTTGAACTTAATGTAATTGTCCTGCCTGTGTTATCATAAAAACTAAATAAATTTAACAAATGTTTGAATAACAAACATTTAAATGACACCTCTGTTATACATGATCTTCAGTAGAAGAAATAGAATAGTTTACTCAACTCAGCTTTTAAAAAAGTTTAATTTCTCTGTAAACAACTACTTCACTCATCACTTAGTATGACCAGGTTGTGAAAAAAAAACCCCAGTAACACTGACCTGGTTTTCAAGTTTTCCATACTTGTGCTGCAGCTCAGCAATAAATTTCAGTGAGTGAAGGGGCACAACTCTGTCGTCATGATCACCAGTTAGCAGAAGTAGTGCAGGATATTGATGCTTGTCTGATTCTTTTATTGTATGCAGGGGTGAATATCTGAAATTATCAATTTGTTTTTAAAAAACATTTTTATTTTGTATTATAGTATAAACCAATACCAAAGTGGATTGTTAAATAAGGTCTTTTAAAAAGATCATGGCAAAAATGACTGTTTATGAAAATTTGACTACTCTAAAACCCAATCATAAATATGGAAGGAAAAAATACTTGATGAGCCAATTAAATTGTTCTGGGTCATCACTTGATCCATAATCTGAAGTCCATGCATGACCAATTGTGAACTTGTGGAATCTCAACATATCCATCACTCTGAAAAATAAAAGACGTGTTGAAAGTTTTAGTCCTTTGTAAACAAAGACGAGAAACTATGCAAAACAAAAAATATATAAATGAAATTAGTTTCTATTTTAAACCAGACTATAATGAATGCATTAAATGCATACAAATATGATTTTGATCTGGCATAAAGGTAAACCTTTAATACTGACCCCACTTGAGCTATGCCTCCAGCAAACAGATCTGGTCTTTGGTTCAAGCTTGCACCAACCAACAGCCCACCATTAGATCCACCATTGATCACAATTCTTGTATTAGAAAAATTTAATTTATTGTTTATTTGTCAATTTCAGCTTTTCAATTCTCTTTTTCGACATAAATTCCATGCACGCACACAAAAAAACAACTACAAAAAAAATTTAACCTAAGCAATTTACATAATAAAAATATTTAAAAAAAACTGTTTCAAAAATGAAATGTTAAAAACAGTATTTAAAAAAAAAAACTTGAAAACAATTAATGAGCTTACTTTTTACTGCTTGTGTAGCCTTCATGAATCAGGAATTGAGCAGCAGACTGGAAATCATCAAAACAGTTTTGTTTCTTGTCTAATGAGCCAGCCTTGTGCCAGGTTTCTCCATACTCTCTAAGAGTTGAGTTCAAATTATCAATTTTAAAACAAGAAAAATTTTCAGAATAAACTGATACTTATTCACAATGATATAATCAAAATCCAAGAAAACTTTAGACTTGTATTTTTTTTAAATTTTAAATTTTTTTTTTATGATTGACAAATAAAGGGATTTGATAGATTTCTATACTACAGTTTTTTCTTCATTTTTGTGTGTGTGGGAGTAATTAGACAAAGAAAATGCTTATAAGACAGGTAGAAGGGACAGGTTGATTTCCCACCTATTTTGGTTGTCACCAGGGTTTTCATTCTCTAGTGCACAACACCCTTGGATGGGGGTGTGGTGGGAGGGGGGTCAAAGTATAACTAAGGCCTAGGTAACAATAAACTTTTGACTTCATATTAGTGAGCCATCTACTATAGCATCCCCAGACATCAAAGATATTAATTTGGCCAATTTATTAACACTATTTTACACTTATAAGAACTTTATTCTTAGCTTATCTGTGCACATTTTAGCCCTGTTGTCGGACTTTGTTCAAATAATATTTTTTCCATTAACTTTTGTAAAGAGAGCTTCATCAACTGGAAGAATTATCTGTTAAATGGCTTTGATTTTTTTAAAGCTACCAGGATATCTAATGGTATAACACATGATTAACTTACCCTCCACCCCTGATGTTGGCAACAGCATAGACTCCATTCAAGTTCTGAAGGAAGACAACTCTAGATGGAGAGAAGGATGGAGTTACTGATATACTGAACCCTCCATAGCCATAGAGAAGTGTTGGGTTGTTTCCATCCTTGACTAGGCCCTAATGAGAGATGAAGAAATTGAAAATATCAGAAAAAAAAGCATTGACAGAATAGTTTAAAAAATAAAACCAGGTGCATTGAATAGTCTCACCTTTTTATGGACAATAAACATAGGTATCTTGGTTCCATCATTACTTTTGTAGAACACTTGCTCAGTTTCAAATAAATTTGCATCAAAGTTTTTCACTGATATTTCCCTGAACAGCTGTTACAATAAACATGAAGATTAATTGGTAGAAAAAAAAATGAAATAAAAGAATAGATTCCTAAACCAGAAAGGAAATTACTAGTGAAGTGAACTCTGACCTTTGGCTTGTAATCTGTGGTGTTCATGTCACAGTGATAAATTACTCCAGGGGTAAGGAAAGACAAAAACTGGTAGAAAATTTCTTTCCCTTTTTTCTTCCCTGAGAAACCCACAACACTGCCCACAGGCAGTGGGAACTGGAACCTCCGCCCCCCAGACACAAGATCGTACACATACAGCTCATTCTGTGGAGAGGGATACACAATTATTTTAAATGTGGAGAAATATACATTCATTTTAAAGTGGAGGAGGAATCTCATTTATTTTAAATGAAAGACAAACATTTAACATGTTGGGATAGGCACACATTTATTGTTGTGGAGAAATATAAACATTTCTTTTAATTGTGGGGAAAGATACACATTTATTTTAAAGTGGTGAAAGATATATATTTATATTGAAGTATAGAAATATACACATTTATTTTAAATGTGGGGATAGGCAGACATTTATTTTAGATGTGAAGAAAGTCCCTAATTAAATTTAAAAGTGGGGAAAAACATACATCAATTTATTATAATAAAAAAATGAATATAACTTAAGGCAAAACAGGCAGCTTTAATAAATAAAATGTAACAGTATTATCAGTTTTTACTAGAGGTGATCAATAAAATGTATATTTAGCAAGACAGTATTTGAGTATTAGAATGTCCAATGCCTAAAGGAGATCAATGCATGACAAACTGTCACACTAAAACTGTGTTCAGTGTGTAGGAAAATCAATGGTGGGATTTCACAGGTTTACTATGTCAAAGGTGTGCAGCTTTGAGTTATAGGTTAAATACATGTTCTCTATCATTGGTTATTGGTGAATGGCATTAAAACAGAATTTAATTGTGTATTTCATTTCTATGTTAGGTTGACACCTAGGGATTGTACACCTGCTACACAACACAAAAAAGGGGGGTTTGGGTGGTAGCTCATCATTTGGTTATAATGTTATATGGAGTGCATGATTCCTTACTTCTAATGTATTTTATATCAAATATAACCTATTTTTTCAAGTAAAATTAATAAAAAACATTTTTTAAAATCAACAGATAATGACCTTGACATCCCTGAGATAACATAAAATCAATTTGTCTTCATTAACACAAGATGCCCATTCTAAAACTGCCTTATCATCTTCTTCGACTAGCGTGACCCAGTTTTCCTATAAAAATTCAAATCAAAATATTATTTGTTATTATTTAATCAAAACAGTAAAATATAGGCAAGATAAAAACACAATATTTTAATATTTTTCAAATTTAAAATTATTTCGCTTTTCTTAATTACAGACAAAAAAATTGACTTACTGGCTCAGGTTTGGTTAAATCAATGTTTATCAGTTTATAATGTGGTGCATTCAAATTTGTTTTGAATGTGAACAATGTGCCTTGGTTGGTGATGTACTAGGGAGAAGAAATAAAATACCATCCCTGGATTAATAAAGGATGCATATTGTATGTTCAATAGCTTTGAATACGACCTTAAAGAAACAAATACTATTTTAAGACAAAATAACTTAACATTATTTTACATTTAACAAAAGTGTTTAATAAGAAAAAATAGACCAAAATCCATATCAATTACTATTTAATTATCCTTACAAACACTATAAATAATTTAGAATAGCACTTAAGTTATATAATATGTTTTTAAGATAATAATAGAATATGACACTGATAAGCTAAAGTATTTAACTATGTAAGCCATAGTATTGAAAACTGGATGTGAGTGCTGAGACCTCAAAACTGCCTTTAAAAAACTGGCACCATTTCAAATTCTGACCTAATGTAATTCTTCTACACAAGAGTTCTATATCAACAAAGTAGATCAACATCACATGTTCACACAAGGACACTTCATTAATCAAAAAGCAATGTATGATTAATAACTAAGCCAAAGTACAAGTGTGTATTAAAGTTAAACAGCAAACAGACACTGAAGATAATCCAGAACTGTGTAACTCGACTGTTCAAAACTGTACTACTCAATTACTGGCTAGTTAAATAACTTAAAAAAGTATAAACACATTTTTAAAAGTATTTTTTATATAAAAAATTATTGTGAAAAAAATGCTTCTACAATTTCCATTTAATTAAATTTAAAAGGTTTTTGTATAGACAACTTTAAACTGACATGCTAACTTTTTAGTTCTTAAGTAACATAAAGAAATGAAATAAATAATTTGAAAAATAGATATATCCCAATACGAACTTAGCTAAAGAATAAAGGATAGAAAATAAACAGAATAAGATGTTATTTTTAGAATGTTTGCATTTATTGTATCAAAAAATGAAATAGGAAAAAGTAGCTCACCTCATATTCAGCATCAAAGTTATCAACAATTTTCACGTAGGGTAGAATTCCTGAAATACATTAACACTTGTAATGTAGAAATTATAATTAGGAATTCTACTTCAATGAATAAAAAGAAAGTAATTTTTAGTCTCAAATTAATTAACAATTGTAATAGACTAATTAAAAATTAGGAGTGATAGTGACATGAATTAATAGAAAAAAGTATTTATTCTAAAGGACCTCACCTGTGATTCCTTCTGTCAATGTCTCTAGGTCAACATAGTAGAGCCTATTTACTGGATCACATCCTTCTCTTGGTGTTAAAATAACATACCTGCCACAGTCAGTAACTTCGGCACCACTAAAACAAATTATTTTTTAAACCTTTTACAGTTAAATTTGAGATGGAAATTCATATCAAATTTCTTTTCCCATTTCTGACTCCAGTGCACTAAAGTAATTAAATTAATTTTTTATTTTGAAAAAAGTCACAGAAAAACAGTCACCCTGTCATCTGTTAAGAATTATTCTCAATAAATTTTAGATAATCAAACCAAATGGGGAAAAAAAACTATGTAAAATTGCTAAAATAGTTTTTACAATAATGTCTGGAAAATGTGTTTTAATATTTTTTCAGTATTCTCTTGTTAAGCCAGAGAAGAAATAGTTTTCTCTTTAGGTTGTGTATGTTTAGTATTGTACCTCTACAACAGATGTAGTAGAAAAATGACTTGCTTTGTTATAGAATTTTAAGAATTAATATTTATACTTTGAACCTACATCATCCATTTAGGGTATGCTGGCATTTCAGCAACCAAAATATCTTCACTCTGTTTAGTACCTAGCTTGTGGTAGAACAGTTTTTGGTCTACGTTGGTTGTAGTTTCTGTACCATCTGTTTTGCCCCCTTGCTTTGGAAAACTCTGAAGAAAAAAATTCCAGCTTTTAGTACTGCTATTTCAAAAATGTTCTGTTAAAACCAATAAAAGAATAACCTTGGTGAAACTTATCTTACATTGTAGAAAAAGCCCACATGGTCATGTAGCCAGGTCATGCTGGAGAATTTAACTCTTTCTAGAACATCAGGCAAGTCTTCACTAGACGGGGCTTGTTTGAACTGGATAAAGTAAATTTAAATTTTAAATATTTAGAACTGAAACAAATAACACATAACAAATAGCATTTTAAAATGAAAACTATTTGCTGCCAATATTTCTAAACATTGCATATTAAAGTAAAAAAATATTTTTAAAAATTAATTACGAACCAATCCAAATCATTTTATGCAAAGAATAGCTAACCTTAATAGTGACCCAATCTGAACCACTTTCACTTAAGCCATATGCTAAAACCAATCCATTTTCAGTAAAAGCAGAACCTCTGAGAGACACTGTACCATCTTCTGACAATGCATTTGGGTCAAGGAAAACACGAGGCTCTGCATCAATGGAGTCTTGCACGTACATAACACTGATAAAAATTTGCAATTAAAATACTGTACAAAACTGCTAACTAAATTTAACAGAAATTTGTATCCTAATACAACAAAATAGGTGACAATCTTACCTCTGGTTCTGCAGCCCTGTGTTGTGAAAGTAGTAATAATGATCTCCGTGTTTTTTGGGGCAGCCATATTTTGGATAATCCCACACTTCAGTTATCCTGAAGATATAAAAAGAACTTTTATTACACACACATACAGTTATTTTTAAAATATTGATTGACAGGAGTAAGTCTATTTAATTAAGTTTTATAATTTTCTTTATAAAAGATGTTAGCAAATGCTTGCAGTTAAGAGTTAAGACAATTACAACTGATGTTTCAGATCACAGATCATCAGTATATAGATCTAGTAATTTAGTAGTGAAATCATTGTTCTCATTTATTCATTACTTATCAAATAAATTTAACAATTAGTAATTAGGTCTATTCAAATTAACATAGCTCTAATTAAATATATATTATATTAACAATCTATACCGTTTTTCAATCTGATCTTTAACTGGGCATGCATCAATAAAGGGTTTTGAGATTTTATTCTGTGCTTCAACAAATGCTTTAGTTTCCTCTGCATCAGGATCTTCCATCCATCTGTATGGGTCCTTAATCTGTGAATTGGAAAAATCAAGAAAAAATCAATTAGAATTTCTTGTCTTTGATTTATTTTTAAGTCTAAGTCTTTAAGACGAGTCAATCAAACTGTTTTACTGTAACTGTAGTCAAACTAAACTAAGTTACTAATCTGGTTAGTAAAATGAAGTTTAGTAGTATATAAGTATAATAATAGTATTAAATTAGTATAATGAACAATATTCTACAATCTAGATCTAGTACTTTATTTTAACACTAGTCTAGTCTACAACTACATCTAGATCTAGACTGGGGGCCTTAGAACAGAACTAGATCTAGACTAGATTCTAGATCTAAGATCTAGATCTGTCTGGTCTAAATCTCTAGATTCTATTATTTTACTATTCTGTAACAGACTGTAACTGAACTCAGTAACGATAAACATTATTGTAATGTATTTAAATGTATCAATAGTTAAAATCATACCTCAGTCCCATGGTAATTATCTACTACTGAATCATCTCTTCTTGGAGTTGGATAGTCGAATTTTCCCATCTTTATGGCTTTAAGTTGCTGAATAGATCTATTTCTATAAACAAACAGATATGGTGTAAAAACTGCGATACCGGCGAACAACGTCGCCCAGGTTATCCAAAGGAAATGCATAACATTTTTCTAACTGCCTTAACACGACATTAAAAATATTTCAGCAGTTTTGATTTTCAAAATTAACTTTCAAAAATATGCACAAAGGCAATAAAACATTCTTATAAGTTAAAAATAAAAAAATACATTTTTACATTTGAAAGTTTTACCGTTGAAATAATACAATGAGTAACTTAAAATTAAGATCATTAGTCACAAAACAAACACTGCATAATATAATTCATAATAGTTAGTACATTAGTAGTCTATACTATTAATCATAGTGTAAAGGAATGTCTAATTCTAATGCATACTGCATATGCAAATATCTGGTTGTCTTTCTTATATTAGTTATTAGCCTATTCTTAATCAACCGTTATTAATTATTAAAGATTAATAAAAATAAATTATTAATTGATCAACTATTTTAAGCTTTATTCACTTAGGTTAAGGCCGCGGCCTATTTTTAAAAATTAGACTTAATTATTTTTTTATGTTAATTTATAGCAGCTGTTTACTTTTAGCGTAAAAACGCATTTCTAAAAAAAACTACATTTTAAGACCGTAGACTGTATAGGCTAGCTAGATATAGTTTGACAATTTTTCAGATCTAGATTTCTAGTTTTCTGTAGTGTATTACCTCGCTGCAACCGAGTTACCGAGTGTTAATAAGCTAAAGACAAAGTGACACGATAATGTACAGTGGTTCTAGTTAATTAGAGAAGCCCATAAAATCTATATTTATGAACCAATCACAAAGTACTATCCTTTGTTGCGCAGATAGATTATTTCTATTTTTAGACATTGAGCACCTGTTTACATCCTGAAAACAGTCTCCGTCTCAACACAGAAGGGGTAGCAAAAAAGTATGATCGAGGACAAAGGATTCTGGCTTGACGTTTGATTAAAAATAATCTCAAAATGACTAAAATCGCATTTGCATGATAGTTAGTAGTTTGAGCCTTCTACTTTTATATAGAATATACATGAAAAACCTTTTTTGCTTTTGTACTCACAACTGTGTGAAGTGTGAGTTGTACTCCCACACAACAAAATGGCCGACGGCGACAGTAGTATAGTAACAGTTAAGAGCAATCAGCTGAATACAGACAGAGAAAAGCCTACTAATAAAGAATCCAGTCCAGAAGAATCATTTCTTTTTAAAGAAAAAATAGTATTACCCCAACAACCTCTTAAAGCTGGCTGCTCCAGTACATGTCATGACGAAATTCATCATGATGGTTCATCAGATTGTTCAAGTGTATCATCTAGTAAATCTAGTCACTCTTTCTTAAAACAACAAGGTCTAATGAATCAAGCTTCATCTAGTTCTGCTATCATTGAGAAAACTGATGTTAATATTTTCAGGCAGACAAATAACAGCTGTTGTAGTTCAAATACTTGTGAAATTAATTGTAATATAGCTAAAAAGCCTCAGCATTTATTTATATGTGGGTGTGAGCAAAGTGATACCAGCTCAGCAATAGATCCAGTTTTAGATAATATTGACACATTATCATTAAGCTCTTCTTCAACACAATCTAATAAAAAGTCTTCCAACTACAAAATTCTGACAAAATTAAAAAGGAAAACATGTGAATCAACTCTTCAAACCAAACACGTGTGTTGGCAGTGTAGCAGTTGTGCAAGCCCCAGCTCCTCTTTGTCATTATCTGCTTCATTTAGTGATGAGGAATACTTTGAAGATGCTGAGCTTCCTGGAGCAACAGAAGATTTCAAATTATTTTACAGGGATTCAAGAGACAAGCTGTTTATAGATGACTGGGACTCGGGCCAGAGTAGCAACAGTAATAGTAACAATAGCCACGAACACCAAGAGGATGATGAGTGGACAGATGCAAATAGTTTATTTGAAAATGAAGTGAACTATGAAGAAATGAGACAAAGAAGAAGCCAAGAAGCCCCTCCAATGTATCCACACAGGGCTTTACTGTACATGGAATGCAGTGTGTGTTTCACCAAATCCTATTTGAGAAGAAGAGTTTGTTGCGACTTTCAGATCTGCCATGAATGTATGGGTATATATGTTTCAATGAAAGTTAATGAGGCCAAAGTACAAATTGAATGTCCAAATGATAGATGCCATGTCCTTGTCCATCGAGATGAAGTAAATGAACGTCTGCCTAATGATTTGAAAGACAAGTTTACAAAATTTCTCATAGACGCCAATGCAGATCCCTGTGAAAAGACATGTCCAGCATGTAGCAAAGTATACACCATCAAACCTGAAAGTTTATCAAGTAAGAAAAAGCTGAAGAATGGATTAAAAGTGTATTGCCCTCAGTGTCATCTTCAGTGGTGCTTTCTCTGCCAAGCACCTTTTCACACTGGTGTTTCTTGTAAGCAATACTGGAAGGGTGACAAGATGGTCAAAAGGTGGGCTAAGGAGAGGAGCTATGGCCAAAGTAATGCACAGAAATGCCCTAAGTGTGGGGTGAGTAGTTTAACTGTTATTTAATGTACAAATTATAACCACAAAAAAGTTTCTTTAATTTTTGTATAGATGTCTGTGTATTACTGCTAAGAAGTTTTTAATTTTAAAAATTGACTCCTTTAGATTTGATGCAAATGTACATCTTTTGAATGCAGTTTTCTTTGGGTTATGAATTGAATACTTTCATTTACCTCAGTAAAAGTGTATATATATTTTTAAAATCTTTCATAAAGAATATAAAATAAATAAATAAATGGCTTTTTGCAAGCCCATACAAATCATGAACACCCCAATGATAATTTTTTTCATTGATTGTCCAGATTTACATACAGAAAGTGCATGGCTGTGACCATATGAAGTGCAGTAAGTGTCACACAGATTTTTGTTACCGGTGTGGTGACCGGTATATCAGTGTCAAGCTGCTGGGTAATCACTGGAGCCGTTTTTCACTCTTTGGCTGCAAGTACCGCTTGATGCCAGAAAGGCCTGGTCTGAGGAGGCTGATTAGAGGAACTAATTTTGGTATGTGATGTTTTGTTAAATTTGAATTATTTGTAATCAATATACACATCAAAATAAGTAACCAACTGGTCCTAGGTTGCATGGGAAAGTTGCGTATTTTACAGCATATTTTATGATTTTTGTTGGGCACGATTTTGAATTGATGAGGATGAAGCTAATAAGTCAATCTATTATTATTATAATTAACTTTAAGCATATCAAATGCTAATTTGTGCATGATACTCTGTTACAACTTCAAAAAAGTATGCATTTATTTTTATGCCTGATCTTGCATTTTTAAAATGTTTTATTTATTTCTCCTAGCTGCTCGTCTGGTGGCTGGAGTGGTATTAGCAGGTCTGGGGCTAGCTGCTGGTGCAGTTTTAGTTGGAGCCAGTGTTGTCATTGTCCCTGGTTACGGGATATTTCTGTTGAAAAGGCACCTATGGCGTAAAAAACAAAGAAAAAAATTTGAGAAGCAAAAGATGAAGATGATTGCTCTTGCAGAGGTTGATAGGAAAAAGCAAGGCAAGTTTTATTTAGGAAATTGTAGGAGCTCTTCCCAGTTTATGATCATACTTTGTTTAACATTTTGACAAGTGTTTTATTTTTATTTTCAGGTTTAACTCTCAATTCAAGACAAACATCTGTTGCATTTGATGATTCAGAAATTGAAAACCAGGATGATGCACAGCAAGTTAAGGCCATAGTTCATAGGTCACTTAGTTTCAATCGAGAGGAGTCTCTCGCAATAAAAAGTGACATTTTCATCAACAAATACATCAGCGATGGAACAGAAGTGACAATCACTAGACCTAAAGACAGCAACTTTGATGATGTGGTGGTAGTTTCTGACGTGTTAGAAATCCCAAACGAGAATGGATATTCAACTGTTGTTGCCAATGTTGTCTCTAAGATGCACCATAGCACTGAAAAAGAAACTTCTGTAGTCAGACAAGGCTCAAATGTAGATCAGGGTGTTGTCAAGCAGGATGAAAACAAAGATGTTTCCACAAATCTTGAAAAGATTGAAGCTCCTGTCACTGACTCGGTTGAAGACGTTAACCCTTTAGATGCATCGTTGGAGCAGTCAAGTTCAGATTTTGATGAAAATCAAAACCTTCCCAGCGAGAATGAGATTAATCCAGATGGGAATAAAAATTCTGAGTTAGATGTTAAAAAAACTGTGGATGTGAAATCAGACAAATCTGCCGAGGACTCAGACAGCCTGAAAGGGGATAGGAATGGTTGCTTTGGGAATATATTCTCCAAGAGGATACCAACAACCAGTGAGGAACTAATGACTAAGACTATCATATCAAATTCACACAAAAAATTTGTTAGCTGCAAAGCTGCCACATGGGAAAAGTGCAACCGTGATAAAATGTTGAAGTCAACACCTTCAGATCAAAAGGGGGATGCTAGTAAGTTGTCCTTGTTCATGCAGAAAACACCTGCGTCACTTGCGTCAGTTTTGAATGCCGGCGGGGATTTTTCTAATCAAATGCTACATCTCTCTTCTAAAAATGTGACGAAACTATCCCTGGAGTCAGCTGTTGGTCAGGATGTTGAGAGTATGTTCACCCATGGTCAACTTTATAAAGCAGGTGACCCATCTTTGACCAACGGTGATGTTGGGTCCAGTTTTGTCGATCACACAGTTGCAGATCACACAACCCAGAGTCTTTCTCCAGATGTTTCAACTACAACACCAGGTGTTACGTCACCTTCAACACTTGACCTTCCACCTCATCAACCTTTAGATGAGCCAGCACAGTTTGAGCCAGTGGTAACAGATGATGGCTACGTTTCACCTTACACTCTGATTGCATATGTCTGAGTCTGTTGCTGAATTATCTTTATATATTTGCTTGTTTTTATTAATTCATTTGAAAGTTTTTGGAGATCTGTCAGGAGTTATAGAAAGTGATTTCAAATTTTTTTTGTTGGTTTCAACTTTTTTATTTGAAGAAACCAAGACTTTAATGGCAATAATGTTGTATATTGATGTGATTAAATAACGATTCATTCTAACTAACAGTTGATTTTGCTGTTTTGTAAAAGAACTATTTATTTATTTGCATGGCTTACACCAATCCTGGTCAGTGTTTTGAGTTATTGCATTAATGATGTGTACCTAGTATCAGTGCTGAAGTAAAATAATAAGATTATTATATCAAGTGTTACATTATAAATACCATAAAAAAATAAGACAAGATATTTGGTTTAGTTTTTGTGAAATTTATTACTAACTCATGTTTGTAAAGCATAAGATATGATGAAATATTTATTTATGATCAAGGAGGAAAAAATTCTTTGTTAATTTTTTTTTTCGTGAAAAAACGTAAATTTTCACAATTTAAACTTAAAAATTCTGGAATATAATTTATTCTTATAGCTTATCTGTTAACTGATATTATTTTGAATTCCTTAATATTTGTAAAAATCCATATTCTGTTTGTACTGCAATAGCTAACATGTGGGCATAGGCTGAGGTTTATCTGGTAATTTTTTCTTTGTATGCTTATCTAACACCAAACATTTTTTGATCATCTCCACTTATTTGCAGATTTTTTGCAACAATTTTCTTTATTATTATGCTAAGTTAATGTAATTCTTTCTTCATATTAAAAATAAAGTTATATGGAGAGTAATTTATTCAGCATTATTTTGTGCATGAAAATTGTTTAATTGTGATCAAAATTGCCATTGCCAGTTTTCATTTTTTTTAAATCATAAAACAACTGATCAATAATCATTACTAGAAGTTATTTAGTATATAGAGAGGGGTATGAAATATGATGTTTAATGGTTCAAATTTTATGTATGAGAAGACTAATTTCCACACTTGTACGTAGGAAGTATTGGTATTAAGTTTTCTGCAAATGATTCACAATAACTTTTTTTTGCATTATATTTCTTTGATTGTATTTATGTAAATATGTTAGTGTGCTTGTCTAAAATATGAAGTACATGTTAAAAACTAAAGAAAAACTGAAAGCCCCCATCTTGGATTTGGTAGGAGGTCAATTGATTTGATACAGGCCAACTGTTTGAGATTAATCCGACCACTGTGTGCGCTTTAGCTTAAATGCAACTACCAGAAGATTTTTGTGATCATTTGTGGTAAGACAAATGTGAGAGTCAGTTGGGCCTCCAGTTTGATATACTGACCTTTTGATCACCTCAGAGAATGTAGTGAGCAGTTAAACAACTCACTGATTTGAATAAAAAGAATGCTCCATCTTTGATTATTAGATATGTATACCAACTCAACATTCTAAAAATATTATTGCTACGTTTTTTCTTCAGTTAACAAGGAGCATGAGAAAATATTTTCCCAGTCAAACCTCATGTTGATTTTTTTCTGAAAGTTCCAATAACACTTGTTTTTTAACATATTTTAAATTTCTAAACCTTCACGCAGCATCTAAAGTTTTAGCACTAAAAACGCATTACACAATATTCAATGCCTTCGCCTAAATTATAAAATGATAAAATGTATCACTTCAGGGACATTTTGAATACTTATTAACAAAAATTGTGAAATCTTGACTTTAATTATGCTATTATATTTTCAACACTTAAAATAATTATTGAATGATGTATTACCTTTGTTAATATGGAAAACTTTTTATTAAGTGTTTCAATAATTTTGATCATGACTAATTTCCCTCTTGTAACAAGAAGTGTTTCCATAATGGTGTACAAATCCTTTTCTAAATGGTTTAATATTCATGTCAAACCAATGAAATTGTTGTTCTTGCTTTAATCTTGTGTCACATCTCCATCTACGTCATCAAGGTGTGCAATTTGTAAAACATGTAATTTACCTATTTGCAATTTATTATTAATGCCCTAACATGTTTAGGTTAGATTCTGTCTTAAATGGTGCAGGCACAAATATCTACACATAAGATAGCAATCTTTTTAAGATTAAATTTGTATGCTATTCTGACAACAGGTCAAAACTTCACTTTTAGGCTATAGTATGTCTACTACCTAGATGTCATTAGATTTAGATAAACCCGGTGTGGATACACAAACAAGTAAATTTGAAGGTAAATTACAACCTATCCATGGTTATTTACATTTTAAAACACAAATACCCCTATGAACTTTTTTTGTCACACTTTAAATATCAGAAGTCAAATTCTTTTTATCTAAGTTTAATATCTTTAAAATTTAAATGTGCATTCACAAAAATCACTAAAGTGATAGACAAACAGGCTGTGTACATATTTATTTGTACTCTTTAGCAATTTATATTCTCTTTTATCTCTGTTACAAGGAATGAAAATTTTGAATTATATTCTTGATGATGAATTTTTCCTTTACAAAAACTACACCATCACGTAAAAAAAATATTTAAAAAAACAATTTATAGATAACTAGGAAAATTAGAGAGAAAAAAAGTAGTTAAAATGCACAATGTAGGAAGTAGTTTTTTCTTCTTTCAATTCTAGTTTTACAAGCAGTTTTATCTATTGCAGTTTTGTATTTAATAAAGGCCTAACAGCTTTTATTTATATAAAAGAAGTTGTACTCAACATTTTCTTCCCTCGTGCTATAGTGAATCTGAAACGCATTGTCAAAGTTGTTTTATTCTTCCCAATATCAATCACTTTATGTTCACATCTAAAGGCGGCACTTGTTAATTAACTTCAAACCCAGATAGCTAGTACTGCATATAGCTAAGCTTGTCTTTAAGCATTGTTTTATCTTTAAAACCAGCTAAGTATGTATGGATACTCTAATAGGAATAGGTCATTAAAAGTGAGCTTCTCTTATACTTTAAAAATACAAGTTTGTTAACTGTATCTTTCTGTGATAATTTAAGATCCCTCAGAAAAAAAACTGTAAATGCCTTTTTCGTCAAATATGTAAAAATTGATAGTGATCATCAGAATTTTTTTTTTCAAGAATTTTTTCTCCTGTTTAGCTTTCTGGTACTTTCCTAGATATTTAATATACTTTAAAAAATGTATTTGCTGAAGCTAATTATAATTAGACTGTAGTTTGCTGAAGCAATGAACTAATGGTTTCACAATTTCTCAGTGTATTGTGCGTGCTGCTTGTGATGTGTCATGCCCTATTTAACCCACTGGTACATGACAGCTCAAACAATAAACTCTCAAACCTAAAGTTTTACTTTTTTTATTCTTTTTATGATCATGTGTTTTCTTATGATTATTAAAAATGTTCATAGAAGCCAGGGTTTTGTTCCTGAAGCTATAAAAGTGACTTGCTTTATTAACAGCTAATCCTTTCCCTTGTCTGTTTGGTCTACAATCTACTTCTGTCTGATTGATGGAGTATAAGATGAAATTTAACAACATGAACTGCTAGTAACCTAAAACAAACAAAAACTAAGTTTAATGGTAGCTGAGAACAGATTTTTTCTTTAAAATCTAGGAACCAAGGTGTTATCCCAGCAGTTGGTCTATAACTTATATATCTAGTAGCGCTGTTTCCCACAGTTGAACCTATTAGTACTATTTATTACATTACGTTTGTGCAGAAACAGTTACATTCTAACAATATACTGATTTAATTATTTTTTAATAACATTTTGCCTTGGTTACTAGAATCTACTACAGCCTAAATAATGTTTAATGTTTCATTTTGAAATTTATTTTACATCGAAAATTCTATATGTAACTTATTTTTACAAATATTTTCCTGGCATACTAAATTCACGTTACCTTCACCTTTTTGAACTAGATCGAGTTTTGCTTCGCGGAAATGTCACATTATTACAAAAAGAACGGTCTCTCAATGTCATTACTCATTTTCTAACTAACTGTATGGGAAATTTGCAGTTAGATTTAATTAAATTGCCCATTGATTTTAATTCATTTAATCGCTGTAAATTGTTCATGTAGCGAAACAGAAAGTAAAAACTTTTTTTTCTTGGAAATGCTTAGTTTTGTTTCTTAGAATTTCACGCAAAATCTGATACCAATTTTTAGAAATACATCCTAAACAATTCGTGAGTTACCAACATGAACATGTCAGTCGAAGAATCTGATAGAGCAAAAATGAATACAATTCCTAAAGAAGGATCGCTCACTCATTCGCAAGCGATAGGCAGAAACGGAGTAGTACAAATATCAAATGGTAGGTAGTTTTAATTAATTAGGTCTACTAATTACGTTGTAGATCTAGTAAAGTAGGTTTCTAATAGTTTCTATTTTCTAGGTTTGAGTAGACGAGTCTAGTAGATTTTTAGATCTAGCAAAAAAAAAAAAGTAAAGTAGGAGATCGACATCTAGATCTAGATATCTAGATCTATAGTAACTAGTCTAGATGTCATCTAGATCTAGTTACTAGACTATTTGTTAGTGTAGATTAAAAAATTAAAATTAGACAGATCTATAAGTATGTGAGTATGATAATGAAATGATGTCTCTCAGACTGTCTCGGTCTCAGTATGTGAGTATGATGATCTCAGTATGATGAACTGATCAACTGATGATGTTTTCCTCACTAAATCTAAAATGTAATCACTTTTCAATTTAGAAATGATCACTGAATAATAGACATCCATATTTAATCAAATTAGGCACTAACTTTGAGGTTTTAGTTTGTTTTAAACTAAATTACTATTTATTGTCACTCACAGCTATGGTGCTACACACCTTTCCATAACAACTCATGTTATATCACTCTATCGTTTGTGGTCAGGGTAAACAACTAATCGGTTCGACTTTTTAATTGACTATGCACCAGAGTTCCTCACTAGTGATGAACCAAGTAGCGGTCATGTGGTTAAAACATTTTAAAAATTTTATTGTCATTGAAATGTAGTGTTTTATAAAAAGTGTCATGCAATACTTGATAGTTTTTCTTCATAGACTGATAAACCTAATAGTTATACAATGTTCAATTCAGTTTTGTACTTGTCAGGCTAACATTTTAAAAGTTCTATTATTTTTAAATTTTAATGACACCAACTATTAAATTTAGCCTTCATTATCCAAAGCAAATTTTAAAATGCTTTTCTGGCATATTTAGCCCTGCCACCTATAGTTTGTTTTTATAACGTGAAAAACCACCTATTGGCTCGTGGTAAACATTTTTAAAAGTTTTTCTTAGAAGGTCACTTGAACTAAGATGAAAAATTGTCAGGAAGTCACGCATCCGGTTTGGACGCCATATTGTTGTTAGCAACCAGCCACGTCTCCAGGGTAGCGAGCAATACTAACGATAGTCTGCTTTGGTCCAACTCATCCCCTGATGAATAGGCCCTAAATTATTCATAGCCCTAATTAGTAGTTTTAAGTTTTAATAATTTACACTGATAAGCTGGGTGAGCTAAGGGACATTCTACAGATTTGAACTCAAGGCTTTCTGGTTAACAGTCGTATGCTCTACCATTCCACCATGTCATCCCCATTCCAATTTGAATAATTCAATAATAAGCTTTAAAAATATAAATCTATTTAGCCTAAATTAAAATTAGTCTAATTTAAAATTTTACACATACAGAGAACTTGAAAATATTTTCCTACTTTGAGGCATATCATCTTATCATGATAAAGGCCTTTAGAAGTCTATAGCCTTATTAATTCTCCTTTATCAATACCTATTCAACCTGTCCTTTATTTGACATTTTTTGCCTGTATACATAATACTGGCTAATCGTTTAATCAAGACCACCATAATTAGTGTGCTATAGGCCATAATTATCAGGTGATTTTTTTTTTTCCTTGGCATTCGAGTGTTGCAATTAAGGGATTTCATATCAAGTTGGGTTTGGTTCTGTCTTGGAGTGGTTACAATAAGCTGAAATTGTGTTACATTAGTTATTAATCAACAACACTTTGAGTGTTAAGTTTAAGGCTATATTTTTTTAGTATTACATAAGAAACTTTGGGATGTTTTTTTTCCAAGTACAAGAATCTGGTGGTGCAAAAATGAACACTATGCCTAAAGAAGGAGAGCCTACCCATTCTCAAACAACAATTGTGGGCAGTAATGGAGTAGTTCAAGCACTATTAACTGGTAGGTTTAAAAAGTTAAATCGATTCAGCTTGCAAAAAACAAGTATAGTTTTCCACAAATTTTATTTTAAATAAAATTCATTACACACTTATTTATAGTATATGTGGTTAAACATTTAGGATAAATTTGTTAGATAATATCTACATACCTTTTAATGTTATATTTTAGTATTGGCTAAACATGTAGAATGAATATATTGTTATATATTTACAGATCTTTATCAAATAACCATGGCCTATGCCTATTGGAAAAGTGGCAAAATGAACGATCCATCTGTTTTTGACCTGTACTTTCGTAAAAATCCGTTCCAAGGAGAGTTCACTATTTTTGCAGGATTAGAGGAATGTGTTAAGTTGCTGCAGTGCTTTCATTTTTCTGAAAGTGGTATGTTTGTATATTTCTTCTTCATTCACTTACTTCATAGCTTCACTATTATTAACACTGTCAAAGTGGGAGTAATGGTTAAAACTTGAAAAAAAAATCAGTTTCAAAATTAATTACATTTTTAAAATTTTTTTTTTACTAATATCTGTTATTTATTTGTTTCTTGTGCAGATATCAGCTATCTGAAAACAGCCCTTCCTCAAAATACAGACCCAGAGTTTTATGTATATCTTAAAAATTTGTCAGCTAGAGACGTAACTCTATCTGGTGTTCCCGAAGGAGAAGTTGTGTTTCCTAAAGTTCCTTTACTCACAGTCAAAGGTCCACTAGCAGTTGTTCAGCTTTTAGAGACCCCACTTTTGAATCTTGTTAACTATGCTAGGTAATAACACCATTTGTAATTAATTCTGTTGATAATGATACAATTCTTCATTGATGCTAACAATTGGTTTTCTAGTTCTAATGTTGAAAATATACTGTTGCTATTGTAAGTTTCATTGAATTCTCCATCTCTTTAATAAGTGTAACATCAATTTTTTGTTTCTACTTTTTAAAAATTAAGCTTTAATATGTTTATAAAAAATTTCTACTGGGTAGAGGAAAAATGAAATATCTTTATGCTTATTTCATTTAATTATTCAGCAAACAAATTTTTTTGTGTATAGATACTTACTTTTAATTTGCAATTATGCACAGACTGTTATCAAGGTACAGCTTTATCTTAGCCATTTCTTAAAGTGATATAATCATGCTCCATAATACTGATAAATGATTAGAAAAAGTTGAAATAAAATTGATATTTCTTTGTTTATTAGGTTTTATTTCTTTGCCCAAAAGTATAATGTTCTAATTATACATATATTCTAAAAAATAGTTTAAAATAAAATTTTATTTTACACATTTCAAAATAAATTTCAGCTTGGTAGCTACAAATGCTGCCAGATTTAGGATAGCAGCTGGACCTGATACCACACTGCTTGAGTTTGGCTTGAGGAGAGCACAAGGACCAGACGGTGGATTGTCAGCTTCTCGTTATTGCTATTTAGGGGGTACGTTTATTATTTTTTTACATTGCAAGAATTAAATTTTAAAAAGTCTTTGATATTAGCTTTAAGCATAATTTTTGTGCATGTTGTAAAGATTTTTTAAAAGTTGGATTACAATTTTTTGTAATTTTTTTCTTTACTAAATTTTTAAATGTTTATTGGTTAAATAATTTAACAAGTTTTACAATTGTTTGACATTGTACATATAAGAGCAATAAAACGTGTAATATATTGAATATGCAATGGATATTTCTCAACCAGACTTGTGTTTACTAAATTAAAAGTATTTTCCATTTTTTAGGTTTTGATGGTACTAGCAATGTTTTAGCAGGGAAAATGTTTGGCATCCCAGTGAAAGGAACACATGCACATGCTTTTGTTACTTCATTTATCAACCTTTCAGATGTTAAAACAAGGGTATGTTACTCCCATTTATATTTGTTTAAAATTTAATCATCATTTAACAATAGATAGAACTGATATATACATTTTTGTAAAAATTTGATACAGCGCTAGAAATGTTATTGTTAAAAAAGTTTCATTTTCAGAAAATTCTAACTTGCATTAATTGAATTGGTGTTTTTAAAAATTATTTATTTTTATGCATTCACTTGTAAGAGCTTTCATCCTTTTTGTTTTCAGACACTGAAGTCACTAGATGGAACCAAAGAAATCGACTTTGTGGACTTGTGTTTAAAGTACCAAATTGAGCTAACATCTGTCATAAGTATGTTAAAAAAAATATTTCAATATTTTATCTTAACCCTTTCTTCTTCTTCTTCATTGGACAGAATTTTCCCCCAACACAATTAAGTATTGTTTCAACTTGATGTGCCATATAGATTGTAGACTCCAATTTCAGGCTTTCTTTTTTGAATTTGCTTCTTTAGCCTTTGTCCACCAATGAAAAAACTACCAAGCACAAGCAGTAGTTTGATTTTGGAGTTTTCTTTCGTAGATGGGTTGCTGACCTCTCAAAACCCCTTTGATATTTACACTTTTTAGATCAGCAATGTCAGATCTAGTGGAATATTTTTGTTTTCTGTTTTGCCATAAATGTATGTGTAACTAAAGTTTGTGTTAGGTCAATTATTTTTATTAATCCCTGGCTGAAATCCACTGGTTCTCACCATTGTGTAACAGTGTAATCCCCCTCCCTACTGCAGCTGGCTGTAGTCATATAATCTAAGCTAAGGGTTTCTGATAGTACATTTTCACCGATTAAACCTTTTGACAAAAAACTGAATATTGGACATATTTCTTTTTCTAATTTTAGAAAGAAAAATTTTAAAAACCTAGATTGCAAAGAAAAAGAACATCAGACTTAAAAAAAAATATTCCATAAAATTGTAGTAATCAGACACAGTAACTAATTATAAGACTTTTATATGTGTGAATTATTTTGATTATTTTCAGTTTTTGTTTTGTTTGTTTCAGATTTCCTCCCAGATCAGGTGATGGAGGGAGAACTGGCAGCATTCATTTCTTATGCTCTGGCTTTTCCTGAAAGTTTTCTAGCTTTAATTGACACCTATGATGTCATCAGGTATAAACTGCTTTTGTATTTTTCTGTCTCAAAAAAAAAGTAAAGCTTATAAAACTATTTATCCATCCAACTCACCTCCAGTGTAGCCATAACTCTAACACACCTTTAGCTGTTTTTAGCATTTCTGTTTTTAAAACAAAAATAAACACTACACTGCATTTCTTGAATGCCGTTTCTCCCCCGGTAACACTCCCAACAAGAACACTACATAAGTCTAACCCCTCCCTCCCTACATAGAAAAGTGTAATTTCATATTGATGACTCTTACTAGAAAGAGATAAATAATTAAATGAAATTCAATATCTAACTCAGATAGCAATGTAAACAGAAAGTGATATTTCAACGCCAAGGGTACAGAATATAGTACAAGTAGAGACAGAACAGTTTAAACCCAACGGGATTCGAACCTGCCAATTCATGCGGCACCAAATCACCTCACCCTCCATCCATCCCCTCTACACAATATCTAACTCAGCATCACCTAATCCTATCTTCTGATTCTCACTTCATCCTTCAGAGAAAAAAACACTGGCGTTCTGCAAAAGTATCAACTAGAAAACCATATGTTATTTCTAAAATATTTTATAGTTAATCTGTTTAATGGTTTACACTAATTAGCCCCTACTTGTGTTCCAGGAGTGGCCTCCCTAACTTCTGCACTGTTGCCATGGCTTTAAATGACCTGGGCTACCAGGCCAAAGGTATTCGCTTGGACAGTGGTGATCTTTCATATTTGTCGAAGCTGGTACAAAAGAACTTTGTCAAAGTGGCTAATTAGTAAGTTCGTTTATTGATTAAACAATTAAATTTAGCTCACTAATTAGTTAGTATCTTGCACTTTTAGACATGATTTATTTCTTATCAGTAGGCACTAGAGTGATTGGAATATCTTCTGTAATTAAATTTTCAAGCATCAGTAGAGTAGAAACTGAATTTTTTTTATGCACAATATGCTTTCAAAGGATCAAGACTAGAATACACCCTAATTAGAGCAAATTAGTCTATAATTTTATTGCTGGAGCATCTCCACAAATCTTCACCCTACATTAACGTTTGGAGCCTCACAAGTTTTTTTTTTACCCTATATTCACTAAATTAATAGTTGGACCATTTAATAAAAAAAGCTTCCATGATAAGTGATATCTTATCTGCTGTTGCTAACATTATTTTATCAGTAGCTGTTCTATTCCCACAATTTTTTGTTATTGTAACCAACAGCTACAAGTTGCCATGGTTCGAAAACATGACAATAGTTGCCAGTAATGACATCAATGAAGATACAATACATTCCTTAAATCAGCAGGCAAGTTTATATTTGTAAACATTTAAACACCAATTTTTCAAACTATTCATATAATTTTTCATAAACACCAAATCCTTTCATTAAGTAAAACTTCACTTAATTTTTTTCAAAAACATTTCATTTTTAATTTTAAAAACAACCCTTATTAACCTACTGACTACTGTTTTGGCTTAAATAATCTTTAAACAAATCTATTACAGATATGTTTTTTTATCTATGCAAGTTGATTTGCATTTAGAAGATTGTTACTTTGATACAAAATAACAATTATTGCCTATAAATTTAGCTTGAAAGATACTTCCATTTTACACAAAGTTTTGACAAAGAAAACAATAGAAAACAAAACCTTAGGTTTTATTTTTTCCTTTGTGTTGTGCTTGTGGCGTCTGTTAATAAATGTTTGGTTCTATTTTTTAGGGGCACAACATAAACTGCTATGGGATTGGTACTCACCTTGTCACTTGTCAAAAGCAGCCAGCCCTGGGGTGTGTGTTTAAAGTAGGTGTAACCAACAGCTGGTTATTACAGGCTTATAAATATTAGTCATTTGTTTCGTTTAAAAATACCAAAAGATAGGAACTGAAAAGAAGAATTATAAGTGTAAATTGCATTTTCTTTCATTATTTTAAATTATTTTTTGTTACGATTATATTACGAGCATAACTAACTAGTATTTTAAATGTTAAATACAGATAAAGTTATGAATTTAGTTTAAATAAAAATTATCAATTTAGTTTAAATATAGAATATTTTGTTTTCAATTGTTGTAGGAATGTCTAATTTGTAATTTATAAAACAAATTTCCAACATATAGAAATGATATTTGTAATTTTATTTAAAAAGTTTAGTTTAAATAAAAATTATCAATTTAGTTTAAATATAGAATATTTTGTTTTCAAATGTTGTTTGAATGTTTTATTAGTAATGTATAAAACAAATATTCAACATATAGAAAATGATAGTTGTAATTTTATTCAAAAAGTTAGTCCAGATAAACACCAAAGCAAGGATAAAGCTGAGTGAAGATGTTGAGAAGGTGACTATACCTGGCCTGAAAAATGTCTACAGGCTGTTTGGATCTGATGGTGAGATTTGTTTGCTTGCTTTTTCAACTTAGTTTATTCTTTGTTGGAATTGAGTTTTTTAACAATTTTATCTTTGTTACAATCGGCTTATGTATTTTGGGCTCGTTAGCCAACTGTAACATGTAACAATTATAAATAAACACAGTCCATAAAGAGAATCTATATAATTTACTGGTAATTTTCACCAACAACAAGAAACATGACATTCAGAAAAACGGACGAGGAGGTACACTGTCGACACCACACCACATTGCTTCACACACTGCCTCGTTCACACACTTGTTTTCATGCTAGCACACCACTTTCAAGGGGAGGCCACTCTCACACACACTCTAACCGTGTCTACACATTTTCATTATAGACATCTAAGTCACATATTATTTCCCTCTAAACACTCAAATCATTAATTTGAAATTCTAAAGTTTTGAATTATAATAAATGCCCTTCAGATATTTATTGATATTTTCTTATAATAATTACTTTTAGTTCTTATACTCATGCTAATTGATATAGACTGCTTTGTGTATCTTCGTGATTATAAATTTTCTTCAATTAACTCCTGTAAATTCTAGGCACAGCATTAGTTGATTTACTTCAAGAGTCATCAGAACCTCCTCCTAAAATGGGGGAAAGGGTTTTATGTCGCCATCCTATTCAGGTAATGATATTCATAATGCTTAGAAATAACCTTATCCACCTGTTTACAAGTAATATCTGCTACTTATAAACCTCTGCAATCAGCCTAAAATTATTCATTCACTATGGTGTTTGTTGTTACTAGGAATCTAAAAGAGCATATGTGATACCAGCGTCAGTCAGATGTTTACATGAAATTTGGTGGAAAGACGGAAAGGTAGTTTTTCAATTCACTTTGTTTTTGTTTAGTGTATCTTGTTCAGTATTTATCTTGGTTGTTTAGTTTTTATTATCTTCTTTCTAATTCTGAAAATGTGAACTTTTGTTTATTTTCTTCTTTTTTTTAAATTCATCTCTTCATTACTTTTGTAAGGGGTTAAGTTTATATACTGATGCCACTTTTTTAAAGTAATACAGGCTGGTACCAAAAAATCAACCAAAAACATCTGTCATAAATCATAATATTTACTTTTCAGGTTGTCAGATATCTTCCCAGTCTAACTGAATTGCGGGAAAAAGCTAAACAATCCTTATCCACCATAAGGCAGGACCATAAGAGAACTTTGAACCCTACACCTTACAAGGTAAAACCTTAATCAATCTCCTTAATCAGAAAATCTACTTTTATCATTAAGTATATGATGTAAATCAATTAAATAAAAATAATTTAAAAAATAGTGGATGCTGAACTTTTTTTTTATTTTTACAAACTCTTAGTCAACTACCTGGGTATTTTTAAAAACGTCTGAGGGCAAATCAGCATGTTCATATTTATTGTTTGATATAGTAGTAATTTGTTTTATTTTTGGCACCTGGATAAAATAATAGGAAAATATTGAAGTTTAATTAACAAAACAGTTACCTGATTATAATCTCCATATAATAAACTCTCTCCTTCTTTAGGATAAGGTTTGTATGGTAGTCTAACGTATTGATGAAGCACTGATGTGTTGTGTGTATTGAAAAAAAAAATGTTTGTGTGTTTGAAATTCTCTTCAGTGATACCACACTGCGTGTGTATTGGAATGATTTTCAACAAATTTTCTAAATTAAATAATGCAAACACTCTGAGTTGTATAGTGGCGCCATGTGCATTATTTTTTTTCTAGGTCATTGCATGCAGCCGGGGTACTAAGATATATTTTCTTCAGAATAAGATTGGTCTTAAACCTCAAAACATATATAAATTTAATATTATTATTTTTTATTACGAAGCTTTTTTGATTTATTCAACTATTTTCAAAATTTTTTTCTAACATATTGTATTTTTGCAACTTGTAAAACTGACAAAGCATGTTCATTTTGCTATATGTAGTTTGTTTGTTTGAATTAGAAAAACCATTGGCTTGCATGTGATTTAGGAAGTATTTTGTGAATGACGTTAAAAGCCTATATCTAAAAGCCTATATCGTTACAAAAATTAAACCCTAAAAGTTTAAAAATATAACTTTTGACCTTATGCTTATAAATATTTTTTTTTTAAATAAAAATATTTCTGATATTTAATTTAAAGCGCTAAAACTAGCTGTTAATTTTATTATTCACAGGTATCAGTAAGCTCATCTCTATACACATTCATCCATGAGCTCTGGCTAGAGAGTGCACCTATAGGAGAACTATATTAAATAGGGCATATTCATTTGTCATTTTGTTTCGTTCCTTAAGTTTTAGCATGTAACACTTTTTATGTAACTAAGGGCTTCTTGTAGTTTTTTATACATTTTTATACTACTCTGAAGTTTTATTATGTTTGATATATTAACCAGCTTACTAGTCCCTACTACCTTTTGCTCTTACAGCAATGTGCACAAATATATTATAATAAATATTTTTTTAATGGATGCAATACAAATATATTTGAAATTGAGTTTGAAAATACTTTTTACCTTTTATTTTTAAACTTTTAAGGGACTAAATGCTGCATGGTGGTCTTATAATAATTTCAAAGATGGATTCATTAGATCTAATTGTCTTGTTAAAGTAACTTTCCCAAATATCTTTTTTTTTTTTTTGCTACCCCATCATAATAGCTTTCTGATATTTCAGAGGGTACTTTTAACAATAAAAAAGTAGTAGTTTGAGATGTCATTGTGATATTGGTTCTTTTAAGTCGTTATAGAGGTAGATATTCTGTGAAGACACATCAATCATCGCTTACCTGGTTTTTGTAAGTGAACACATTCATTTCTTATTCCAACACAATGGATTTTTAAAAAGATACAAGTAAAGGGCATCAAATATCATCTATACATAATATACATTAACTGTTAACATTTCATTTGATGCAAGTTCGATGCACATTTAATGCTTAAAATTCCTTACATAATAAAAAAAAAACAACATAATTTAAATTAACCATTTCTTGCTGCTGTTCCTCAATAGCTGTTTTAATACTGGCTTAATATTTCTTAAAATATTTTGTATTCTTTAAAATCAATAGTCAAAACAGAGGTAAACAAACCACCATGAGCCCCAAGTCTTAAAATCCTTTTCATCTTGTCAAACTAGTAATAAGTTGACTTTAAAAAAAATCCTTGTTGCAATAAACCTAATTTTTAAAAACAATGTATTTCAATATCCACATAACTTCCCCCAACCCAGTATTAACTATGTTTCAGATTTAATAGTAAAGACATAATAATCACAATTGAAAATCTCTTATTTGAATAATACTTTTCTTTTAGATATATTTAAAGCTGTTGTCTTCTGTTGACAAACTACCCTACTTAAAACATTTACCTTTGCTGTTTCTAAATATTAGTGAAAAAAATGTTACCTAATTGAATTATAAACAGTTTTCAATACCTGAATTGCTAGTCATGTCATCAAGTTGGAAACAATAAATTTTAGTAATAACTCTATAAAGATATAATTTTACTTTCTTTGTTTGTTGTCACAGATTTTTTTCTTTCAGAATTTTTATTCATAAACCTTTTTTTCATTCTGATATTTATTTTTTAAAAATGTGTTCATTTTTTTCTGCTGTTCAAAAATCCATATTGTGTTTTTTTCCTGGGTATTTTTATTTATGCGTAACATATTTTTATTTTTGCTTTGATTTAATTTACAAAGATCTGTCTAGAGGGGCATACAGCTGATTGCTCTTGTTTTATGAGGGCATTGTAAGTTTTATGCCAGAATCTCCTCGGTAATGATACACCTTTGTAAACCATTTTGTTTCTTGTTTGATCTGAGCCAGGGTAGACCAGATGGCTGATCATCTGAAAAATATCATGGTGATGGTCAAATCACAGATCTTAAAGTTAAATTAATTCTATTGCATATTAATTTATTCGTTAAAATAATGTCAACACCAGTAAAATAATCAAACAATGTTCCGGATTGATAAATATTTCTGTACCAGAAATGTTTAATATCACCAACGTTGATTGTATTGTGGTTAAAATATTTAAACAAATAACGAACCTCTTTTACACATTAACTTTTAAAATAGTTTTTTTGGCAATGTTGACAATCAAAATAGAAAAAACCCTTTTTTTAAATTTATAAATGGTTTAATAATTTTCTTTCTTTAACTTGCTTATTCAGCTGCTTTAAATTCTGTTTCAAATGCTTGAAAGATTTTCACAGAGTTCAGTCAAATATTTTAGCAATTATTATTTTATTTTCATTCACATAATCAGAAATTTTGTCCCAACTATATACAGATACTTTGATCTTAAGTCTTTTTCCTTTAATTTTAAATATACATCATATTTGGAAATTAAAGCAAAAATAATTATTTTTATAATTTATGTAAATTTAATATACATTTGTGAAAAAAAAAATTAACAATTACATTAATTTTTTAATTTTTTAGTAGGATTTCAGTTGTATGACTAATGCCTATTAAATGAAAGAAAGCGAAACTGTTTGAACTCTATCATTGCCCTATAAAAAATATCTGCTTTTATGCAATCATTTATTTAAGTCATTTTTTTTAAAATTAATTTTAGATGCTAACATTTCCTGTAGTTTTGCACATAATTTAATTATATCCTTATTGTCAATTTTTTTCTCCCTGCAAATAAATCATTAGCAATGATTTTAGAATCCTTATTTTAAAAAATAATTTTTAAATAACCAAAATTTGTTTTTCTCGTCTGATAGTTAAAATTTTATATTAAGACAAAATTAAAGACAATTATGGAGGCTAAATTGGTACATTGACTTAATGTATCACTAATTTTTTACAAATACATGATTTTATCATTAACTATATCGTCGTCTATTTAGATAAGCATAATAACCTTATAATGCTCTGTGATAAATGTTGATTGGTTTAGTATAAAGTAGATAGAAAACAAAAAATATAATAATAATAGAAAACAAAACACAGACTTTAAAACATTTCTATGTTTCTCTCATGAAATTCAGTTAACCTAGACATGCACACATCAATTGTTTAATCAAGCACCATCTTAGCTAGTGTTTTTGAAATCTATTACTTTGTAATTTAATGTGATCTTTAAAAGCAAAAGAAAATTATTGTATTGAATAAGGCAGTGGGTTAATGAGATTGGAAGTTTTGTGATAACTATTGTCTATTTTGACATGCTATAACTGTTTTATTTTTTTTATTACAATTAACAAGCCAAAATGAGCATAAATCATGTATATTATCATTATATGCTCTAGTGATTGCCAGTTTTTTTTAGTGTAGTTAGTAAATTGAATTGTCTTAGATGCTTGTTATTCATGCTGTTTCTTTTATATAAAATGAACCTATTACTGTTACTTGCAGAATTTTTATGTCAATTAAATATTTGCCTGGCATTCCAAGATCAATTAATTATTTGGATGTAAGGTGTTATGGAAGAATTTTATTTAAAAAACTGCTTGCATTTAAAAATAAAATTTTGACATCAATTAACTTAAAATCAAACAAAATGTTTCCCAAGATTTTTGGTTTTGATCCCCTACAAAGTTGGGAAAAGATTTTCTAAATTAAGGCTGAAACATGTCTCTTTGTTTACACAAAAGATGACACAAAAGACTTCAAATTTGTAAGCAATCTTCCCTTTCTAACCCATTACTTATCAAATTTTAAACAAAAATTATTTTACACTGAAACTCATGATGGCTAATTAAAATCCACACAAAGTGGAGGTCACAACTCAAAGTATATTCAGAAATGTATGTTATTGTTATCTGCCTGTGATATATGAAATTAAAGGAGAAAAAATATGTATTAATATTAGATACAAAAACATTAGGGAAATTATTATTATAATCACTTGCAAGTTACATATTTTTAAAATCTAGAATACAATTTAGTCAATTTTTTTTTTGTACAATGGTAGGATAATATGTTTTTGAATAGTTTAGGATATAATGTAATACTTTTTGAAGTTTTTTGTTTGTTTTTTAAATGCTGAAATTGCAGTTTTAAATTTCACTTTCTTAAGAATATTTAATAAAACATTTGCATATACAAATTGTATTGCTTAGCTTCTACTAGTGTTTTAGTGCATCTGACTTTAAAGAAAAACTATTTCAGGTTCAATAAAAAACACACTACAGTTACCATGGACATAATTTTTTCTGATAATACCTTTAATAATGCTTTATGTTTATTCCTTGCATTTATTAGAATTCGTTCTATTACATGTGTATTTATTAGGTATCCTGCTTATTGCAGAGAATAGCTTTAAATATTTCTCTAAGCCAATACAAATAATTATTTGCTTTAGGATGTCAAAACATAAAACCTCATCTATTCATTTAGTAATGTAGGCGGATAAAAAAAAATTCTATATAAATTTGATTGTATTTGTATATTTAGTTGGTACTAAGTTGATGTATATGTTTAGTCCCGGTGTATACATTTTAATATTGTACAGAGGTGCTGAGCTACATATTCATTTTGTAATAGCCCAGAGTAGAATATTTAAAATGTTTGATGGCAATAAAAAATATAGAATTATCTTTGTATTTTTTGTTTCGTATTTTGTAGTCTTCGTGTTTTTTTCTGTTAATTGTTGTTGATGACAGGTTGATGTTGAAGTTCAGTGTTTTACCTGCAAAAGTGCTAACATAAGTATAAATTGGCTTGCTTAGATGCCTGGATGTCTAAGGCCTAGGGATCATTTTTTTTTTTGTAACTTAAAAGTTTGAATGGTGGAGAGTCTTTTTTATTATCTGCTAATTCATGGCTTTTACTTGGGATGATTCCCTAAAATTGACAAAAATCAATACAAATTCAAATATTCTTTTCCTGTTCGTGCCCACAACACATGGGCCAGATGAAGTAGAGTTCATCTGTTCAGAGCACTTTGCATAAGAAAGGATAGTGTGGTCATCACTATTTCCATACGCCTTTTCCCTAATATTAGGTATCCGTCAGAGCTGGATGGACTCAGAGACATTCTACTGACGACCCCGGATTTGAACTCAAGGCTTTCAAGTTAGCAGTCTAGTTCTCTACCACTAGGCCTCACTGCTGTTCCATACAAATTCAAAGAGCTTTTTGTAAATAAATGTAGAAAGGGGTCATCCATAATTGACTTATCATTCAGTTTACTAAGCATTTTTATTACAATTAACAAAAACAGACTTTAAAAACACAAAATAACTGCTGTAATGTAATTCAATCTATAATATTAATTTTTAAAATGCATAGCTTGTGTCTTCAGACTTTCTACTCTCCACTTGGCTCCTTGTCACACATCTTCGCATAATCTCCCCCCCCCCCCCCTCCCCACAGTAGTTTAAGGATGACCCCAAAAGACAACTAATTTATACCTTTTATTATCTTACTCAGTCACCCCTTTCCCCAGTTCTCCCCAACATATTGCTGGTCAGGGTGGATGACCATCATTTGGTAAAATAAAACACATGCAAAGTTCTAGGACACATAGTCATAGTCACATAGGCCTAGGTTACTATAATTTTATTAATAAAATCGTATGTGGTTACTCTGCTGAGTCTGCATGTGCGCACCAGAATTTTTGAAGGTGTCTTACTAGATTTCTATATTTTTAGAACAAATTTAACACTTTAAAATGATGTAGTTTATCTAAAAATTTGTTTTTACTGTTCTTCATTTTATTGGATAGTTTTTGGTATTTAGTTTACTCTACAACAAACCAAACATGGAATCCCACTGACTTTATTGTCTTTATATTTTTAGATCTATTTAATAAAATAAACAAGTGAAAAATAGTCCTAGACTAGATCATGATCTAGATTCTAGATTCTAAATCTACATTTCTAGATTCTAGTTGTTTTTTTTTCTCCACTACCACACTCACTAAGGTGTAATGAGTGTAGTGTAAGCCCACTACTTACTACTAAAATACTAAAAGTTAAAAGTAAAAAAAGCCACTTGCTGACTTTCTTGGGACTTGGATTTTGTCCTTCCTTTCCTAAGCATTAAATCAGAAGTTGGGCCTAGATCTTGTGTTCTTAAACTTCTAGTCTAGTTCTAATATTATTTATTTAGTTAGTATTTTAAATTTTACTTTAGGGCGACTACACAACTGTATTGGGTAATCTATCGTTTTGGGTACGTAAAATCGCCCGCGGCTATTAATGTACGAAAACGTTACCTCATTGTCAAGGCTGTAATAGAAGTATATTTTGATATGTTTGTGTCAAATATTATAGATAAATGAATAATAAACCTAAATCAATGGCTAAATATATTAATATAGGCCAGAAATTAACTTTAAACATCAGTGTCTGCAAGCAAGATTTGCTATATAAACAGCAGCCATTTGTAAAATAGAGTGACTTCCGCCTGAATCTCGCGCTATAAGTCTATAAAAATAAAACTTTAACAAGATGGCTGCTATAGTAAATGAGCATGGTTGCATCTGTTGGAAACATCGCTGGTGTTCATTTATTACTGAAAAGTTTTAATTCAATTGTTTAAAAACAGGTACATAAATGAAACAAGGAAACATTTTTGTATTTTTCAAAACATAAATCCTCCTCAAAATGTGAAATAATTATTAAAATGTAAGGAGTCACCTGTTTTTCACATTACTAGTCGCGGGCGATTTTACGTACCCAAAACGATAGATTACCCTGTATTGTATAGTATACACTACTATACACTAAAAGAAGTTGGGCCTAGATCTTGTGTTCTTAAACTTCTAGTCTAGTTCTAATATTATTTATTTAGTTAGTATTTTAAATTTTACTTTAGGGCGACTACACAACTGTATAGTATACAGTATACTGTATTATTTAGTATAGTTAGGCCTATAGGCCTAGATCTACTATTTAGATTTACTTTATATTTTGAATATTTTCTGTTCTTTTTTTAGAGGGGGGGGGGGGACAATTTAACTTTTAACCATAACATTTTGTGTTTGTACTAAGAGTCTAGAGATTGTAGGTGCTAAGGAAAACATCTGACAATATATGATGAAATCAACCTGAATTTTTAAGATTGACATCATATAATAAAATATGTAGATCTATGTATGTATGGACTGACCAACTCAAGAGCCTATGGAGATTTTATGTTGATAGTTATTGCAACCCCACACCTACTGACTTAACCCTAGCCCTAGTCTAGAACACAAAAAAAAGGTATTACTGCTACCCCTAGCTAAAACTATCATTGCTCTGATAAGCTGTATGCCTTATAGCCTAATAATTATATTAGTAATAGCCTCAGCTACTTACTTCCATAATCAGAAATTAAAAGAATATTTTATTATTTTTATAGAAATATATATTCTTTAGGCATAATTCTTTTTTGGTCAAATTCTAAGATAATTTTAATTCTCTTAGTAATTTAAACCGTAATATTACTTACTAAACATACTTTGTTTTCTTCTAAGCCAAACAGGATGCAAACAAATTTTACCATCTTACAACGGCTGCATAGCATCTTGTCTCATACAAATATATCACGTCGTCTATGTACATCTCATGGAAGTCAGCTTAAGCGCCTGGTATTGATATCAAAATCAAAAAGTATATTTCATAATTTGGCACTGGAAGAATGGATGTATGAAAATAAAGACTTTGCTGATGTAGAATATCTGCTGCTTTGGAAGAATAGGCCAACTGTAGTATTTGGACGACACCAGAATCCTTGGCTTGAAGCTAATGTATCATTAGCAACAAAATATGGAGTGGATATTTCTAGAAGGTGGCCCATTCTTTTTGAACAAACTTAGAGGTACCACAATCCTCACTCTACAGTAAAAATAGTTAATAAATGCATTAATGCTAAAAAATAAAAAATATTACTATTTTTCTAACCAGCACTGTTATTTGAAAATATAAATTACTTGCAAAATATAAGTATTTTAAAAAAAAAATTAATGTGTAACAAAAAAAATGATCTTAATATCTTTTGAACTGTAAATGAGTTTTTATCATGTCCAATAACTAGTAAAGTATAACTATAACCTGATTTTATCTGATTATTAATTTCAGATCCAGTGGAGGGGGCACAGTCTATCACGATGAGGGCAACCTTAACCTTTCCTTTTTGACATCCAGAGCTCGTTACAACAGAAAAGCTAACCTCAACCTTGTTGTGGATGCCCTGACAGCTAGATGGGACTTAGATCTGACAGTCAACGACAGGGATGATATTATGTTAGAAAAATTTTACAAGGTGACTACCAATGCTTACATTTTCAAGTTTTTTCAAATGGTTTCTGAGTTTCACTATTACAGTTATGTATTTAATTGTTATTATTCTCTCTCTCTCTCTTACACATTCATTGCTGGCTTAAGCTCTTGCTTATTAAACAGGCAGACTGGAACTGGGTTAAGAGTCGAGCCTTTCTGTCACTCATATTATCAGACACCTGGGTTACCACCAGGCCTTTGCTTCCTCCCTCAATACATCACACCACCTGGTTTGGACATGAGGGGTGGTTTGGACATGAGGGGTGGTTTGGACATGAGGGGTGGTTTGGACATGAGGGGTGGTTTGGACATGGGTGGTTTGGACATGAGGGGTGGTTTGGACATGAGGGGTGGTTTGGACATGAGGGGTGGTTTGGACAGGAGGGGTGGTTTGGACAGGAGGGGTGGTTTGGACAGGAGGGGTGGTTTGGACAGGAGGGGTGGTTTGGACAGGAGGGGTGGTTTGGACAGGAGGGGTGGTTTGGACAGGAGGGGTGGTTTGGACAGGAGGGGTGGTTTGGACAGGAGGGGTGGTTTGGACAGGAGGGGTGGTTTGGACATGGGTGGTTTGGACATGGGTGGTTTGGACAGGAGGGGTGGTTTGGACAGGAGGGGTGGACCTACAACCTCAAGCCCAGGATCTGAAATCATGACTTATGTGTAAGAATGCACACTGTCTACCACTAGACCATGCCATCACTGTTCCCTCTAAGGAGAAAAAGATCGCGTGCAGCATGCATTTTGTGTGCGCGGTGTTCTGAAAGTCTTATACAAGGATACATTTATTGTACAAAATGACTGCGCGGCAGTTAAAAACTACTGCTTATAGGGAGGGCATGCTTTGTTCCTGCTAAGCTGTGTGGTTGCGCTGCCGCTCAGCTTAGAGGGAACATAGCATGCCATCCCTATTAATTGTTTATTTTTTCTAAGGTTTCTGGCACAGCAGCAAAACTAGGTCGTGTCCAAAGTTACCATCATTTTACATTGTTGGTGGATGTGGACCAACAGAAACTGCTGCAGTGTTTAACATCAGTAATGGTGAGTGTTAGGATTGTTACATATAAGTAGCGTCCCTTTTATTTACATGTTTACATAACCCTTCAAACTATAGTCTATTTTAGTAATATTGAGATTTAATAATGTAAACAAATAGTACACAATTCTGAAGCATAAGAATGTTTAGGAGGGAAGTGACATATAGCGCAGAAAACTTAGAGGTTAGGTAGGGTATAAAAGGTGGGGTGAGAAAAGTTTGGGGGTCCATTCTCTCATAGGCAGCTTAGGTCCTTGATGTGAATTCAGTAGTAAATTAAAGAAGTAAATCATATACGAACTTCGGGTTGGTTCATTGTCTACCGTCTTCAAGTTTCGACCCGTCCTCATCTCAAATCATGACATTGAGGTCACTTAACATTTAACAAACTATATGCCTATTGACGAATCTTTGTTGTGATGACTTAATAACAACACACAATTGATGGTTAGTGTTCAGGGTAATGATAATATTTCTTGCTAACATGGCATAAGTGCTGCAGTTTGAAATAATAGGACATTGTTTTATTTCTCTTGAGTTCTTAATTTTTTTACCGTAAACCACATCTAGTCAACTTGTCAGTTGTAAGTTTGTTTTATAATACTATTTTAATAAACAAATTTATATTGTAATAAAAATTTGGTTTCATTTTTTTTCTTCCAGCAAGGAGCAGATAGTAAAGCTACAAGAAGTAGCCCAGCATCTGTGAGAAATTTGATAGAAAGAGCTCCTGATATGACATTTGAAAGTTTAGTAGAAGTCATTGGCCAGAATTTTCTTCATAAAAATAATGAGCAGGTAGGTAAACTAAATGTTTTCTATCTCTATTGATATCTACAGGAAGTTGTCTGAAACCAGATCACTATGTGGATTAATGTATAGAAATATGGAGCCTGAATAAATTCTAATTGAGATAAATTACCAGGATGCTACGTTAAAATAAAATAATACAGGCATTCTGTCTTACTGTATATTAAATTAAATTATAATATTTTAGATTTAGTGTTTAAATAAAGTTTTTGCTTAAAAAGTTTATATTCTTTATTTTCTGTGTCTCTGCTTGTGAAGGGATGGTGTGGTCAACCTCCTTTACTTTTCCTAACTTGAGTCAGTGGGGCACAGCGTTGCCTAGCTGTACAGCGCTAGACTGCTAACCTAAAAGTATCGAGTTCAAGTCAGTAGAACGTCCCAGAGTCCACCTAGCCCTGGATGGTATATAGCCCATGTTATGGAAAGCAAAGACAGCTGGGCATAGTGTTGATCACACTATCCCTTTATAGGTCAAAGTGACATAAATAGGTGAACTCTGCTTCACTTGTACCATGGACCGTCATGTTTGAAAAAAGGAACTTTACTTACTTGTACTTGAGTCAGGCACCTAACAATGCTTGGTGGTCAGGGAAGTCCTATAGTTAGGTGAAGCACTCAACCACACTGTCCCTTCAAAAGCAGAGATATAAAGCAAATGAACTCTTCTTCATATATATCTACCCTATGGACCATCTTGTCTGAAAGAGTACTTTAGCTATTTTCTTCATACTCCTATAAAAATATCTTCAGCAGTTTAAAATTTCACACTTTACTATAGTGTCTCTGACAAATAAATTTTTACCCCCCCACTATCTACAGGTTAATTCAGAAAATTATCGTTGGATTGATCCAGTAAATGAAGAAGATTATCCAGGAATATCAGAGATTGTGGCCAGACTTGAATCATGGCAGTGGGTGTATGGGAAGACGCCCGCTTTTTCTATATTTAGAGCCTTTGTAGGTCACTTTAACTCAAAGCCTTGTACATTAAAAATCAGCATTACTGTAGAAAAAGGAAATTTAACATCACTTATCATGGAGGTGGATAGAATGTGTGATGATTTACAAGATTTAATGGAAACTATGCAAAAGTATTATTTGTCTAATTTAAATAGTCCAAGTCTAACTAGAGAAAATATAGAAAACTTACAAACTGGTTTTGAGTTATATGTTTTAGCAGAGTCAGGTAGTAATGAAACTGTTTTTGTTCAATGGGTGTCTAACTCTATAAAATCTTGTTTTAGTTTCTTGTAAAATTTGTAGCACAGTATTGTCAGGTTTTAATTTATACATTTTATAAATCGACTACTATTGTTAAAAATGTGCATTTGAAGATCTAAGTGAGTTTTTAAGAGTATTTATTACCTTTACAAATTTCTGTAAATTAAACTACTGGTTTGTAGGATTATATTAATAAATTATGTAATTTAATACTCAATTTTTGAGTTTATTTTAAATGATTTTCACAAGCATGGATGAATGGCTGTAGAGCAATACACTAACTGTCCCATGAGTTGATAAGCTCCCTTGATGACTTAGACTACCTCCCTTTATGCCAAGCATAGTTGCCCCAGCTGTCCATAGAGATTCAGTTGTGCAGACCAAAAACAATCTAGACAAAATACTGAACAAGGCCAAAGTCAGTTTTCAAATTTATTTTGAATGATTTCTTACAGTTTTATTGTAGATATACAAGTTTCAATACATATCAGTTAAAAACAAAAGAATGCACAAATATCTACAAAATACAACCAAGTCCTGCACAGGTTTTCTAACACTTTTAGTTGTTTTCTGTTCAAGGTACCTGTTATAATATAAAATTCACATATCGTGAATTCCCAATTTTGAGTTATTTTGTTTCATAAAGAAAAAAACAACAAATATGTACCTTTTAAATGAAGTGTATGTTACATGTAACAAATAATGTTGACTAAAACAACAGTAAAAAAAAACCTTAAGTTTATTAAAAACTAATATAAATGAAACATTATCTAACTTTTTCTCAATTCTAACACCATTAATGGCGCTTACATAAAAATATCAGAAGCTCATTTTTAAATATATTATTTAGGAATGTGCTATTACATATTTGAAAGTTTGAGCTTCATTTTGAACAATGAAAAGGCCACTAACAAATTATAGCTACTTTGGCCAACTTCAACATATTTATCTGGCCATTTTAGCAGAATCACTCCATATCTAACTTAAGTCTCAAACCAGGCTTATAATATAGACTTATGAATTTGTATTAAAAAATAAATCTAAGAAATTTAAATGACAAAATAACTTAAAATTATGTTAATTTTAGTAAGGGGCTTAAATTATTTGTCATTTTTAAAATTACATTTTTTTTGGCTATGTGTTAGGTATAACATGAAGAAACACAGGTTCTAAAGAAAAAAAATGGTCTTAGTGCATAAGTGGGTCACAGAAATATTCTTTGTGCAACTGTAAATGGTAGACCATGCAGTTTGCATATCAAACAAAAAGAAAACTTTAAAATTTATTCATACAAATGCTGTACACGTGTGGTTTACAATGTTCTTCAGATCTGACGAAAGACTGAGGTTTAGTTACAAGCTGAGTGCTACAATTTTATTGCAGTCTTGGTTCTACCTATAGATTTACTTCAATAATCATCGTGGAACTACAGTCTTTCAAAACAAAGGGCTCCACAATTTTTTAATTTTAAAATATATTTTTTTTTGAAAACTTGGCAACAAGTAAATTTTCTAAACATTCAAAACAACTATGGGACAATGCAAACTAATCTACTTGTTAATAAATGAAAATTATGATATTAAACACAAAATCCGTTCACAAAATGTCATTTCAAAATTTGTCTTTTTAAAGAAGACTGAATTCAAGTAAATTCAAATATTTTTCAAGGAAATGGTATGCTAGATGCCCTAAATGTAAAGCGAGAAAAAATGGGCTGCCTCTTGGTTAAATGGTATGCAAATTATAATTAACAGCAGGTCAGACTTTTTTCCCAGAGCAGCGAGTGAAACTTTTTTAGTTGCTTATTTTATTTACATGTTGCATTGGTAAGGCATGTTCAAATGTACACTTTATTTACACTGACTATTTCATGTTTAATTTTTTTTCGGGGGGATACTGAGTAAAGTATCAATCACCGGGAGTTCTCGTTTATACAGACTGGATACACATTTTTACTGTGATTGATAGCTTTTTCTAGTAGCTACACAGCTTTTTTCAAAAGTACATTGCTTTAGCTTATCTACCTTAAAATTATCTACTTAAAATTTGTACATTTTTGACCTTTAATTTTTTTTATTTTTTTTAGATTTCAGATATTTTAAAACTTTATTTCTGTAAACTTATTTTATACAATAAACAAAAAGTTAAAAGATTGGCTCTATTTTTCAAATCAAACGAAAGTATTTATACAAATTCGCTGCTCATGGAATTATTGAAAAGTTTTTTGTGAAAATAAAAAAACAAAACAAATTTAGTATCTTCTGTTTAAATAAGGCCTGGCTAAAATAATAAGGCCTGAAATGACATAGCAATACAACAGTAGCAGTGTGCATGGCCTACAAATAGCTGCTCCATAAACATCAATGTCCTTCTACAAACTACCTGTATTTACATATTGTACAGAAAACTGACCGTATAATCCTCAAAGCAACTTGCTGTCAAAGCAAATTGAAAATGCTAGTCCTGGAATCATTGGTACATAAAATTTTGGACAAAATCCACCACGAAACAAGGTATGAATACAGACATGTCCTACAACAATGTTGAGCAATGCAATCACATGGATGATTATTAATTTGTGTTCATTTCAAAGCAAGTTTTAAGAAAGTACAAGTAAGCCAGTTAAGAGTTTTTGGAAAAATATGATTCTCATCCAACTGCTTCTGCTATTTAATAAAAAAAAACAAATTAAATTAACATTTCAGAATTGATTACCTGATTACAGAAAAGTGGAAAAGTGTTACATGTAGTATAGGTAAGAACTAAATTGGTCTGAATTTTTATTCTGTATTCTCTTATGGCAATAAAAATATTTTCCAGAAGACTAAATGGATGAATATTAAAGAAAAAACCTATAACAGATAATTAAGTAGTTAACATACTGTATATTTTACACTCAAGTGCTTGGAGGATAAAGAATTTCAGTGCAGATGAGATTCATGAAATTAACACACACAAAAAAAACCAGTGTCAAATGGAAGAAACAATGTGCTACTTGTAGAGAACATTATAACATATAGTATATGATTTACACATTCATCTTACTATTGCAATTTCTTGAATATCCAATAACATTCTGATGCCAGGGATATAATATCCCATTACTGAGTGCTTGAAAAAATTGCAGTAGAAAATGTTTCAACAAATGTAGTATTTGGTTTACTTTTGTCAAATTTTTGGTAAAATTTGGTTGCTTTATTTACAACGAAATTCCATAATTCAAACAGATGCAGATTAATAATTATCAGCCTTCATTTTCATGATTACTAAATCTCAAAATTATTACACTCAAAGTAAAAAATAAAATCTGCATGCTCGAATGGAAGGTTTCAAATTTGTAAGGAATCAATTCCTGCCTCATTAGTATCATAATTAACTAATTGTGTAATTGATTCTGATTAAGTATAATTGAACAAAACAATTCAGAGTAAAGTATTTTCACCATAATGTTGAGTATACGGATTATCTTCCATACTAAACTGCCAAGATTATCCAAAACAAAATAAAATACAAGAATAAACATAATACATTTTAGGTCAATATTTTCAAATTATATTAATCACATTAATACTACTTTTTATATTTTTACATTGTATATTGCAAACATAAAACTGTACACAAAAATGAATTTGTAATTAATAGAATGAATGTAAGATGGATATCAAAATTGGTGTATAATAGTGCTTTTTTTTTTTTACATATATTGATTTAATAAAGAGATGAAACAGAAAGTAAATGTTATTTACAAAACATTTTTTTAAGTTTTCCAGACTATAAGACTTCTTAAATAGTACTAAATACTAAACATTAGCATGAAGACAACCCAACCTCAGTGATGTGAAATTATTTACACTTTAAAAGACAAGATTTCTGATTCTAAAAGATATTAAAACTGCAGAAAAGTGTGGCCAGCACAAACTATGTAGAGTTGGTGGATATAGTTGCCCAGTTGGCTTTTATAATTAGTATACAGGCCAAAATAGAAATGTCTGCCCACCTTATGATTTCATCTCAATGTAGATTCCAAAGGGTTGAAATGAAGTTAACAATATATTTGTTTAAAGCTAACTCGTTTTATAGATTTTTGGGCTATTATAGTAAAATACACAATAAAAGCTTGTATATTTGAATTTTATAAGCCATTTCAAAGTTGCCCAAAATTATATTTCTTACATGATTCATTCTGTAAGAAAAGCATGCAGAATATTTTATATAGATCTTATCAGTAATGTATAAAATAAACATTCTTAAAAGTAGTTTTCAGTTCTTTATTCAGAACAAGAAATAAATCACAGCCATTAAAGTTTAGTGGTAATTTTATGTTTGGCCACTAATATTTAGATTAGCCTTATATATCTTTGTATAAATAAAGCTCATCTGTATAATTTTTTTATCATTTTCACGAGCACCTTGCACTGAGAGGTCAGATATTTAGCATAAATTAGCAAGGTCCATGTTTTGAGGTTTAAGCTTAAAAGAATTTGCAAGGTCAACTTTAAGATCTTTTAACGCTTTAACTTTAACAAGTATTTTATTTTTTCACTGTAGAACTCTGACCATGTTACCTATTTAGAGGCAATTCTATAATTTTTGCCAACCTTAGATTATGAGTTACTTTGACAATGCGTCAGGGCGTCAATCCTCAGTGGTTCTAACACTGTGTATGTCTGTTCTTATGTAGTATAAATCCATGATTAATCAATGAACCTTGTACAAGCTTTCTTCCACTTGCACTGGGTGCACCACTGGTCTCTGTGCTCCATGCCGTAAACCTTCCGGCACTTTCTGACCTCGCTACGGGGTCGGCGATGTTGAGTTACTTTAAAGGTGGCTGGGGCGACATTCGATTTCGGAGACTGGGCTTGGTGCTGGTAAAGTCTTTCTTGTGGCGTCAGCTTGTTTTGTCTTTGAGAGGGTGAGACCTGGAGATTAAAAATTAAATAATTTTAAAACTTTGCACAAAATAGTGAGTTAGTAGGTGCGAAGTGGATTGTGAAACTGCTCTTAAGATAATTTCTGGTTGAAAGTAGAAAAAAAATAGCCATGGTTTTGCAGTCAATGTCCAGCTAGCTTTAAATTATACCTGGCATAAGTCAGGGGAAATAAAACATTGGGTATTTCATTATTAGAATACTGATTACGGACCTTTAAACTCTACTTCGTAAGCCATATGTGTAGTAAGGTATTGAGGATATATTACTAAATTTAATCCAGTTAAGAATACACTATGGGACAATGTGGTCTATCATGAGAATACATGTATACGACTCCGCCTGTCACAAGTTGACAAGACAAGTTGCCCCTATGTCCAACCAATGGTGTGATGCACAACGGAAAGTGAGTAAAACCTGTTGGATGGATCTAGCAATTGGAATCTGGGGTTAGAGAAATTACTGATTCGTGAGAATTGCTTAAGACAGTTATTCCCTGGTTACATAGATATAGAATGCAATATTTTTTCTACCAGTTAATAGTTTACATAATTAAATATTTTTCAATGAGAAATTTTGGTTTGAGATATTTTATCTTTAAGGTATTTTGTTTGCGGTAATTAATTAGTCTGGTATATTCAAAGTTTGCCAGAGAAAAATGTCTAAAAGAAACCCCAGGAATATTTTTCCTGTTAAATATTGTCTTAAATAGTTAATAACAAAAAAAAAACACATAAAAATACAATGTAATTGTTTTCTTACCAAAGAGCCACTTGGAGAAGAAGAATTAATATGCCAGGAGAGAGACTTCTGGATCTGTCCCTCTGAGATAGCGATGGGTATACTTTTAGTCTGCTCTAGATTGATGACCAGACTGCTACTGGATGGCACAGAGCTGGCATGGGTGTACTTACACACCTGTACAAGAGAATTCATAAGAAATAATTATAAGCAAAGGAAAAATCATTTATGATGTCCACTTGCATACTAACTATGTCAGTGTTTTTAAAAAGATAAATTATCTTTATAGGTTGGTTAAATAAGTGTCAAATACAGTATTATAATAATTTTTGTTATAAAAGATATAATTGAAAATAGAAATATTTTATCAGTTTAAAAAATCCAAAAAATAAGTTCCCAAAATAATGTTAAAAAGATTATTTATTTCTAATCAATTTGAATTGACTGTGCAGGTTTTGCTAAAGGACTCCTTACTATAAAATTTTGATATTTTGACTTTTAAGAATCAAGTTAATGAGATAAATAAAGAAAACAGGTAAGGAAACTTAGATTAGCTAATCATATAGGTGGCAACACATTAATTTAACTGGTTTATTTAATTGCAATAGAAATAAACACAAATTTTAAAGCCTCCATTAGATAATGGGATATTTTTCTTGTGATATTTTTTCTGACAAAATAGGATTAGGATTAGAGTAAGCGTAATGAGCAGGGTTAGTGCCAGGGTAGCTGTAGCCTACTAATACAGTATTAGCTTAGAATACATCATGGGATGACATGTTTAAAGGGTAGAATGCTTGACTGCTAGTCCGACGTCTTGAATTCGGATCATGGACTTGTAACTGCAGGATGTCTCTGTCCACCCTACTCTGATGGGTACCTGACTCACATTAGGGAAAGCAGAGATGGCTGGACATAGTGCTGACCACACTATCCCTATATACGTTGATGTCAAAAATCATAAAAACCATTTTATCTGCCCTATGGATTGTTAGGTCTAAAAGGGGAACTTAATACATTAAGTCAAAATACTTCATACTATTTTCAGTGTTGATTTTAGTTATTGAAAGCATTACCCCTGAGGTGATTACCTTTCTTTGATAGTCATGGTCCATGACACCCCGTCCTCCTGAGCTCTCAGCCTCACAGTTCTGGCTCACCTGACCTTCAACTATGACCTTCTCAACTGCCCCACAGCTGTGACTGCCGCTGTCTTCACTGATGTGTCTCCTCCTGTCTGAAGGCCTGTCTTCACTGACGTGCCTCCGTCTGTCTGTATGGCTGTCCACAGGGGGAGACGACTGTGTGTTCATGGCCGCAAAGGATTTTGTCATGGTGTTGATTTGCTGGATTGATACAGTCACCTCGGTGTAGTGGAAGTCCTCTTCATTGTCTGTTAGTTCTAGGTCACTGTCTCGGCTAGGAACAAAAAAAATAGGTTTGTTAGTTCTAGGTCACTGTCTCGGCTAGGAACAAAAAATAGGTTTTTTAGTTCTAGGTCACTGTCTCGGCTAGGAACAAAAAATAGGTTTGTTAGTTCTAGGTTATTGGCTAAGAACATAAAAATAGGTTTGTTAGTTCTAGGTTATTGGCTAAGAACATAAAAATAGGTTTGTTAGTTCTAGGTTATTGTCTCGGCTAAGAACAAAAAAAAGGTCCTTACTGTAATTATGTAACACACCCAGATAAACACCTTTTTTTTTGACATGTTAAAATTGTTTGTTCAACTTTTATAAACTATTTATTTATGAGTATAGTTATCTCTAAAAGTGAATATGTTAATCATCTAAAAATTAGTAAAACATAACCTTACATAACAAGTTTCACATTTTCAATTTTTTATTAAAAAAAAAAACTTTCTAAATAATCATTGAATCATTTAATTAAAGTAGAAAGTTTAAAATGCAATTAATATAGAAAATAATTGTATAAATAGTTCTCATTTAAAACTAATAGATTTTGTTTTCTCTTTACATTCTAATATAGTGTGAACAAGCTTATTGGTATGCTTCTTTGACACACAACAGATATAAAATTCTTACTCATAATGGGCTCTTCTGATGTGTCTTTCTATGCCATTTCTGGTTGTCTTTGTCATATGACAGCCTCTCCATGTACATTTGTAAATAGTACCTTCATCTTCCTGTACACACAAAAAAAGAATAAAACTGTATAAAGAGGAGTTAAATACCAAATCAGCATTACTGTAAAACACTGAGTTGTATAGTGTCATTAGTACAATACCAAAGGATATGTTTGCTACACAAATAAATATTGGTTCAAACACAAAAAATAAATTTAAAATTACAGTCTTGGGGTGTAGCTAGGTCTTTGAGTAGTAGTGTTTAAATGTATTGACAAAGGGTGGGTCACTGAAATCTAATAGGCATAATAATATTAGGGTAAACTGCAAATGCTGATCCTGCATACAGTGGATTTATTTAAGATGGTGGGAACGATGGGGGTGCGGGGGAGTTACTAATAGTTAAAACAAAGGACATAAATCTATATGTAAGGGCTGATTTAGGACAAATGTAGGTCAAATAGGTTTAGATATAAATTCGATGGTAATATTTAATATATTAATGAATGTGACATTCATTCAATTTATACAATAATGACAAAACGGGGAGTGGTGAATACTGGTGCATTCCTATCAGCGAAGCACAGTAGTCGTTAACTGGGTTAACGTTGCACCACGTGATGTAAACATTTGAGCTACACATGCAATAATATTCCTCGGTTGTGCAAGAAAAGAGATAGATATAGGGAGCGTAATTAAAAAAGGACCTTTATTTTTTGTCTTCAGAATCTGTTTATGCAATATTTTCGTACAGTGTACATGATGGGCTTATGTTAAGGGCCTAATATTAAATGAGTATTGGTATGGTTGATTTAAAAAAAAAAAAATCACTAAAATTAAAATTACTTTTATAAATAACAGTAGCTGGATCTAGATTAATTCTAGATCTAGTACTAACTAGATCTAGTTATCTATTAATAAAATTTCTGCCTATTATTTCATATTTGTGACAAAAATATTACTTAGGTAAGATTGATAACAAAATAGTTGGTTGGTTTAATATTGAATTATTCGGAATGTAGATATTTTAGAATATGTAGCCTACAATTAACTGAATAAAAAAAAAAACTATAGAGACCGGTACTTTGAATAAGTGTAACATAAAAACGCGACACCGGCTTGTGTCACGAGCTGTCAGCTGGTTTATGTAGGTCAAATGCACAGGCTGATTGCATAAAATTAAAATGTCGGATCCTTTGTTCAGTATTAGACTCTCCATATTGGAAGAAGCATAATTTTCACAGGACCTCCATTTAAATAATCGTACTAACGATTTTAAGAGTCACACTTTTCAATATAAAAAACACAACAGTAGTAATTACGCTTTATTTCATGTGGAACGAATGCCGAGGGTGCCTTTAAATAAACTCACGAGCTTAATTATTATACCGTGTAGACAAAATAATTCAGATTTTAATTTATTTGTATTATTGTGGTTAGGCTTATGCCTTTCTGATCACTAATGATAAGGTTAGGATTAGTTTTGCTAAGAAGATGAAGGCTTCAAATTATTGAAGGTGTAGGGCTGTAGATGGGGTATAATTTATATAAATAATGTTTCCATTATTCATGTAGGCCTATACCATGTTTTAACCTACATGTGTTGTGATGTAATAGTTAAATTGCGCAATTAGCCCTTGCCATTACACCGTTCAATAAAAAAAAGTTCCGGCACACTCTGTGTGTATATGACGTGAACCCACGTAAGCATTCTTTGTTGTGGTTTGAAGGGAGCGAGTTTGTTATGGTAGTCAGCTGTGTGGTTCATGAAGGACGCAGGTCACATGATATTGAGAAAGCCTCGCGATTGGACCCATAAAAAAGTAGAATGTAACGGCGCTTCTCATTGGTCGATTCAGTGATTTTTTCACCGTTCTATTTTTAGCTTTGACACATCCCGTTAAAATTGATCTAAGTAGCAGCCTCTCTGCTGCTTTTGAGTGTTGTTAAAACGAGGTAAGTATTGACTTAAAAACGGAGTTTGTACAAACCAAATACGTTTAAGGATTGAGTTTCCTTTTAAGCACACAACTAGGGATGGACACAAACCGCCAGTTAGACTAACTAACAAATATATACTTGGTTTTCTATTATAGCCAAGAGAGGGCATTAAGTATATTATTATTAGGAACGGTACACCTATGAAAATGACATAACCCTACTGCGTTGCACAAAAAAAAGGCTCTGTACTCTTTAGTAAAATGTTCATATATTATTATTATTACACTACACAATCAAAGCACATTGTACCTTACAAGGCGGGTCTCCCAAGATTTACAACTACATGTTATCAAGACCTATAGGTTACAACCAGAGTTTCTTTCAGGCAACACTTCGTCTCCACCCCCAACGACATAGAATGTATATACAAAATATACATTTCAACCGGTGTGCGTGTCCCCTCCTCATGAAAAAGTAACCCTCCTCCCCCCGCTCCGACAGAAAAATATCTGGAAGAAACAACTGGCTACAACCACGGGTTTGTTTATAAACTTTCTACAATCCTAAATCAAACCACTGCTGGTCTTTAAGACTTACAATCACAGGTCCTCAATAATTATAATCACAGGTCCTTAATCATATAATCACAGGTCCTCAATAATTATAATCACAGGTCCTCAATAATTATAATCACAGGTCCTCAAGACCTATAACTAGTATAACTATTAGTCAAGTACTAAGCCCTACAACCCCCTCCCACCATAAGCCTTATACCCCCCCCCCACAAGCCTTAGCCCCCCCCCCAACACACACACAAACGGTACATGCTAAGCCTTATAAGCACCCCTACCCCCAACACACACACAAAACGGTATATGCTACTCCCCCCCCCCCCCACACTCAGCATTACCTCGCATATAAGAAGCCTGCCAGAGCTATTAGAACTGTCATCGTCAGAAGCAGGGGTGGGGGGTTTGTAGCTCATCATAGCCGGGGCGCTCTCGCTGAGGGGTGGCAGGGGAGGGGAGTGGTCATCCCTCTCGGAGTGACCGCTGTAGAACCCGCTACTGGCGACACTGCTGGATAGATGGCTGTCCGGAAAAGCATTCTGAGTTTCCAAGAAATCTGAAGAAAATAAAAGTACATTTATTAATATTAATTACCATGCTCAAATTATCAAGTGTTCAACATTACAGTAAAAAAGTATAGTACTATTTGGGGAAGTAGAGTTCATCTGGTTCTCTGACAGTGGTCATCACTATGCTCAGCCGCCTTTACCTAAGAGGCGTCACCCGTTAGAGCTGGGTGGACCTCAGGGTCGAGCCGGTGACCGAACATGAGACATGTTATGTTTTCAACGGTGTCGACATCAATTTGTCACAATGGTTTTTATAAAATTCAATTCGTGTATCCGATCTCCTTTGGTTTGCTAATGTCATTAACCAAAACATAATCCATATAACTCACTCATCTCTATTCCTAACAGAGTCCCTAGTCCAAAATCACACCAGCAAGAAAAGAAGAAAAAAAGAAAAAAGACTTAATACGATGTTGTGATAGAAGACGTTTAAAAATATTCTAAAAGCTTCATTGATTTTGTGTGTTAATGTGTAACATTTTTATTCACCTAAACATGTTCCCCCGCTTATGATAAAATACACTATTTGTTATTCCAGCTTTAAAGCGAACATTTACTCTTAAGAAAAAATATCACGAGCTAACATCATTTATCAAAGTTAAGCTTAAGTCTCGCCATTAGAAAAAAATACAATGAAAAGATTACTTCAGAGCCCACAGCAGGGGAACTGAATCTGTAGATTTGTTGTTTTTCTTTCTTTGTGTGGTATAAAAATGAAATTTTAATAAACCTAGGCGGAGAGAAAGGACCTTTCCAGCATCCCTACCGCAACTGCTACAGAAATTGTGTGCCCATGGTGTGCTTTAAGTTAAAATACGAAATGTAAACACAACCACCGCCATGTAATGTAAACATGGATTCCTTCCTTGTAGCCACTCGCTTACAAACCGAATTGCGTCCCTTTATTACGTGCGTACGACCCACTGCATCACTATCAGTGTGGCTTGGACGATGGGGTCATGTGACGTATTCACTGGATTGCATGTTCTCAGTGCAAAAAGGCCACCGTGACCTGTAATACGATTTCCCTAGCAACGCTGACATGGCAGCTTATGGCAACTTGAGATGTCTGGGAGGGGGGGGGGGACCTGCTCTCATGGAGGTCATTGGCTTCTTGTAATTTATAATATTTTTGTTTGTATTCATCCGCCAACATTTCTCACCCCTTTTTAAGTTTTTGTTACTGCATTCCACGCCTCTCACTGCATGCGAGTCTACTGGTATAAGTAACAGAGCTTAAGGTGTGCAAAAACTAGAGTTTCTTTCAGGCATCTCTCCCCCCCCCCCCCAACCGGGACGAAAACGGAAAAAAAAAGAAAATACATGATTTATTCAGTGTCCGCCACCCTACCCCCGATACGTTATAGAAAAAACAATGTATATAGAAAATAACCTTATCCAGTGTCCCCCCCCCCCCACCCCTTACATTGGTAAAGAGGTAGGTTTGCAGGAGCTAATACCACTTAGTGGCTAGTCTATAACACTACTATAGGGGTTAAAGAACGGAAGAGCTGATACCTGCTTTAAAATCAGGTCACCTTTTTATTGACAGCCCCACAGAAAAAACAAAACAAAGCGAAAGTAAGATAAATATTGGCTTAGCAGTACCACCACAAAATATGGTTAGGGTAAGTAGAAATTATGGAGACACTGAACAGCATAGGGTGCTAGCATAAAAAAAATTAAAATATTCTAAGATTGAAATTTGTGTAATTCTTGGGTTTAAAAAGCAACAGGCTTCTAGCCTTAGGGTTTAATGCTATAATTATGACAAGCTCTGAAAATGAACAAATAAAACACAGGCTTTCATACACTGTAAGCATAATTAGGCCCCTACTAGGTTTTAAGGCCAATCGGGTTCATGACCTCGGATTTCCTCCATCCCTTGCCTAGAGCAGAAATAAGCCTACTAATTTAGAAGCACGAGCACACAGAGGTTTGAATAACGTAGCCGGCACATTTTATAATCAGGTTAAGTGTTTTTGTGTTCGGTGTCGCATAATTAGGCTACATTAGAGAGCATTGAAAGCTATACGCCGCTGTGGGACAGCTGTCATTTTGAGGTCGTGGAGGGGGGGGGAAGGCTGGGTGATCTACCCCACCCTTTAACTATGCGTCGAAACACTCATTCATTATTTACGTGATATGTATAACAGCTCGATGATTTTGTTTTGTTTCTTCGTTAACCGCAACCCAGGTTATTTAAAAACAAGGATGACCGAGATAAAAACTCCCCCCCCCCCCCCCGCCTTCCCTCTCCCTCTAGTAAAGAAAAAAGATTCTTTGGTTGTAAACAGTGCGGAAGGATCAAAATACCAAGATGTCTGCGCAGGCTGCGCAGACTGTAGCGGTGATCCGACGAAGCGTGCGCCGAAGGCGGCAGACACAACACACATACTCGCCCCTTCTCACTGGTCACGTTATCATCCAGTAAAAATAAAAAGACATGAATGAACGCACGCGCTTTAACAGACTTGAATAGCCGGTAGTCTAACGGGTTTCTAAAAATAGCCACAATAATTTTACTCATAAAAAATAGGCCTATTATTCGATACATGCATTTCATTTGAATAAACATCAAAGAAAATTAAGCAATCATCCTTGCAAACTTAATATCAATTCATTCTTACAGTTTAAACATAGTAAATCGTACGCGCATACTACGAAAAATATCAATCAAATATGAACCGCGTTGTGATTGGCTGAGAGGAAATAAACAATGAAGCAGTTGATGGCTATGGTCTGCATAAAATTTGGTAGACGAATTCTGGTCTAAAATACCGGTAAATATGTGTAGCTATAACAGCTTACAATAAAGCTGATCTAAGCCTTTAGATTCTCGTTCAATTTCGGTAGGGATTAGCCTACGTCAGGAAATGCCGACTTTTCGTTTTTGAATATAAACAATGGGCGCCAGAGTTTCTTTCAGGCGTCTCTTCGGGGATGAGGTCGGTGAACACATTCCGTGTCTCACCCCCCCCCCCCCCGACAAAAATAGAAAAAAAATGTATATCGTCTTCTGCCATTTGTGTCTAAGACACAAGGGGCAGATGAAGTAGAGTTCATTGTTTACAGAGACCTCGGCATTTGAAGGGATAGTGTGGTGAGCACTATGCCCAGCCGACTTTGTTTTCCCTAACGTGAGCTGGGTGGACTCAGAAACATTAAGACTGACTTGAACCCGAGACTTTAAGTTTAGCAGTCTCACTCTCCACCACTAGGCCACGTCGTCCCACGGAGTCTATTTAGAAAATGTTCTATAGAATCTATCTATAGAGCAAATGTATACTATAAGATTTATATCAGTGTCGCCCCCCCCCCCTCCTGTAGAAAGAAGCTGTGTTGGATGCGAGATGTGTGACATTTCAAGCTACATGACAGCGACAAAGTAGTTTCTACTATAAGAATGTGACCAGGTTTAGAAAACATGTAGGCCTTAAAAAGAGGGGGAGGGGGGCAGGCAGGCAAGAAAAAGACGTTGATGAAAGTAAGTCGGAAAGAAATAGGCCGCTACACAAGTTAACACAGGTTAAACGGACAAAAAAAATGATGTATGCAATTCTTTTAATAGAACAACATTGTCCTATTTTGATTACGTCATTTAGCCTTTTTTATTTTGGTATTTCACTTTTTGAAATCTACTTTAGCAAGGAAAATTTTTATTTAAAAAATATCCCAAAATGAAATCGTTATGTTGAATAGGCCTATTTGGGTTAGCTATCATATACATCGTTGTTCATATATTAGTGTGTTAAGTAATAACTTTTAACATCCTATGTAAATGAAACTATTCTACTCTCTGAAGGTTTACAGAAAACTTGTTTTTATATCATGTATTTTTAACATCACCCTCTCCCCCCTCTTCACGCCTCCGTCCCATCCACACAACGCGGTACAGCGAGTGAACAGTTTACGTCACACCAGCGGTGTTTTGAGAAGGTAAATCGATCGCCGGCCTGGAAGTATTGGAAGGTTGTGATGTGTTTGTGGCCTGGTTTCGGGTCGCTGTAAACGGTTGCTTTACATCGCTTTACAGCCATCAACAATGGCCGAGACCTTTTAAAGTGTAGGCGTCAGATATCAAATGTATTTTGACGATCTGTACTTGGTAGTTGTATCGCCATTCTTAAAATAATTCGTCCAAGTATTTATCGGTAGTTTCTTTACTTGCCCTACATAACAAAATAGGTTACGGGTAAGTGCTTAGTTAACTCGCCATAGCATTAACCTATTTTACATGGTGGGGCAATTAAGAACTGACCTTGTCTTAACCTATATAACGTTTTAAGGCAAATGAGAACTGACCCAAGATCTTATTAGTCTGGTCACGTGTATTGTCAGCCCCACACCCGCAATCTACGCCACCACACCTAGCCGTACCCCATTTTTACATTTTAGGGCAAATTAGAACTGACCCTAGATTTACCCCATTTTACATTTTAGGACAAATTAGAACTGACCTTAGCCATACCCCGTTTTACATTTTAGGACAAATTAGAACTGACCTTAGCCATACCCCGTTTTACATTTTAGGACAAATAAGAACTGACCTTAGCCATACCCCATTTTACATTTTAGGACAAATTAGAACTGACCTTAGCCATACCCCGTTTTACATTTTAGGACAAATAAGAACTGACCCTAGCCATACCCCATTTTACATTTTAGGACAAATTAGAACTGACCTTAGCCATACCCCGTTTTACATTTTAGGACAAATAAGAACTGACCCTAGCCATACCCCATTTTACATTTTAGGACAAATAAGAACTGACCCTAGCCATACCCCGTTTTACATTTTAGGACAAATAAGAACTGACCCTAGCCTTACCCCATTTGAGGACAAATAAAAACTGACTGACCCTAGCCATACCCCACTTTACATGGTGTGGAAAACTAAACTTTGCCCTCGCCAATAGATAATATGCTGCATATAGGCCAACACTACATTCACTTCTCTCGTTAATGACAGCAGTGTAGGCCTAGGCTTGTTTTAAGCTTTGTTTGTTACTGATGGCTACGGTTTATACCACATGCTATTAAATTTATATCAGTCTTCACAAACTGTCTACATACCAAATATAACAGCACATGAACACAATTCAGACTAAAGAATAAAAAAATGTTTTACTAATCCTACAAGTAATTAAACCAAATCTATATAAGTGAAAAACATCTAGCTAGACTAAACCTACACGGCTAACGTCATAACATAAAACAAGAAACATTTATACAAGAACTTGGACATTTTTTTTTATCAACCAAGTCTCTCTACCCCCATGGTATCTCAACTTAACCCCCCCCCCCCCCTCAACCAGTCCTAGCTTCTAACATTGTCCCCCTAATCTACATTTCACATCACTTTTAGCGTGCCAGAGCTTACCCAGAAAAAAAAAAAAAAACTCAGTCTAACGATACGTGGGTAATTCCAAACACTATCAGGTTGTTTTTTTCTATTTACACCGTGTTGTGTTGTGCTCCCAGACTGGGATCCAGATAGAGAAAAAAAAAGTGCCGACAACTCCGTAGGCTTAGTACACAAGAGGCGGGAATAACGAGATAACACAAACAAACTTCGTTTCAAGAAAAAAAAATCCCCACCCCCTACGTGAAAAATAAATAAAGTTGTAAAGGCAAAATTAGTAATCTTATTTATATTTATAAGTTGTATTTCTCTAGGCTACACAGATATCCTGAAACTGTCAACGAACTGTGTATTGTATCACTACATTTGGGGAAAATTCGGTCAAGTGAGTTCACGTGATCTAGTTAAAATATTACGCAACGCAAAACAAAACAACAACAAAAAAAGACACCCTGCTATGCGGTGTGTGTTACACCGAGTACAACACATGCATCTGTGTTGTTTCTGCCTCTGTGGTGAGCTCAATCACCGTTTTTTTGGCACACGAGTGTTCGTCTTCGTTTACCAACATGACCCAGTTCGGCGAACCCCACATAACGGAGATCTGGGTTAGTGGGTCACAGCCCGTGGTCGATGGTATAAGACAAAGTGGCCCAAGTCGACCGCATTTCATCCCGTCAGAGCAGAAATCGTTAGAACTGGAACCGTCCTATTCCGGCACCAGCCTCGGTGACAAAACCAGTGCTAAAAATAAAACAACACGCACAAAAAAGACCAGCTTCTCTGTTAATGTTATTATTTAGGCTACTCTTTGTAAATTTTTTCTTTATAAATGTTTCCATTTTTAGCTTTCGTGTCTGTAAAATCTGGCAAGTATTTGACTACAAATAGCTCACCGATTTAAAATGTAGTAATTTCCATAATTTTTAACAACGTTGCAGATGGAAACATGCTCAAATAGAGGAAAACTTGTATATTATTTATAACTTTTCAGATGAAAACATGATCTAAATGAAGAAAACTTGTACATTTTTGCAGTGATAACTATTGTTTTGTCTTTAGAAGACAATTCGCCTAAATTATTAGATTTAATCGTTCTGTCTTTGATTGGGTAATTGGCCACTCGGGGCCATCTTTAGTGTTTGTAAAACAGTAGGGGTGGGATGGGGGGGGGGGGGGGATAATGGAGGGGGGGGGGGTGTGCGGTGACGGCATGACGGTGGACGCAAAATTCCACACCAAACAAAAATAGGTCTACCAATAATGTTAGGTAGGGGTGTGTTTTGTGTTTTGATAGGTGTTGCTAGCTACGCACCACACCAAACATCCGTATTGTGTGTATGTGTGAAATTTGTATGCCCCCCCCCCCTCTCAAAAACGACAAAATACTGCCCAACTAACAAGATTACACTTTAGCTATATACCTAGTGTAGACTCTGATCCAGTGTTTCTTATAAACAATTTTTTCAGGGCCGGAGGGGGCACTTGAAACTTTGGGGTGGGGCGTGGAAGGGGGGGGGGGGGCTTTCTATGTAATTTATACATTTGTTCTATTTTGTTCGAATGTGTGGTGTTTGGTGGGCGTGCTCCACGAGGGGGGGGGGGGGGTTAGTTCACTCTCATTTAAATAGATGACTGGAAGAAATTCGGATCTTTCCCAGATGTCCCGAAAAAAGTTAACCCCCGCCTCAGAAAAAAAAAATTAAAAAGGATACGAAACTTTTACTTTTAGTTTATATCGACAAGGGTGAAATCGGGACGTCGTTAATAACTTGCATGAAAACGTCCGTATTTCGGTACTTTTAACTCTAACCCTCATTGTTGTGTGTGTGGGTGACATTTTAATCGTAGATAGCAAAAAGTGACAGGGCTTAGCTTTTCGAGCGTGCGTTTTGCATTTGTGGCGGGGCTTATTTGGAAAAGACCCCAAAAATTCTACCCTGGTCTCCACTCAGAGAACTATTGTAACTGTGGGGTTAGAGACGACTGTGCAGTTCGTCTACGATGCCTGGACTTCAAAAGCCCCACTGCTTCTCAGTCAACCAATGTCGCAGGTGTCGGGCCGGCTTAGACTTAGAGCTCAAATCTTTGGATACAATGAAAACAGCCGTCTCCCGTGTGCTGCTAGCTGTGAGTTTGTTTAGCGTCAACACACACAACACAAAACACACCGGGGTCACGTGTTGTTTTTACAAGACTTGACGCCATTAAACATGGCTGCCGCTTATCGGGTCATGTGAGCAGGCTCGAGACAAAATGCTGATCTAGCAAGACTAGACCTAGTCCTCTCCCTTAAAACAATGTTAACTTAAAGGTTAGAGGTCAGTGTAAAAAAAAATAACGTGTGAGTAAATAAAATATATTAAACACGAAATAACCTTTCGTGCAGTAAAATGTGTTGGAAATGTGAACATGGCCAGATACGAGTTGGCATTTAAGACTCGTTTTATTTTAAATGTATAAGTTGAATCTCAGTCAACAAAAAAAACATATCTCTATTGTTTGTTTTACTGTCGTCGGCTCTTTCATTTATGTTATTCATTAAAGTGGTATATGATTATAAACAAAAAAAAAATCCCTAAGGGGAATTGACCTAAATGGATGCCTATGATCAGATGGATATAAGATGTAGAGACAGAGCCTAGAATCCAGATATGGAAGAAGTTAGACAAGTCTGAATGGTAGAAGGTGGATGCGTAGGAATAATACTTTAATTGAATATATAGGTACGCGGATGAATGGGTGCTAATAGTACTTGGATGATTTTGTTAAATTTAAAAAAAAAATGACGTTAAGAGAACTAATTAACACATCGCTTAACACAATGTATGCAACCCTTTAATCAAACCCATGGTGTGGTACAGCACACGACTGCTAACCTGAAAGTCTCGAGTTCAGGTCTCGGACTTGGGTCTCTTCTCTGAGTCTACCCAGCTCTAAAGGGTGCCTATCTCACGTTAGGAAGACTTTATGGCGGCTGGGCATAATACTGTCCACACTATTGCTTCAATGCAATGGACTCAGAAACAGCTGAACTCTTACTTCTTCTGCCATACTGAAGTCCGTAAGGGATAACTTTTAAGGTTAAGACAACCAACATCAGCTTACCTTTGCCGTGGATGTGGGGGTACACCTGTCCAGCCACCGGCGACTTGGGGCTGACCGACAGTGACGTCAGCACCATGGCCGCGATCTTCTCGTCCATCATGTCGACGTCATCGAACCCCCCTCCAGGCTCCGCCTCTGGCGGGTCCTCAGAAAAATGGCGCTGTCTTCGATTCCTTCTAAAAATAGCAAAGAAAAACAGAAACGATCTTAACCGCTATCCAATTGTTATTATAGCGATACATCAATCGGCGTCAGCGGGGCTTTAAGGAAGGGGGAGAAAAGGGGTGGTCCAGTTTATAGTACACCACGAAGACAGTGGAGAAAAAAATAATGTAATAAAATAAATAAAATTAGCACTCTTTATTTCATAATCTTAATTTTTTTTAAAAGTAGTTTTTCTTGCTTCTTAATTTTTAATGTTGAAAGGGGTCCCTCCAACACAATGAATTACTACGTGTCAACTTGTTATACGCCATTTAGGCCGTTGACTTCGATTTCAGCCTGTTTCGCTTTTCGGATTTGCTTTCATAGCCTTTGTCCAACCAAGAACTAACTACAAGGCAGCAGTTGATTTTGGAGTTGTCTCTCCTAGATGAGTTGCTGTCCCCAGCTATCAACAAAAGTAGTTAATATACATTTGAGAAAATGGAACGTGTTTAGCTTACTAGTATGTAATTTTAAGGGGTGGGGGTAGGGTGCCACCCTCTTGACCTATGCAGTTTATTACTCATGTAAACATGGGTGACCTTTGAACCCGCGAGTGCTGGCTAAATGATTTCACACACCATTAAAACGAAAACAAAATACAAGACAATGGAAGAAGTGGGAATTCCCAATATTTTAGCATTCATCCGTCATGTCAAAAAACATTGACAGACAAGTTTAGTTTTTAGTTGGGTTTTTTTCTCTCCTTCTTTACGTTTACTTGAGATACTGTACAAACTCCCGAAAAGAATGGATTAGTATTATGTTTAGGTCTGGAATACTCATTGTTAAAGCCATGTTTTACGAGAGGAGTGTAGTGATGAGTGCACACAAGATGCAGCAATATTTCACGTCATTGTTCACACATACTTGGTTCAGTGTGTTTTTAATTAGTATTTTATTTTGTTTGAACAAATAAATAAAAGGAGACAGTCTTAAATATGCTACCATCACTAACTGCAACATCGGAATCCACTATGGGCATGTTAAAAATGGTACCGATATGATGTGTAATAGCTGTACTAAACCCACGCCCCCTGCCCTTTCGCCTCCCATAACACATTTTGGTCTATGTTTATACAAATTTAAAAACTTGGAACAAAATTCCACTCGAAAAAAAATGTAGATTTCATATAACGGTATTGGGGGAAAGACAGACGGCCAGTTTGCTTAAAAACATTTAACAGTGAACACCTCTTGCGACCCTAGCTTTGGAGTTTCTTTCAGGCATCTCTGAACAAAATAGAGAAAAAAATATTTATTTAGAAAATATATAATTTAACCGGTGTCACCCCCCCCCCCCCTCCACTCTCGAAAGTTTTAAGTGCATTCCACCCGGTTATAAATGTCTGAAAGAAACACTGTCTTGCTTCCAGCAGTATCACTATCAGGGCGATGGTTCTATTTCCTTTGTGCGGTATCTGTCGCGTCACCAAGGACGGTCCTATCTAGGTCATGGTTTGCTTTCTGTATTAAAATCTAACCAGGGCGTTGGATCTATAAATAAATCTGACCAACTATCTAAAATAAGATAACTTTTTTTTTTAACGAATGATTTTTCATGTCGTCAGGAGCAGGTCGGTCTTTGTTACGGTAGAAAGGGAGGGGGGGGGGTCTGTAAACATAAGCGATGTTAAAATAGTACACGCCACGACGGCAAAGAAAAATGCCACAAGGTTAAGAAGTGCAAAAATCGGTGGTTAGAACGGTACAATAAGTAGTCGGCTATAAATGACGTCACGTGCGGTGAAAAGATTTTGACCTTAGTAGCGCTTTGACAGGTGTGGTGTGTGTATGTGTGTAGAGGTTGAGGGGGTAATACAATTGAGATGTAGCATTCATTTTGTAATATTCTTAATAATAAAGAGTTTTCTTTTCTGTTAAAATTGTTGCTACATATGAAAATTGGGGTCTATGTGGTATTTTTAAAACCCAGCCAAAAATTGCATGATTACCGAACACATTATAAAATTATAGGCACTAATCCATTAGGTTCCCAATAAGATATGTGTCGGCAAAAAGTTTTACCGTTTCACAAATTACAAGTTAAAAAAAATAATAATAATAACATAAAAATAAAAAATTAACTAATTAGAGTGCGATTTTTTAATGTAGTGAAGATTATAGCTTGTCAAAGTGGGCTACTTTAAAAAGTAAGTACGTGACAACCTCTACGTGGTCAATCGCCCCAAGGTAAGGTCCGTGTTCACGTGACCACGGCAAGTTCATGGCTAAACAAAGAGGTGTGGGTATTGAGGTCACTGACTTGGGCGAGACGGGTTTTAAAAGGTGTTGGACTTCGTGTAAGCAGGGCGAGAAAGGGGGGGGGGGGGGGTTGCTTTGATGTTGCTTGATTCATGTCAATCGACCACAACAACTAACAATAAAACGACAACTTTAATTATTTGGTTTAAGTTTAAGACATGTATGCATAACACTCATCTAGGGCCCTAGAATATTAAAAAAAAAAGGCATGACAAAAAAGCCATCTTATTTAGATTATCTATACACAGCTATGTAAAATATACAAATAAAAAACAAAATAAATTCTAAGCAATGTATTTAAAAATACATTTTACTTGCAGATAAGGCCTACGTGATTTTAATTGAGTAGGCCCATATACAAAAGGAATCAATGTAGTTTTCTGTTACGAGAATAAGAACCTTAATGTTAAAACTATATACAAAATGTAAACACATTCAATGGTGCATTTCTTTTAGTTAATTCAGACGAAGACCTGAGGTTTAAACTAATTAAACATCATTTATTGTGTTGATTTATCTATTACATTTTTTATGCGACTTGCGTTACTCGCAAAAACACCAAGTGCTCGAGGTAAGAAACAAAAGGGTTAAAGCACTGAGAGATTATGAAGGCTCATTAAATGAGTTTGGTGTATATAAAAAGGGCATTAAGCAAGAGAAAAATGCGACGACAAAACGACAGCTGGCTACGCCTACTTGAGTGTTGACGTGTGTGCTTGTCGCTACACACGCACTCTAACACCTTTTTTTTTTACTATGGGGGAGGGGAGTTGTGAGTACACATCAACTGAAAGGTGTTTGTAAACTTAATCGCATTAACACAGCACCAAGGTATCTCGTCATTACACGTTAGCTGTCGGCCCCGGTGAACTTTTTTTTAGATGGTAAAAGGGGGGCGGGTGGTGGTAATCTTTCAAGGGACGTAATCACTGCTGAATAATCAATACGCCGTGACGCCAGTCGCTAAAATACAGCTGATGACAAAAAGGTAATAGCGGGATTTTAAATTGTATTTTTTCCCAACTTAGTGTGTAGGACGTAAGCGTACGTAGGTTTTAAAAATAGACGTCTCGACGGTTCTATTTTTAAACATTGTTTTTAGATACGGAACCGGCGTCATCATTACCCGGCCGGCTTTAATATCTAAGATATATTAAAATTACTTTTTAACATTGTAGTAATGACCAGTAATATCTTTTTTTAAACTATAAAAGGTGTTTTAAGTAATATATCAAGAGTTGGTGTACTTTATAAATCAAATTGGGACATTTTTAATTACAAAAAAAAAAAAAAAAAGAAAGAAAAAAAGAAAAAGAAAAACAGTTGAGTTGGCTACGAAGTCATACACAAAGAAAACAAACGACACAAGCTATATATGTTGGACATTGATAAAGATATTAGTATTATTAGTAAGAAACTTACTCGTTTTTGTCGTAAGGTGCAGATGGGACATCTATGACGTGGGAAGGGACCCTCCTTTTGTGAATGTGAACTTCTGACGTCACGTTATTGAGCTGGAGGTCAGCTAGTTTAGAGTAGTCAGTGTCCGGCTGGTCCACAAGCCTTGCAGATTTTCTGCTCTCGAGTAAACGAACGTCTTCAACTCTACGAGTAGTTTCAAAATCCTCCCCGCTGGGAGTTTTAACACTTACACAAACCTCGTCAATATCTCGGTCATGACGTAAGACTGTGCCTGACACTTCGCGGCCATTCAAAGTTAGAAAAACTTTTTGACCTTGTTTAAGGTTGGCCGAAGAAACTGGTTGAAACCCATGTCCAACGATGGACCTTGATTTAATATTTAGGACGGAACCGTCATCGAAGCGAACAACATAAACAGCGCTTGTTGTTATTGTATCCTCTGAAACCTGTGACTCTATGATTCCAGGGTAGTAACGGCCATCTTGCGGTCGTAGAGCACTTACTCGAGTCCCAACGATAGATCTCTTCGCTAGTCTTTTATTTCCAAACATTGTCTTAGTTTAAAGGTTTGAAATAACACATGAAATATACAATGTCAAAAATAGAGAGAACTCAGTTCCGAAAATCACAAAGGTACACACAAAAATATGAGAAAATTTTTGTCCGAATCCTGATCAGCTGTAACCTAGTCGGCGATGTAAACAAAGTACCGGCAAAACTACTGCGCCGGTTTGTTTTGGTGCTGACGAAGGGGCGGAGATATGCAGAGTCAACACAGCCCGGCGATCTCAACTTGCACGATATTGGCTAAGATACTCACACCTCCGAAATTCTATTGGCTTAGAACGGGGGCATTGTCAATCAGCTCCGTAAGCTATGGAGCAATGGTCAGGGATATTTATTTTGTGCACCGGCTTTTAATTGTAACATCATATATGCAACACAATTTTAACCGATTGCAGCTTTATTGGAATGTTACATATTATAACATAAACTCAGTACTATATGCACATCATAATTTGCAATAGCGAAGTATTGCCAATTTTAGAACAATCAGCTGGTCTTGTTGTGTTATTGTCGGGGCTGACATCATTTTAAATCCCTCCGATGGTTCGACAACACAAAGAAGTGAATGAAATATTTTATTGAAATAGACAAAAGTAATAACATTTTCTCTATCGGCATAGCACACTTAACATATTCAACTCTAATTATATAATGTTGCAGCTGAAGTTTAACCACTATTCGCCAATATTATCTAACATTTTGTAGGGAGGATGTAAGAATGTTAGAATAGCAATATTATAATGAGGTTGACATTCCGTTACGTTTGCATTATTTTCGATCGAGATGCAATAAAAAAAAACTTTCATTACTGAAATAAAGTTGGGAATAAATAAATATGCTACATTTTGCAATAAGTTAGGCTTAAAAACGGTCAAATACAAAAGTGAGATCGAAAAATTGCAATATAAGAAAGGACCATAATCTTTTGGATGTTATTCCGTAAAAAAGATGTAAACAAAAATAATCGTACTCAAGCATTGCAGTCAAAATGGCGTCTTCCTGGAAAGTGAAGTTTGTCCCTTTCGCAGCTAGCGCTCTTGAACTTCTTTGGACTATTTGCCTAGTACAAATTTTAGTTGGGGTAGCATGCAGCCAGTATGATGAATTTGAAGGTGCATATATAGAAAAGATAGATGCACAATTATTTAAACAATATTGAAATTTATTGAGTCTATCCCAAATTCCCAATCCTACCCTGCCTACTCGTACTCCTCCACTCCAGTGACCACTGAGTGAGCAACTGAACTGATGATTTGGGTACTCACTTTTACTTTGAGTACTTTGACTTGTCTTTCAGTGCAGCCTACCTACAGATAGACTAGTCTAGACCCACTTTAACCCACTTCTAATGCAGCTATTTCCAAATATATTCATATTCGAAAATAACATGATTGTGAATAATTTCAATAATACTAATAGGATTAATTAGCCTAATAATAGTATTTAAGCCCTAATAGGAATAGGCAAGTAAAACTCCATTTTAGCGTATTTTATTCGCTGCTTCACATTCACCTCCAGTTGAGCGCATTTTTTATAAACACAACCAAAACACACAAAACAGTTGTGTTTATAACAAATACGCTCAACTGGAGGTGTAGGCATAAGTGTAACGGGGAATAAATTACACTAAAATGGAGTTTTATCAGATAGGCCTAATTAATAGCTACACTAATAGGCCTTTTTAATTATATCCAGTTTATTCTTATATTTTTAATCTAATTAGTAATTAGGTTACTATTAGTCCAGATATTAAGTTAGTTAGGCCTATTAAGATTTAATTATAAGTTTACTAAATTCAATCACAAAAAGGGAAACATCAAGCTAAAGCACTAGAAATGGCTCGATAAGCAAGCTGTTGGTTTTGCGCCCATTCTGACTGCTAAGACTAAGAGTGGTCAGATAATTAACTTATTAAGATTTCAAGTTATTGATTGGGTTTTAAAGCAAATATTTTGAGTTGTATGTATTATTGTCTTCATTAATAGCAAGTGGAATGCAAAATCTTAAAATAGGCATAGTAATTGTTAAAAACTTAAATAGAAACTTACTATTTTAATTTTTGAAATACATAATAACGAATGAAAAGTAGAGAATAAAATCAATCTAAAAAACTGGTATAATAATAAGCTTTTCAATGCACTGAAAATAAACAAAGTAGTCTGTCCAAATTGTAACAAAAAATTTTCTGACAACATTTTATTTCTAAGAGAAATGTACATTTTATTTGCAGGATACTTATTGTGCAGGAAATGCGGCTATGAAATAGCTAAAGCACAACACCTTTTCTCTATGCCCAGTAGCTTGGCACTAAGACAAAGAAATGATACTATTGCAAACAGTGACAAAGTGCTCATTCAGCTTTTTAAGAATCCTCAAGGTAGGTCATAGCATTTCCAAATGGATTTTATTGTTGCTCTGTTTAAGTGTTATTAAATGTTATTTCAATACATAGACAAAGGCACAGAAAAAAATCGTTGTAAGTACAGAACAATATAGCCAATATATAAACCACCATTCTAACCAGCACCACATTAGCTTGCTTTCCTGTATTGGGTTTTTTCTAAACATAGCAATGGACTATAGTTGTGCAGAATAAATCACACACTTATTTCTAATACTGCTATTTCAGTTTACAATGCCTTGGTCCCCTTTTAAACTGTGTCAACTACATAAACAACTACACAAATACAGGGTACTCTCCCAAACAAGTTTTTACACCTAATGAAAAAGAATTGTCTTTGTTCATTTAGAGCTCTACCCATGAGTCTAATGCTGCATGTTGTTTACCACTGATCAAGGATGATCTGAGTTTTTTTTTTTAAATTTCTCAAAAGATTTATCTCTGGTAATCTTAAAAAATAGTTTCAGTTATCAATTTAATACAATTCACCTGTTGTTTACTTTGTTCTCATTACAGGTATATATTTTGAGCTAATTACAAGCTTAGAATCTGAGCTGGAGACTGAACCTCAGGTAAAATGGATAAATTGTATGTCACAGTCATTAACCTGCTAGTTTAGCATTTTATCTGTTTATATGTGTGCGGTCAGTGTCAGATTTAAACACATGGGATTAAATTGTTATTAAAAAGTATTAGTATAAAAAATGTAAATGAAAAAGTTTTAATGCTATCTACTTTCTTACTAAAAAATACTATTTTGTATTGATAGGAGTCTCGTTAACAGTAGATTAAGTCACAGAAAGTACTGAAGCAAAACAAATTCAAAGATTATGAATTTAAGATTTTAATGTGACTGCCTGTTTCATAAACACACACCTTCCTCACCATACAAATTGAGCTCTTTGATAAACTGATTATATTTTATTCACTAAGTGGCTTTATTGTTACATTTATTTATTATTACTTATAGCATGTGAATGTGTTAAGTAGGATAAGATAAGCCCGAAAGTAAAAGAAGCTTAGTAAAACAGTCTATTATGGTCAGTGTAATTTGTTTTAAGGTATTAGAAAGTTAAAATATTTAGGTAAATTAAAAGAATTTAACATAGTTAAAGTTAGCTTAATGTTTGTTTACTGAAGGATCTACTATCATTATATGACAATGTAATAAAGGATTCTGAAATTTTCAGAGGTATGCTTCAGACAGCTGGTTTCCTGGCTATGCATGGAGCATCGCCAAGTGTCCAAAATGTGGTTCACACTTAGGATGGTAGGTCACCTAAATAGTTGTACTTATAGCAATGGCATTTAATGGTAGATCTAGATAGTTTAATATTAAAACTGTCTTAGTGAACTTTGTTAGTAGAAAACTGTTGCATTTGTTCTTTCTCTTTTTATATTTATTCCACCAATATGTAATGATGATTCTTCATATATGTAAAAACACTAATGTTCTTCAACAAATACAGACTGTATATGACAAGGCTGAGATCAGACTTATTTCTATGCTTCTACTTAATGATGAATTGAAGACAAGGCTTTATTACACAAGACATTTACTAATGAGATACTTTATGAATAGTTATGAATTATTATTATAAAATTGAAGATTAACAATACTTCTTAGTTAAACAGCAGAAATCAGCATTCACTACACTAAGGTCTCTCACAGTTTAATGTACTCTTCAACTATCATCACTTGTCTTAACTAATGCCTTCTATCTCTACACTGCTCACCTGTCCAGCCTCGACTCACTTGCTAGTTTACCCACCAACCCAACCCAATTACAAGAGATGCCTTCATTCTAAGCAATCTAATTTCTTGTCGGACCCAATTATAGATTTGTCCTCATCATTCACCATTCCATTCCCTATACCCCAGGTCAAATACCAGGCATAGCGACTACAGCTAACTCATTCATATTGTCTTCCTGATTATCATCTAATTCTAAACGTTTTGAGTCCATTGTCTCCATCTTTATCTCTGTTTAGTCTGGTCATGTTTATTGTTAACCCTAAATCTACTTTCTACACCATTACAGTAAGCTAGTCACTTAATCAGAGATGGCATATAATTTCAGATCAATGGTTTGATATTAAAAATATCTTTATGATCTGTTTTATTAGCAAAGTGCCTTAAACAGAGATGGCATATAATTTTAGATCAATGGTTTAACATTGAAACTATCTTTATGAGCTGTGTGTCAGTTTAATAGTTATACACTGAAGAGATTGCATATAGTTTTAGATTAATCAATATTGAATTTATCTTTATTAGCTGTATTATTAGAATAGTCTCTTAAACTGGGATACATTGAAGATATGGCATATAATTTTATTTTATTAACTTTGTAGTTTTCTCAACGTTTACAAAACACAATTTTCTTTCTTCTTCCAGGTCGTTTACTGTTTTGACTGATGTTTTAAATTCAGCAGAAAGTCAGCTTTCATCTTTTTTTGGTCTGATACTTGACAAAATTATGCATGAAAATGGTAATATTTTTCTGCTATAGATGTTAATCTTAGCAAACATTCACACAGTAGCATAATCTTATTGTTGGTTGTCATGGTCTGCCATTAAGATGCACTATTAATCTGTAACTTTCAAGTTTGGATCCTGAAAGACATATCTGAGTCCAACCAGCTATAATGGGTACCTGTTAAAAAAAAAGTAATGGAAGCTGGGTATGGAACATACCCTCTTATACTTTCTTACACAGAGGTCACATATAGACAGACAGGCCCAAAAGAGTAACTTTAGTTTTATTTTAATCTTAGGAACAGTGGTATGCACTCTTAAGTAACTAAAATAATAAATCCTATGTGAAAGATGTGCAGAGAGTTATTTCCCTTATAACTATATGGTGTGGTAAAGAAGTATTGTGCATAAAAACAACAGTAACGATAGGGTTTATAACCTGGTGTTTAAGTATTTATCATGAGTGTGAAATATTTTTAAACTCCCTTCAGCTGAGACAGTACAGAATGTAGGTCTGTAGAGCAAGCTCAAGTCTTTGCAGTGCCTTGCATTGTGCAGACAACAAAACTTAACAAATTGGCCCTAATCAGTGAATAGCTCATTCTTAACTAATTACATTTTTTAGAATTTGAATTGTTCATAAGAGATACAATTTTTCTCAGTTCGGATGTTGATAGCGTGACGCACATTTTTTATTAACCCTGATGAAAATAACTTGATACAGTGTTTTTTTTTTAACTTTCAGATGTTAATAACTTGATTGCGCTGCCTAAAACTTATGCCAGCTAATGCCAATTGTTCGTGTGATGCAAGATGTTTGTGGTTACTGCTTATCAAATCAGCTGTTGACAAGATGTTTGTGGTTACTGCTTATCAAATCAACTGTTGACAAGATGTTTGTGGTTACTGCTTATCAAATCAGCTGTTGACAAGATGTTTGTGGTTACTGCTTATCAAATCAACTGTTGACAAGATGTTTGTGGTTACTGCTTATCAAATCAGCTGTTGACAAGATGTTTGTGGTTACTGCTTATCAAATCAACTGTTGACAAGATGTTTGTGGTTACTGCTTATCAAATCAACTGTTGACAAGATGTTTGTGGTTACTGCTTATCAAATCAGCTGTTGACAAGATGTTTGTGGTTACTGCTTATCAAATCAGCTGTTGACAAGATGTTTGTGGTTACTGCTTATCAAATCAGCTGTTGACAAGATGTTTGTGGTTACTGCTTATCAAATCAACTGTTGACAAGATATTTGTGGTTACTGCTTATCAAATCAGCTGTTGACAAGATGTTTGTGGTTACTGCTTATCAAATCAGCTGTTGACAAGATGTTTGTGGTTACTGCTTATCAAATCAACTGTTGACAAGATGTTTGTGGTTACTGCTTATCAAATCAACTGTTGACAAGATGTTTGTGTTTACTGCTTATCAAATCAACTGTTGACAAGATGTTTGTGGTTACTGCTTATCAAATCAACTGTTGACAAGATGTTTGTGGTTACTGCTTATCAAATCAACTGTTGACAAGATGTTTGTGGTTACTGCTTATCAAATCAACTGTTGACAAGATGTTTGTGGTTACTGCTTATCAAATCAACTGTTGACAAGATGTTTGTGTTTACTGCTTATCAAATCAGCTGTTGAAAAGATGTTTGTGGTTACTGCTTATCAAATCAACTGTTGACCCTTTTTACAGTTCTTTCACACAGAGAAAATCAAATTGTGATACTCACTATGATTTTGCTCTTTATCCTGTGTTTTGTTGAGACATTGTGTATCTAACTGAAATATTGCTATGTTCACGTAGCTAGCTGAAACATTGCTAGGTTTACATAGCTAACTGAAACATTGCTAGGTTTACGTAGCTAACTGAAACATTGCTAGGTTTACGTAGCTAGCTGAAACATTGCTATGTTTACGTAGCTAACTGAAATATTGCTATGTTTACGTAGCTAACTGAAACATTGCTAGGTTTACGTAGCTAACTGAAACATTGCTAGGTTTACGTAGCTAGCTGAAACATTGCTAGGTTTACGTAGCTAACTGAAACATTGCTAGGTTTACGTAGCTAACTGAAACATTGCTAGGTTTACGTAGCTAACTGAAACATTGCTAGGTTTACTGCAACAAAAGATATTTCAACGGTCAAAATTTTTTCTGGACAGTTTCCTTCTTTATTTAGAGTAATAATATCTTTTTCTTAGATTACCTGTGTCTCTTAGATTATATGTGATGGTAAGCAATACATAAGCTTTGCTTTGCTTTCCTATTCAGTGGTAACACGTTAAATGTGGCCTCAAGAAGTTGTTTATAAAATCAACTGCTCTATGTTATCAGTCATAATTTTACTTGTGATGGGCAGAGGTTGTGGTTAAGCTTTGGTATAACAAGTTTTACGCACATTTTTTTCAATGTTGTATTAAGTGGTGTTGACTATATTACTATGAGGTGTTCAATGAGGGGGTATGATTTTCTCAATGGGGTGTACACTGTTTTGTTTACACTAAAGTGCTAAAATTTTAAAATAGCTTGTACTATCAATAACTATATTTACATTTTTTTTTTTATAATGAACAAGTTTTGAAATTAATTTGAAATAATCAAAATTTATTGAATTTAAAATGTGTATTAGTGTATTTTTCTTTATTTAAAAAAGGAAAAAAGTACATTGCTGATTATAGAAAAAAACAGGCTATTATTGTAAAGTTTCAGCATGATTTTGACTGTCCAGGCATCACTGTTAATGTGTAATTTTGATCTGCTTATCAAAATGTTCATTTTTTTTAAAGTGAAAGGGGATATAATAATGACAAACCTGCTGCTACTATTAGAATTTTTTATACAAATGTCAAATCCATATTTTAAAATACTTTATGTCAACATAACAAGTGCAAACAAATAGTAGTTTCAATATTTAGCGTAATTCCTGTTTGTCAGTGCAATAATATTATAACATGGGAGGTAGCCCAGTATTAAGAGAAATCCATGTTGGTGCTATTTATAATACTAGGTTATATGTTTTATGTTTGCTTCACCATTTTTGTTAGCAAATAAATATTTTTATGGACACATTTTACATGTGGAAAATTGGTTTTTAAATTATGAAAAGCAATTAATTAAAGTACAGTTATTTCTGTTAAAATTTATTTTTTATCTTTTAGAAATGTTTGATTTATACACTGTAAATAATAAAAAGTCTTTGGTGTCTCCATCTTTGTTTAGCAAACTGTTCAGCTGACAATGTCAGTGTCATTTTATCTAACCTGTCATGTCATAGGTCTCAAACTAGGAAGTGACTTTAAGTCATGCCATCTAAACATGCTGTGACTTAAGTCATGCAGTCTTAACTTGCTTTTACATCTAACCCTGATCTCATCTGTTTTGCCATCTCATCTGACACTTGCATTAGTCATGTCACCAAAGCCTGTCATGTCAAATATTATGTACACCAAGGCTTGGAACACAACACTTGAATACTTTCCTTGACAAATTATAACAACACTTATTTGTTGTATAATGGGACGGAGTGGTCTAGCGGTAGAGAGCTGGACTGCTAACCTGTAAGTCTCGAGTTCAAATCCGGGTTCAAGTCAGTAGACCGTCCCTGAGTCCACCCAACTCTGATGGGTACCGTACTCACGTTAGGAAGAGTAAAGGCGGCTGGGCATAGTGCTGACCACACTATCTCTTCATATGCCGAGGTCACAGAAACAAGTGAACTCTACTTCACTTGCCCCATAGACCGCCATGCTTGAAAGGGAAACTTTACTTTTTTACTTTTTTATTTGTTGTTTGGATACTTGTCTGTCTAAACATTTATCCCAATGCACAGCTACAGTGAAACAGTACTAGTAAAAATAGAAAACTAAGAAGTAGAAGAAGATGAAAATCTCATTTCCCTGTATTTAACTGGATCCGTTGTTTATTGTCTCTAAGAAACAATTGGTTACAGAAGATGTATGCTGAACATAATATAATAAGACAAATGCTAGCAGCGATTTAACGGTGTGTGGGATTGAAACCAAGTATAGAAACATCGCTAGGAAATATTCAGAAAATATCACAGATAAGGGAAACAACCATCCGGTGTTTCCTAATATAACTTAGTGATTATCTTTCTTGGCTTTTTCAATTTCGTATTGTTCTAATAATTCTAATAAATAAACGGCTTCTTTGTTGTTTGTGGTTAAAGCCAGAAGCGTAGCGAGGGGGGTACATGTGTCCCCGGGCGCCGACCTTAGGGGGCGCCAAAATGGGATGTAAAAACAAATTAAAATCTCATTTTAGCTGCAGTTTTGCATTATAAATATAAAAAAAATATATGGGAGGGGGGGGGGGGGTCCAAATTGAAAGGTTGTTCCCGAGGGTGGCGCCAAATTAAAAGTTGGGCGCCGGGAAGGGTCGCTACGCATCTGGTTAAAGCACATGCTTCGAGTTTGTTTATAGACTTAGTTGGGAGGTTACGAAGTAGTATAAGTTTTATTAAGGGTACTAGAATATTTTGTCTTGGGGGTTGTCCATAAATGACGTAACACTCGTAGGGGGAGGGGGTTCCGTAATTTTGTGACGGTGTGTGATGAGGGGGAGTAGGGTTCAAATGGTGTAACATCACACTTTTGCATTATAAAAAAGCAATGTTAGAATTATAGCCGTTATTTCGCGTTTTAGAAAACTGTTTTAATAAAGTGTAATAGGAATTGATTAAAATACTCTTTGTTAACAGAGTTCAGACAAGATCTTGGAAAAATTCATCTGTAATTTTGAGGGTGGGGGGTGGGGTTATAGGCTGAGGTGTGACGTCATTTTAGGGGGGTTCTGGCTTCTTTTACCTCCCCTCCCCTCCGTCACACATCGTCACAAAAAATTGTGACGTCATTTATGGATGAACCCATTCATTGAACTGACAAAAAACATTTATTCTATATATCTTGCAATCTTTGTGTCACAGCCCTAAATGTTGTCACCCGTTGCGGTCCGCGCCCCGCCTCGCGACGCCTCTGCTTACAATTACACCCAGTGTAATGTAATATTTTAGAATTGATGATACAGAATTTTTGGGTTTGTCAGTAGCTTCCCCTTAAAAACTGTAATATAAATATGGGGAACAACCTAAAACTGCTTTTCAAATTCTGTAAAAATACACAAAAGTTAAGTAGTTAAGTGATAAAATAAACATTATTTAGTTTGAGATAAACACGAATATTAAAACACTCATGAGACAATTTTTTAAATCTTGCATTTTATATTTTTTAAACATATTTCACCCTAGTTTAAATTAAAAAAAAAACTATTAGCCGTAGACCTATTACTTTTGAATTTATAAAGACGTAATTTCTTATCAGTCATGTAACTGTAAGCAACGATTTCTTTCTGACACATTTAATTATTGTTACTAGACAAAAAAATAAGGTTACTCAAGAGTAAAGGATGACGGTCTTGCTGTTTATTAAAAGCAACCAAAGACTAATTCATCCACTCTGCATAGGGCATAGGCTCATTTCTTTGTGAGCTGTTTAAGTGTTTAAGAAGCATTCTTAAATTTAAAGTATGGGGGAAAATCCACCTTCGGTTTAAAACAATTCAAAGAAAATAATGCAAATTGAAACGTGTTGGATTTGTGTGATGTAGTATTACATTTTTAAAACAAGTTACGAGAAAGAATTCCGAATTATACCCTAAGTACTTCACAATGTTGATAGATACTTTAGTTATACAAAACAGTTTTAAAAAGATCTAAGCTAGGTTAACAAATATATAGATACTGATATATGTATATGTTGTATGGTGACTACAGTTGGGTAGGTTGTGTGATGACGGAGTTTTGTGTGTACGTGAAAGTTCTACCTGTAAACAATGTGTAGTGAGATGGTGTAAAATTCGTGTATGTTCGATGGGTGTAGGACAGTGTCTAGTACAAGGTTAACGTGTGCTGGTGTGCTTTGACATGTGGGTAGCTGAGCTAGTGTTCACGCGACGACCAATGGGAGATGGTCAAAGGGAAACTACTGGTGGCACGGACAACCGAGAGGGGAGGGGAGATAAATGAAACAACACGCATGTCAAAACCCATGGCATGGTGTGTTCAGCAAATATTTCCCTTTCTTGTGAAAACAGGCCGGTTGTGTTAATTATTGATGTAGGAATTTTTTTGCAGTGTGTTGGCTATTGTAAAGACCTCACAAGATAAACTAGCTCAACTGTATAACATAACTATCTTTGGTACACACATTTAAATGGGCAAAGTTGTGTGGATTCTGTGCGTGGATTATGATTTGTTCGTGGAATAAGCAAGGACTGTTTATTTTTGAACATCGTCACTACGTAGTCAATAGAACCCATCAACAAGAAAATCAAACACGAGGAAACATCAACAAGAGGCTTCATCAACTAAAGGACCGTTTT